TCTACGCGCACGTACGAAGAAAAGTAGCGACTATATGAACAATAGTAACTGAAGCGTAAAACCTAGTCAGTTTCGCGCTTAACCACATAGCACATTTGCGTTTGCGATCATCTACACCACAGATACCTGCACAAGATAATCCCGAAGTATCGCAAAAGTCACAAGAAGGCAGCTGGCACAGAGGGTAACATCTGCCAGCTTCGCGGTCCTGCGATGGGTCGTCACAGAGAGGCACAACACAGCAAACGAACTCCATTTCGTAATAGCAGCATGGCCTAACTATTTGCCTGCACGTCGACTTTCTGGTGTATCCACTCAAGAATCCAAAAAATGTTGAGTATAACTTTCGAAGACCTTTACCATTAATGTCGAGAGTGAAATCACATCCGCACGTGAAAGTGACGAAGATGAGGCAGATTGCTTGAGGAATTTCTTCAAATGCGTACGAGAAAACGACTTCATTGAAACCGTGAAGTAATCGAAATCCTTTGTACTTTGTTGTCACCTCTGGAATAGTTTCTCCAACAATATCCGCAAGTTGTATCAAAGCTAAAATGGTTCCAAGAATCGTAAACGCTAGGTAATAGTTTCTTGGTGCGTCACAGTTGTCTAGTATTTCATCTCCTGATATTGACTTTTTTTTACGGTATAAAGAAAAAAAGTTTTCAGTCGCCTCTATGGCGCTAGATACATTTTCAGGTAAATTATCAGTAAATTCCAACCAATCCAAAACAGTATCGGCGATAATCAGACCGGCCGACAACAGGCGTTTTAACACTAGTAGGCATCGAGAAGCAGGGTCCTTCAGAACTGCAATGCTGGGATCGGTTGATTCATCAGTGTTAACTCTGGTCATTGCCTGTGGTGGTGGCTGGACGACATACGCCGGATTGTTACCGTTATAATAATACTGCGGACGGTTGGTGGGCGTTTGATGCCATTGGTTATATTGCTGGCCAGGAAATCCCTGAGGACTCGGGTATGTTTGATTCCCTGGGAATATATAGTGTATTTGTTGTGCATTGCCTATTTCCTGAATTCCTGTAGGATTCTGAATGATTTGGTGCTGCACTGGGCACGCCGCACGACTTTCACCACCGACACCGTCGTCGCTATATGTCTGGTTATAAGGAGTGCCCGGACTCGGAGAACCCATTTTCCATCCAGCAACCTCATGTTCGAAAAACCTTCTGCCGCGCTGTCGCTCCGGCGGAAATGGTCGGCACGCTTCTTCATTTCGATACATATGATCTTCAACAACGGAATTATTCCTGGTAAAACTAGTTTCACGAATTCCATATCTCCGATTCCCAAGATTGTCATCTGCACTGTTTTCATCAATATTGTCTGATCCATGCTTTCTCTTAGTACTTTGATTTTTGTTGTTGTTTCGAGATGGCATCTTTATCATCTATCCACGGCGTATGTTTCTATGTAGAGGTACGGAAATATATGTAACTAAAACATCTACCAGTGATTTTTATAGCATACCCCTGTTTCTTATCAGAACAATTTTAGGTCAGGGTCTTATATAAAACATGGTTAAGTGGTGTTCCGTTGAACTAAAGTGAATAATACTGTTAGATAACAGAACAAGAAAAAAAAAAAATATATATATATATATATATATATATATAAATATAACACAATCTTATTTCAAACTAAGATTCGAAGAAATCAAGGAAAATATGATCAAAGTAGTGTCAGATGAAAAAGACCGGGTTACCTGGTGCCTGGAATAGTAGGCGTCTTCTACTTTATCAACAACACTCGAAATGTAAATCTTTGTTAATCCATGTAATAATGTCACGTTCCTAAATAAGGGTAAGGTAAACAGCAAAGGAAACGCCAGGCGTATTAATGAGCATCAAATACGTCTGACGTCATATCACACTTAGTGAGATATGTTGACTGCAAATCTTAACTGTAGACGTCATCAAATTGCCTCTCGTGAAACCATGTGTTTTGTGTTTGATAGTTGCCGACATCTTACAAGAAAAACATGATATTGAAAACAAGCCCCGAAAATATCGAATTGGCTAGGGATTCGTATTTACTAAGGGTATATGCAATAGACATGGTAGATTAAGCTCGTCATCAGTATACCACAAAGTGAAATTAAATCACTTCAGAAGATCTTTGAAATGTGTTTTGATATGCTTGATGAAGAAAAGAAAAGTCTTGTGCTTTGTATTTATTTGAGATTTCAAATTGCTTGTCCTTTTCAGAATGGAGCATCGAATAGATAAAACCCAATTTCTAAAACAGACTATACCCACTCGGAAAGTGTTTCACGTCATAGTCATCATAGAATCCGTAAACATGTATGTATCTTGAAATTCACATTCCGCTCAATACGGGTTTTTATAAACCATTCAGTATAAAATAATGCAAATTGATTATGAAATTCACTTTAAACATCAAAACGTCTTTGTCCACTACCATCTATATCTTAACGCAAGAATTGCGATTTCTACCTGAGTTCCAGGGTCAACTTAGTTTTCATTACCAACCAATGTTCACACAAATTGTCTTCAGCTGTTGCCTTTTTAATTTCAGCTTTTAGATATCCGCAATTATCCGCTTTACTTTCGCCAGTAAAACCTCAAAATTCGACAGTATAATTACGATATTGTAAAACATCTCAAATTGATAGGAATTCAGGAACAACAGTGAAGTACCAATATATGAGGACGATCATAATCCAAACAAAAATTCAATAAAAATGAAGCAAAATGTGAACAAGGAGACATCTGAAAAAATACCATGAGAATAAGATCAGGTGTTCTGAAAGAGTAAGCATAACGAACATCAAACACTTCCAGCCTCATATCACACAAAGAAATAACATATTTCTCAATCTGATCACTATGCAACTTCGCTATTATTTCCTCAAACTGCATCATTTCAAAATTTAACGAATCAATTGAGAAATGTAAACACCACAGGATAGGGATGCAGGCATGTTGCTTTTAATAAAATAAAAATTCACAATAGAGTAATTGAAATATTCATGCTTGCCATACAGCTCTGTGGAAAGATGTATTATGTAGGTTTCGTTATAGGAAAATATCTAGATAGCCGGTTGATGGAGAAAACAAAACCATACATGTAGGACAAAGTTTACATGTATCACTCATGTGACTGGTGTAATGTCTTGACATCATGTGCAACTTACCTGGAAACTATGATTGTAAAGATAATTGTGTACCTCTTAACCGAAACCACCGTTACTTCAATACGAGTTCAAGGTGATCTACCTTGAATATATATTGAGGTCAATCTGTAACAGTTATCTTTCTTTATGTAACATTAGCGTTAGTTTCAGCAATGCCTCTCTCGGTTACATTGCTGGCTTGCGTAACCTCGTGTGAAGTAACGTGGCAATGTCCTTGATTACAAATCGTGTATTATAACACAAGTGTAGGCTAATCTGTCGTACGTAATCTTTCAGTATGGTTTACACGTATTAAATACATTGTGGGAAATAAAGAAATAAACTTTCATAAATTTGACCGTTGCCTCATTCCTATTGTTTAGAAATATAGAGAAAAGATTTATTTACTGAAAATCTTGCTCTTCTTCGATTACGTTACAATGATGTTTTCGTTACAATATTTTCTTCGTGTTGTGAACAAATTCATTACCACGGGATATTCATTTGAGACGTTTATATCTAAATGTACAATATATCATTCATTAAAGTAAATGAACACTTAATTAAAAAATGAACATCAAGTTACAAGAAACGTGTACGTATGCTATCTCGTTTGACACATCCCATCCTCGCGATCGGTACTCCAAGGGGTACGATCACTGCACCCTTGGAATATGTCATGGCAAAACGGAAAGCACACGAGAAGTCACTAGATTGGTTCCAGGAGAAAAAAAGATGTGCTTTTGAAACCTCCGGTTGCAAGAAAATTAAAAACAATATAGACCTATCTAGATATTTAGATGATTAGAAAGCCATTGCAATGTACATTGTACTGTTATGCGACCTCGAGATTCATTTGAAGTCCACCACAGGGTTAAGCAAGTCTTGTCTCATTCACAAGGTGTCACACATGGAACCTTTAATTTTGCCATGACATCTAGAAACCCATTGAGTATCCAAGATATCAAGGGCTAAACTCAAAGGTCCGATGAAAGGCTGGCAGGCACTGAAAGCACAAGTGAAGTAATTTGATTGGTTCCAAGGAAAAAAAACGACCAATCACAGGCTGATACGCTCCTTTTTTGGATTACATGAGTGACACCCAGTGACATCAAAGTCATTACAATATACCGTTATATGACCTCAAGATTCGTTTGATTTAAGACATTGAATCGTTTCAGTCTTTTCCTGTCGCACACGGAACCTTCTATATTGCCATGGCATGTCGCCACCCTGACAAGTTCAACAATGCAATTCAACAGGTAGCTAGGGGTACCCAAAATAGAACGCCTCAACAAACTTTTTTTCTGTTCATTTATAGAAATTATATAAGTTTGAAAATTTCTTTTCATTTTATTAAAATTCACTTACTGTCTCGTCATCATGGTAACTTTTCTGTCAAAAATATTAATTTCAGCAATATTTTTTCATTACTAAATGGTAGAATATTTCTGTTGTCGCATGACATCATTTCCATGGATTTTTGAAAAATAATATCATTTTTAAAACTTTAACTTTTAAAATGATAAACAACATAGAAGACATGGAATGAAACGAAATGCAAAAATAATTCATAAATACCATATTTCTTGTTTAGAATAGTTAAGCGTGTGGGGAAGCGTTGTCCATATAACAAATTGTAAAATATATCAAAACAACTCGTAGTCGCATTTAGGCAGTGCCAGTTTCATGATATGTATTGTTATGAATCTTATTTTAAAGAAAACAGACTATGAATTAGAAATTAGGAAATCTCAACCTCAACAGGCAAGAAATGTGTCCTCTATAAATCGTCCAATCAGAATCCAGCACTTTTTTTCTCCGTATTTGCCTTTTGAGGCACATGACTTCCGATGTCAACATGGACTCGGACCGGACGATCCTCAACCTAGTACGGATGATGACACTGATAAGCTTATCGGCACCTGTGCTATCAGATGTACAACCATGTGTAAAGAAGGGACCTTGCTCATGTGCAACACCAGCGTTCACTGTAGATCTAAAGCCTTTGTCGACACGGCCTCAAAGGTATACGCGATGTGAGGAAATAAACAGAAAGTGTAACGTTTTAAGCTAAAACACATTTTCCGGGTATACAAAAATGTATCATTTGATTGTACTGTTAACAATAGGATGATTAGTGTTACGTTGTTTATACGAAGTTGGTAGGATTTTCTCGGTAAGTCTTAATTTGTCGAACAGTCACGGCCCGAAGCGTTCTGGTTTTTGCCCCGACCCAAGTTGGTAGCTATTCTTGGGTTCAAATGGTAAATACTGAAATTGGGAATTGAATCCGGAATATCCAAACTTTTGAGACCAGATGGAGAGTATAATTAATACAATTTCTTTGCTTAATGAGTTTGTAAAGTATAATTTAATTTTCTTGTATTTTATTCTTCATTTTCATTATTTATCGTTTTAACAAATACATGTACATGCATCACATATCACAATGACTTGAGTGTCAAATATGATAACATTTAAAAGTGAGCTTGTTGACTTCAGGATGTACTCTTCTGAGATGTAAAAAGAAAGAAAAAAAAACAGGATAACACTTTTGTTCTGCTTACGATTTTTTTTAATAAGAAAGATTTTAGAAAGTAATTTAAAGGCAAAAAACAATATGTTGCTGCACTTCTTTTTCCAATTCAGATGGTAAATTAAGTGTAAGGGGAAACATCATTTACACATTTTATTCTTAATTTTTCCAAGATAAAAGAGATTTGTAATTTCAACAAAATAATATGAAAATGCAAAACTTTCATTTGGTTTACAAAGTCTAAAATTGCATAGCAACCAAAAAACGAATATTATGAGAACACCCTTTAACCCTTTATTTGATCATTTACTAATATTTAACTTTTGAATACTTTTTGTCTGCAAAATTGTCACAAAAGTCACATGTGAATAATGGAAGGGATGCACTATTATACACGCATGTCTCTGATTATTTACATGTATGATGGCATCCGAAATCCCCAGACAGGTATGTGTCCTGGTTACAGAATGTTGAAAAAAATTGTTGTAAGCACTGTGATTATGGGTCCACCACCAGTGTATGTATGGCCCTGTTAGGACATAAAATTTTGTAGTATATTGTTTTACCAGTCAGGTCCAGAAGATGATATACAAAATATTAAGGATTCCAAATATGGTATGGTTTATTGTTAACAGGAAGGGTCATTTAAGGACATGAGTGGTGGAGGAAAGCCACAATTCTGAGAGAACCTGATGACTGCCCCAGATGGGCCATGAACCTGCAGTCCAGAGGCGGAGGGCTAGTGAAAAAGACATTCAGAAGCCTTAATCACTTTGCCACAATGACTCCCATATAAGAAAAAGTCATATTGTAGATTTTCAACATTTTTCCAGGATCCATAGGAATTTATAGGAAAAGCAGGAGTCCAGGACTCCCAAGTTCAAAATCTTACTGACGAACTAATAGTACTGTACATATGTATACATTAAACATTATAAGTAATATTCACTGTTTTTAATTGAAGGTTGTTGCAAGCTAATGATGCTAACTACACCTATATCTACAGTCCTTGTATAGCCACTGGTGAGCCATGTGGAGATGGTTCATTTACAGACATAGCTGTAAGTAGAGGAAGAAGTATCAAAAGATCATGTTAGTAAAGCAACTATAAAATCATAAATAGGTGTTTTTTGGGAGGCTTTAAAAATTTTTTTTTTTTATGTTGCTTTGTTTTTTTTTTCTCAAAAATGTATTCAGATGTTATGGATAAATTTTGCTTTTGAAATCCCTAATGTCAATTTTGTGGGCATATAAATTCTATGATTAACAATACCCATCAAGAAAAACTGAGGATTTTTAAGACTTTATATTTTCAAAAGTATGAACAAGGATAAAAAATACATGGAAGTACCATGTATAAAGAAAGGTGGAAGTACTAGGCACCAGTTTCACAAATCATCCTTAACTTGAGAGATTTTTCTTAACTTAAGGTTGCCCTTAGGAAATCATTAAACAAGTTAAGGAAATTCCCTTAAATTTAAGTTTTTTCCTTAACCTATGAAATTATTTTCTTTAAGATTATCTTTGTTATTGAAGATTCATGAAATTGTGGCCATGGATATAGAGCATTTTGTTATTACACCCCTTATCAGCTGCACCTGAGTCCTGATATCAATGAGAGGTCCGAAGGCAAGATGGCTAATCAGGGACTGGATGGTCATATGATCATTTTATATCATATATTTTTTTTCTTTATAATAAACAAACCATACAAAACAATCCCCTTTTGAATAAATGAATGAATTAACATTATAACAACAATGATACACTATTTACTGATGTTCATAGATATGAGAACGCAATTATGTGTAAAAAAGACAGTAGCAATTGGGCCTTGTAAAAAGTTTACATACATGCAAGAAATTTAACAAGCAATCATTGGCTCATCAATATAAGTCCTACTGGTCAGCTGCAGGTTTATCACAAGGGAAACAAACCTGGAAAAGGCACTATTCTGAAATTTGAATGGGTTTATAAATTATTTTCTTAGGATAAAAAGTGCATTTCTTACAGGCAAACATTATTTATGTTCAAATCAGACAGTAATAAGCCAAAATGGCAAAATATGAAAATTTGAGAGGTGGTGTGATCACCTTCCAGGGATGTGATATCACTTTCAAAGGGGTGTGATATTACTTTATGGGATATGATGTCACCTGGGCTGATATCAACTTGTGGAAATTTCAGACTCACATACAAAAACAATTTTATCAATAGTAAACATATGATAAACAAAGATACAACTCCTGAGAAGAATTTTATCCAAAATACTGTTGATCCAATTTGTCTACTTTTCAGGCAGTCACTTCAAATATAGCATAAACATTTTAGAATAGAGTGCCTATCACTCTCAATTGTGCATGAGCCATAATAATAGGCAACTGAGAAGCAATCAACAGGATGCTATTTGCCTTTGATTTTGGTTCCAGCTGAACATCAAATCCCTTGTAAGAAGTATGAAGTCTGAGTGGTTAAAATTTGTAATATCTTAACCTGTTAATTTGAATGCAAAATTGTATGTTTCCTCACGTCTTTTATTGCAACATGTATCAGAATGTGATATGTGCTCTACCATACAGACCCTTATCTGTCAGTAATACATCTTCACTTTCCTTTTTAGATAAAAAGATGAAAGAAAAAATGTTTTATCGACAAATTGTTTCTACAGATGTGCCAAATAAGAAAAGGCTCCCCATCAGCAAATTGGGTTGTGGGTACTCAGGCATCTGCCAAGTTCACAGGTAGTCCTGATGATGGATCTCTACAGATTGAGTATACAGCATTTAGCCAAGACATAACAAGGTACAGTCTTTACATTGTGGGTATTGTGTCTACTGTAGAGTTGATATATTAGTGGTTGATTCAGCTTCGCTACATTCACAGTCAAACAGAAATGTCAGATATCCAGCAAACTTTTTTTAAAGAGATTCAGAATTTCATAAATATCTTATAATACGTGTAAACATGGATACCAGCTGATAGATATGCCGGAGTGTTTTGACCACAGAAGCATCCATATAGGATGAGGAATCTGTTTTATAGAGATGGAAGGGGCCTGATGGGCAAGGCACAATGGGAGATATTCAACAAGTTCTTTGAAATCCTTCTTCTAGGAATGAGGATTTTGTTCACATTAGTTCAGGAGCATCTGTTCATTAAGGGGACTAAATTCTGAATCTGTTGTGGACAATCAATAGGAAACACTTCATACCCAAATTAGTTTACAAGAATCCTTTTGGGAAGGGAAATCAAACAGTATAAATGGAGGGTGTGGGACCAGTCAGCAGCAAGAACCAATACGAAATACATATATGAATAGCAAATTCCTTGAAATGTTCCTTCTTCTGTGGGAATAACATGCTTTTATCAAAATTTGGTCTGAGACTCAATTCTGTGTAATTTTTGGTTCTGACACCCCAGAGGCACAAGAGCGGAGCAAGTTAGAAGATATAGAGGAACACCTTTAAAATACTTCTTTTATTGGAATATAGGTAATTTAGCTGAATTTGGTCACAAAGATCCTTAGACAGTTAGTTTGAAAAAGGGAACCAATTTTGTTTAAACAATTGGTCTTAGACACAGGGGCCTGAGAGGCTTAAACCAAAATGAAAACAATTTCTTTAAAATGTTCTTCTTCTGTAGAAATGGCAGGATTATATCCAAATTTGGTTTGAGGCATCCTTAGGTGAAGCATACTGTGAACCATGATCACTCCTGACTAATAGTTTGTAGTGTTACAATGTGATATAACTATTGGTGGGACTGATCAATCAGGAATTTCTAGGAAATGCAAAAGGGATGAATCGGAACTGATATATGGTTAGATAAGACAGAATGTTTTCAAAGGTGATTTTAATAGACACATATTATTGAACAATATCCTTCCATGTATGTATTTATCTTATAGGACCGGTCAAGTATCTGTTGTTTGCTCTGATGAAGAGGCTAGTTTTTCACATCTTGGAACAGGTGTTACTGTTTATGTAAGTATGAATAAATATATGTGTTATATGTTGAAAACTCTCCCTGAAAATTCTATGTTATATGTTACTGACAGTCTCAGAGGGAACATTACTGTAACCCCTGATACTAACTCTATGTTATATGTTACTGACAGTCTCTGAGGGAACATTACCGTAACCAGTGATACTAACTCTATGTTATATGTTACTGACAGTCTCTAAGGGAACATTACTGTAACCCCTGATACTAACTCTATGTTATATGTTACTGACAGTGTCTGAGGGAACATAACTGGAACCCTTGATGATAACTCTATGTTATATTTTACTGACAGTGTCTGAGGGAACATAACTGTAACCCCTGATACTAACTCTATGTTATATGTTACTGACAGTGTCTGAGGGAACATAACTGGAACCCTTGATGATAACTCTATGTTATATTTTACTGTCAGTCTCTGAGGGAACATTACTGTAACCTCTGATGATAATTCAAAAATTTCCGCATTTCAGAGAATAGCGGAAATTTGCTATCCTATAGTTTCGGTCACGTACATATGTACGCAAGGCGTGCAAGGCAGTGTATAGTATCTGACCAATCAGGAGACTGATTGGCGTGCCTCATGGAGTACTAGGGTACCGACGCGCACGTGAGGGGTATATCGGGTATTCATTCTAGCCGCGGACTTTCAAAGCGTTGACTGCTATAGTTTCAGGGTTCGGGTGAAAACGTATACAATGCACTTATATATAGTATAGAATATATAATTTATATATTTTCGCTTTATTGTCCGCTTGGCTCACATGCATATGGTGGTTGTGTTTTTATGGGAGTAAGATAGCATAGTAGTATATAAAGGATCTCTATGTTATATGTTACTGACAGTCCTGAGGGAACATTACTGTAACCCCTGATACTAACTCTATATTATATGTTACTGACAGTCCTGAGGGAACATTACTGTAACCTCTGATGATAACTCTATGTTATATGTTACTGACAGTCTCTGAGGGAACATCACTGTAACCTCTGATACTAACTCTATATTATATGTTACTGACAGTCCTGAGGGAACATTACTATAACCCCTGACGAAAAATCGATGTTTTGTGTTGGTAACAACCTCCAATGGTATTTCATAATGCCTTCAATAAATTTAGATCAGAAGAAAATGAAGAGAGGGGGAGGGTATATATTCGAGTGTACATGCTCACATGTTATTGATTCATTTTTCAGAAATTCCAGCTGAAAACTAAATATGCATGTAAACCCAATACTGGGCTAAGTGTAGGTTCTGTCCTTCTGATCATGTAAGTATATCTGGAGGTATAACAACAGTTAGATAGGTGTGTTCTCAGTGTTTTGTTATCTTTTTACTGTGTTGTGGATAACGAATAAGATACTGAATTTCATCATTCATTGAGAAGTGTATAACTGGTACTGTATAGTGGATTACTTTGGCAAAAATTTCACAATTTGGATACTAAGGTCAAAAATAAACCTGGTCTGTTAGATGATTTAAAACTGGTCTCAAAAGTGAGATGATCTGAACAGTGAAACATACAATACAAAGATAAATCGGAGGATTTTTTGGGGGGAATGAAATGAAAAACTGTGAAGTGGTCTTAATTTTGATGTGACCCTTAGTAAGGTTTCACTGTTTCATAATTTTGATACTAGAAAGAAATATTGAAATGCCCATTGCTTTGGGGACTCTATAAAAATTTTTGACAAATTTCAGACTAAAATTTGTGAACAATTTTATTTATCATTGTAGATTCTTTATGTTGCTCCTTGTGTACATCATTGGAGGAATCTTGTTCATGCGATATGTTAGAAAAGCACAGGGAGTGGAAATGATCCCAAACCGAGAGTTATGGGCAGAGTTACCTCTGTTGATCAAGGTAAACATTCTTTCCTTATGGATTTCTCTCTCTTGATCAAGTTAACTTTCTTTCCTGATAGAGTTACCTCACAAAATCAAGGTAAACATTCTTCTCTAACAGAGTTATCTCTCTTGATCAAGTCAACTTTCTTCTCTGATAGAGTTACCTCACATGATCAAGGTAAACTTTCTTCCCTGATAGGGTAACCTCACATGATCAAGGTGAACTTTCTTCCCTGATAGAGTTACCTCACATGATCAAGGTAAACTTTCTTCCCTGATAGGGTAACCTCACATGATCAAGGTAAACTTTCTTCCCTGATAGAGTTACCTCACATGATCAAGGTGAACTTTCTTCCCTGATAGGGTAACCTCACATGATCAAGGTAAACTTTCTTCCCTGATAGGGTAACCTCACATGATCAAGGTAAACTGTATTCCCTAACAGAGTTACCTTACAAAATTGAAGTGAATACTCTTCAAATACAGAGTTACCTTTCTTGATCAAGTAAAACATTCTTCCCTAACAGAATTTTCATCTATGGATAAGAGTAAACATCCCTTCTTATAGAGTTACATGTACCTCTCTTAATCAAGGTAAATGTCCTTCACGTACATAGTTACCTCACGTGATCAAGGTAAACACTCTTCCCTTACACAGTAATCTCTCTTGATCAACATAAACATTCTTTGATAGAGTTACCTCTCTTGATCGGAGTGAACATTATTCTTATACAGAGTTACCTCTATAGATCAGGGTAAACATTTTTCTCTGACAGGGTTACTTCTTTTGATAAAGGTAAACATTCTTCCCTAACAGAGTTACCTCAGACGATCATGGTAGACACTCTACCTTTATGGTGAAAGTAAACTTTATTCCCTAACAGAGTTACCTTTCTTGATCAAAGTAAACATTCTTCCCTAACAGAGTTACCTCAGACGATCATGGTAAACACTCTACCTTAATCATAAAGGTAAACTTGTTTCCCTTACAGAGTTATCTTTCTTGATCAAGTAAACATTCTGCCCTTACAGAGTAACCTCTCTTGATCAACGTAAGCATTATTCCTTTACAGAGTTACCTCACCTGATTAATTTTCTAACCCAAGACATTTAACTTTTCTTCTATGTTTATTGAAAGCCTTTGAGATGAAAATATGATACTGTATACACCAAGAAAAAAGTGATGTTCTTCTTGGTTAAGTTCAATTATGAATCTTCTTTTGACAAACTGATATCTTGTATTAACATTAAATGCTTTTTCTAGTACGGCAATGGTGTTTAAAAATCAGAAATCATGAAAAGGTAAAACCACTGTCTTGGATATTACTGAGAATCTTTATCTTGCTTGTGACTCACTTATGTTTAAGTAATTGTACTACTTCTCACAGGACGGAATACTGTTTGTTTCAAGAGGATGTAAGACAGATTCTACATATTCTCAGATCTGACAAATCCCAGCATTTCATAGACCTGATGAGTCCCAAAACATCGCAAATCTGACAAGTCCTAACATTTCATAGATCTGATGAGTACAGCATTTCATAAATATGACGAGTACCAGCATGTCATAGAGATACAGAGGATCAGGTCCTGCAGGTTCAATTATAACCTACATTTGTAAAAAAAATTTGATTGTTGGGTGTAAGAGAAAAATTAGATTCAAAACATATGATTATAAAAGGATGTGTGAAAATATGTGTAAAATACATTAAGATAAGTGATAGATACATACCGGTATTTCATATGGGTATTGTATAGTTGAAAAAAGGTAACATAGTGAAAAAAGAATAAAAGGACCATTTGTGATATATGTGTACATGTACAATGTAACATAAAGTTTGCTAATGTTTGCTAGGAAAAAGAACTGTACACAGGTATGTTAACATTGTTAGTGAGTTATACAAGTGCATTTTTATGAAGGGAAAAATTTACTTGTAAAGAATACTGGTAGAAGGACAACAGAGAGATATCAATTGTGAGATGGTAAAGAGAAAATGGTAGTGAGATGGTAAAGAGAAAATGGTAGTGAGATGGTAAAGAGAAAATGGTAGTGAGACAGTGCAGAGATAAGGGTAGTGAGACAGTGCAGAGATAAGGGTAGTGAGACAGTGCAGAGATAAGGGTAGTGAGACAGTGCAGAGATAAGGGTAGTGAGACAGTACAGAGATAAGGGTAGTGAGACAGTACAGAGATAAGGGTAGTGAGACAGTACAGAGATAAGGGTAGTGAGACAGTACAGAGATAAGGGTAGTGAGACAGTACAGAGATAAGGGTAGTGAGACAGTACAGAGATAAGGGTAGTGAGACAATACAGAGATAAGGGTAGTGAGACAGTACAGAGATAAGGGTAGTGAGACAGTGCAGAGATAAGGGTAGTGAGACAATACAGAGATAAGGGTAGTGAGACAGTACAGAGATAAGGGTAGTGAGACAGTGCAGAGATAAGGGTAGTGAGACAGTACAGAGATAAGGGTAGTGAGACAGTACAGAGATAAGGGTAGTGAGACAGTACAGAGATAAGGGTAGTGAGACAGAGATAAGGGTAGTGAGACAGTACAGAGATAAGGGTAGTGAGACAGTACAGAGATAAGGGTAGTGAGACAGTACAGAGATAAGGGTAGTGAGACAGTACAGAGATAAGGGTAGTGAGACAATACAGAGATAAGGGTAGTGAGACAGTACAGAGATAAGGGTAGTGAGACAATACAGAGATAAGGGTAGTGAGACAGTACAGAGAAAGGTAGTGTAGCAGTAAAGGATGCTGGTAATGAGATGGTAAAGAGATATAGGTGGTTAGACAGTAAAATGTGTATGTAATGATGAAGTGATGTGTATGTGATGATGAAATGATGTGTATGTGGTGATGAAATGATGTGTATGTAATGATGAAGTGATGTGTGTGTGATGATGAAGTGATGTGTATGTGATGATGAAGTGATTATGAAGTGATGTGTATGTGATGATGAAATGATGTGTATGTGATGATGAAGTGATGTGTTTGTGATGATGAAATGATGTGTGTGTGATGATGAAGTGATGTGTATGTGATGATGAAGTGATGATGAAGTGATGTGTATATGATGATGAAATGATGTGTGAGATGATGAAGTGATGTGTTTGTGATGAAGTGATGTGTATGTGATGATGAAGTGATGTGTTTGTGATGATGAAGTTGTGTGTATGTGATGATGAAGTGATGTGTATGTGATGATGGAGTGATGTGTATGTGATGATGGAGTGATGTGTATGTGATGATGGAGTGATGTGTATGTGATGATGAAGTGATGTGTATGTGATGATGTAGTGATGTATCTGTCCATGCATACTGATATGACTTTTATGGAATTAGAAATGGTTCAGAAATTCCAATGATCCATATTCATTAATAATTGATGTATCTATATGTGAGCAATAAGGCCCCATGGACCTTTTATTACTAAAGATATATTTTTCAAGATAGAGTATTAATTGTATAGGGTTACATATATATATGCTTTATATGTATTGATATTCAGGTCAGTTTTGTAAATCCTCCTACCACTAATCAGATAATCTCATTATAGAAGTCCCATTTGTTAGAGGAACATGTAAGTTATTTATCTAAAAATAAAGTCTTCTTTTGATTAGTTTATGAGTTCATAAATTAGTTGGAGCACAATGGAAATCAAATGTGAACGATTTGCCGACCATATCTATGTGATGAAATGGGATATTATGACAAAACTTCACAAACTTCAGATGGTTGGTTATGATATGCTGTATATTTAAATAGGATTGTACATTTTTATATATGTATGGGACACTTATAGATTTGTGTTTCTTTCTTTGAAAACATACAATTACATTTTACAAATAAGCTTGTCTGTAATAAGGCCAGATACACTCTATGTGTAATGATACAGATACGGTTGTGTTTCTGCTGCCTTATTGTTGGTATGGGAATGGTGATATGTTACAGAATTGTTAGATAAGGTTGTGTTTTATATATGTTTTTATGTTATGCATTTTATTTTTGCTTTTATTTTAGACTAATATGATTTGTAAAGGAGTAGAGAGAATATTCACACTGCAATGTACAACAGTATAGGATGATATTAGTAAGGCTTAATACTATTTCAGCAATACTATTTCAGTAATACTATTTCAGGTTTACTATTTCAGGATTTATCTTTTGATATTTTAAATGATTTTTTTTCTCTCTTCTTTTTGTTGCCTGTTTTTGCTTTATGAAGTATAGCTCAATGAACCCTTATATGGAAATTTTCATTTTAATATGCTCATGATAATTTTTATTTAAAGACACTAATCTCTGGTGTTAAATTCATATACATTATTCTGAGATTTTCTTTAAAACTCACTTCAAATCTTTTGAGAAAAGTTTTATTGTTGAACTATTTCTACAATGTACAAAGCATGTATGTATTTTCTTTTACATATATGTGTACATGGTAATATATTACAGATCTGACAGGTAAGGTTGTGTCTTATACTCTTTATATTTTGATATTGATCCCATACTAAATATAATTAGTTTATTCTTTAATATTAATAATTAATAGTAATATTTTGATAATTTATGATACATGAATGTACAGAACAGATCTATATTGTCCTGTTAACAGCAGATGTAGTCTATGGTCAAATCATCAAATCATATAACATGGCCTTAGCAGTTTGGCTGAGTTTTTACTGCCTCTAGTGTTGTGACACAATGCATATGCTGTACATAGACTGGGGGACAAGCTGACATAAAACATTTTATCAGGGATGGTCAGCTTGTCTAAAACAATTGCAACAATGATATAATTTCAGGTAGATGAACATATTATGAATATTTCATAAGCTGTCCAAGTTCTAAATTCACAATTGTATTATGTACATAATATATATGTAGATAACCGAACAGCAAAGAAATTCATGTGAAATGAATTATGGTTTAATGAAATGCACTCATTGCCACAATTAAAGAACAAATAAGTGTGAAAGTGTTGAACTATGAAAGAATGTACTGAAAAATGTTTGATGTAAGACAATATTTGTTCAAATAAATGTGCAGTATACCTTTCACTTTGATTAACAATGAATTGTTGAATGTGATGGCGACAGCTAGATTTAAATGCCATGTTATCAAAGATGCTTTTGCCACGTTTTTGGACGAAATGACAATAAACATTCCACTGCTTGGTGTAACCTTTTATTGAAACGTGAACCATAGTTATTATGTAGCAATTCCAAAACATTCCACTATAATAATTTTAGAAAGCAAAGTGAAACCTATCTTTAAAACCGGCTGTCATCTTATCTCCATGGATGATTTTAATAACTTAATGTTGCTTATTAAGACCAAGTCAAGGGGACGTCCGTTGTCTCACCATGGTTAATCATGATAACCTGTTGCCTATTAAGACCAGGTCAAGTGGACGTTCATTGTCTTACCATGATTAATCATGATAACCTGTTGCCTATTAAGACCAGGTCTTTAGGACTGTCTGTCTTACCTTCATATATGATCTTCGCAACCAGTTGTCAAATAAGACCTGGTCTTTTGCTGTAGACTGCAATAAATTCTACAATCTGACCTCAGTTGCTTTTAGTTCAGTTAGGCTTAAGTAGTGTTTAGAGACAATTGTAATCCCAGGTAATATTTTCACTTTCTAGTGAAGCGATGTTAGCACGATGTAAAGTCAGTCATCGATACATAAATATATACTATCATACAACATTTATTAATACTTAATTCTTCTTGAATATTTATCTTATAAATTACTGGAACAATTAATTTGAAGGGGATATGGAAGCCCAGGTACATACTTGGGGTCAAAGCATTTGTAACACGAGTTGTTTGACCTTCTTTTCTTCTGGGGGGAAAAGTCGCTGGTTGCTTTCTTTTTTATCGGAATGGGGGAGAATGACTGATAATTCCATAATTTCTGATAACTGCTATATTTCATATCAACTATCTTGTAGTATTTTATTTATCAACAAACAAGTCATTTCTTTCTTTCTTTTTTTTATTTTCCTTCTGTGTTTGGCTTATTGGGTCTCTTGTCAAAGATACTCAGTGTGAAACATACAGTGTATCTCAAGCCAAGTTGATGGGTACCGAAATGTTCTTTACTATTGAAAGAAGTGGAAAGGGATTATTCAGTTTGATAATTCAACCCCTTTTATCGTGATGGTGATGCTCGTTTTTTTTTTCATGTGCTGCATGCTAATACACAAACTGTTCCTAACTGTAACTGTGCTTTATTATATACTGTAGGTTTGTTTAACCTTTTTGCAACTTTCTTGTCATTGTCTTTCTCATGAGTCATTGGTTTGTATTATAACATTTTTTTCAGCATTTACTGTTGAACCAGTTTTTCGCCACACTATCAATCAGCATTTAAATGTTCAATGACTACTATCAATAACTAAACTCAAAGCTGTTACAGCAAGCTGAATTGTGACTATGACCCGAATCTCATGAATATTCATAACGATCATCTCATGAATATTCATAACGATCGGATAAAAAAATATGTACTGACTGTACTTCTCTGTGAGTGATACATAATTGACCAGATTAATCTAGGACTACAGACTTGATTCAATGATTCATTGCAATACTGATGTAATTATGGAATGGAAATTATTAAAATGATAGTATACTGTAGTAGTCAGTAAATAACTTCAGGGGTTCTAGATATGCAGGTGAAATTCTTTTGATTGTGATTTTTTTAGAACATGAAAATAAATATTTTTGTATCGAGAATTATTTATTTTGCTTGTTTGTCTATAGAGGTTTTGGGCTTACTGCTGTGTTTACATTGGACATTGACACTGCAAAATGAAGTTATGTTTATACTTCTCTTATCTTCCATAGTCACGTTTTATTTTATCAGTACGATGATACATGTAAAGCCAGACAGCCGGTTATGGTCGTCTGCTGAAAGGCCGAAAGTCTGTAATAGTGGATATTCATTAATTATCAGAGGCCGATAATATGTTTACGCAAGGACAATCGGATGTGTGGAACCGAATGTGTAAAATCGTGCCGGTGGTAAAAATACGGAAGCCTCTTCGAGCAGTGAGTTTTCCCCTACAAGACGCAACGCTAGAAACTAGATTGTAATAGACAAAACTGCCAGATTTTGGAAATAATTTTTCCTCTATATTTTTACCAGAGTTCACTGTGGACCTGAATTACTCACGGCTTCGCCTGTCCACTTTACATTTGTTTGTTGCTCTTGTGACGAAGGTCTGATCGAAAAGTAAAAATTCACCGGAAAAGCAATACTCTATATCCTAGATCACTCCGCTAAGATTTATGATAATAAAAAAACATTAATTGGATAGTTCTCTGCAGAATTCCAACAATATGAAATATGTTTATTCATCTTGGTAGATAAAATGTTTTGAGCTGGAATATGATTAAATATGTATTCGCTGTACATTTTTTCAAGTAGACCCATACATTTACGAATATTCAAATATTAATTTGTAAATGACGTGCTCTTTCGTGGAAAGAAGAGCCCCTTACTTTGAATATTGCGATGACCTACCTCTATACGAGAAAAAAGTGTTATGTTATTTTGTAATTAGAGATGTAATCATTTGCCACTAGGTGAAACAAATACAGAGGAGACAGAATCAAGTACAATGCTAATTATTTAATATTGTTTTTGAACCGTTTCTGTGGATGACGGTGAAAGTGTCGTTTGAACGATTGAAAAGCAAAGATTAAATGAGGGTCTCCGTATATACACCCAACTGATATGACAGAAGTATGGGGAAAAAATGAAAAAGAAAACATTGTCTCCTTAAATAAATATATATATACAACTTATAGAACGACCCGAGAAATTTCAAAGCTGATGAACTTTCAGACCCCGAGGTTTGCAGTAACCTAGAACAGTATGTCAGGGATTTGAATAATGGCAGGATGTAGACGTAACGCAACAAGTGGTTGTTGTACTAGTCATTTCTTTGTATACCGATAGTTGTTGTTTCAAAAGTTGTAAAGTTCAGTCTATTTTTGCTTTACCTCCTATTAACAGCCAAGGTCATTTAATGACGTGCCAGGTTCGGGTAAAAGAAAATCGGAATTCCTAGAGTAAAACCACCTACCTGCGGTCAGTACCTAGGGACTACCACACGATTCCAGCGACCCAGAAGTGGAGAGAAAGTGATAAAGACAGTCATCAGACGCCTTAACCCCTATTTTTTCTCTCTCTCTTTCAAAGCTATAAAACACGTCCGTTTTTGTAAGTTTTCGAAAATTACTACCTCGAGTGAAATAAATTTCATTGAACAACAACCACGAGTTTGTGTGACCTGTCTCGAGCACTAACACGCATGTTTGACATAATAATATGACTTGAAATGAAATGCCGCTATTTCCATTCTTAAAACTGGATATTTCAGAAATAGGAAATATTACGATTTATTAGAAATCCTAACAAGTAAGCAACGGGTTTATTATCTTCAAAACGATGAACATCAAAATCAAATTTGAAGCAAGTGTGAAGCGCTTTGCGATATTCCGCGAAATTCCGCGAGCACGTGAAGCGACCACCGTGTCAGCGAATCAAAACGGCTTTGCAATTTATTCCACGGATGGTATGAATGTTTCTTTATACAACAGTTGCAATGATAAAGAATTTAATCACTCCATCCTGCTTTTCTTGACATATGTAATTGACTTTCAGTCCTTGTGAATTTATCCGATACTTTGAAAAAAAAATAGGGGGAAAATGTAATGAATTGTGGGGCTAGACCCTCGATAATCCATAGTTACATTCACTTTCACTCTCTGCACCCCTGGAACATGTCATGGCAAAATTGAAGGCTCAGGCGAAGTAATTTGATTGGTTCAAGGAGAAAGCAACTGACCAACCACAGGCCGATACGCTCCTTTTGAAGATTACATCCAACGTCAAAGCCATTACAATATACCGTTATGCGACCTCGAGATTCGTTTGATGTACATCAAAGGATCGAACTAGTCTTTTCGTCTTGTCCACAAGGTGTCGCAAATGGAACCTTCAATTTTGTCATGACAAATTCCAGGGAAGGAGAGAGCAAAAGTGATTGTAACCCCTGAAGTACCGAGGGAGATGGGACTGTTGCACATCACCATCTAGTTTTTTACGTTTCTTTTGACCCATTTTGATTTTCCTCTGTCACCCCTAAATTTCTTTAGAATCACGGAGAAAATCTAGAAGGACAGAACAAATGATGATGTTACAGTTCAAAATGTTCAGCTCTGCTGTATCTATTGTTTTGTACCGAAACGTTCTGCATCTTGTGCTTTCTTTAATCAATCGTTACGATAGAAAAGGGTCAAGAGTGGATTAAATGCAAACAGTTAATGGAGGAACACAAGGACATTCGTCAATAGCGCAAACGTTAAAGGGGTCCATACATGAGTTTAATCAATCTTATATGAAACGGAGACAAATGTAAGATTCTGTTTATAACATAACTTGTATACTAAAGAAATTAATTATGAAAATATCATTTGCTAAGTCTGACTCGAAATCTAAACTAGCGACATCATCACGCTATGTCTTTCTGTGGTGACACCACAATGCATGTTACGTTATGAAGCTATGAGGAAGAATTACACGGAGACGCTATAACGACAGGTTATTGGGTATGTCTGTCCATTTATGTAATATGTAGGAGTTTGTTTACCTGATATAGGACAGCTGCTCTGCGGATAGTGGAAATTTTCCTACTTATTTCTATAACTTAAGGATGTATACCTTTCGGACATGCACAACATTATTTTTCATATCAATTATATCGAGCGCTTGACATTGAAATACTATTGTGCATGTCCTAAATGTACCACCGTATTTAACTAAAGATGTACCGGGATATATTAACTATTGAACGTATCTAGGAATATAAGCATGAAAGACTTGATTCTTATGTAACGTACGGTACTTTAAGTTCTAAATTGGGCTAGTAACTTTTTTCAGTGAATATAACTTTTCTTCCCCACGAACAAGTAAGTAATATATGACAGATATCCAAAGGCGAACAGCCCTGATATCGCTAATCTGTTGATATCATTTAACTTGACCGATAGTAGCTAGGTCAATGTTGCAAAGTGATAAATCTTCAACCCATATCTTTTCATATCATCAATATATTAAGTTTTGACATTTGTCATGTCTGCAAGTAGAAAAGTGAAATTTAAAAAATCAATTATTTGTGGGAGGGGGGATATATATTCCCATGGCAATCTAGAATGGATTGTTTATTTGTTTACCTATATCTATATACATGTACCAGCATCTTGTTGTATTGTGACTTATTACCATTTAGACATATTGATATCAAACGGGAAATAATACCTTGTAGCATTTAAATTAGAGATCCAAAATTATAATAAAATCAAATTTAACATGTGATGGAATTTGTTAATAATTTCTTAAACAAACTATTTAAAATGGGTTTCATCGCACATACTAAGCTAACCAATCTTGGTACATCTTATCCAGAGACTTCGGACTAGATAGTTGTATGTTACTATATATAGTCACATGACGGGATGAAAGTTACTACGATAGATGTCAAATCTGTTGACAATGGAATGTAGACGTCAGGTTTCAACCTTGGCAGTTCTTTGTCTTTTCGTCTTGGGAGCTGTAGCACAGAAGCCTACATGTAAAAAGCTGTCGAGTTGTTCCTGCAGAGATGACACAGGATTAGTAATAGATCTAACACCCCTAGCAAACACGGATACGACACCAAGGTACGTATTATACCGGTCAGGTAACATTAAGTCTTAGATACCAATGTGGATCCAAGGTCCATAAACGGTTTCAGACACTCATTTAACGATTGATTCCTTTGCAATTTCTCTAATCTGCTATTAAGTTCTGTTTATGACATTGACCTTTTACGTGGAAAATGTTTGAACGAATAAGACGTGCGTCTATTTGTGGCGTCTCAGCGTATTTTATGGCAATCTACCTCAGTATCATTATACGTGTTAAGGTGAATGAATAGCTCAACCGAAATACGTTTTGTATGAACATTTTAACGTTTCTTATCTTAAAACATATCTGAATGTGTGTTTTACTGTGTATTTGTATGTATTTATCAATTGTATTTGAAAGTTTAAAATACAAATTTAGAACCAAATACAGTAGAACTGTGTAATGAATTATACTGCATCATACAGCTGTTTTGTCGTTCTATAACTCGTCAGTGATAATAAGGGCATACATATAAAAATCTAGACGGTGACTGAGAGGGAAATAAAAAAGTGATAAAACAAAATGTCAAAATCTAAGTGGATAAGTTCACTTGTCCAATAATTTCAATAAAATCCGTTATTTTGTGTTTGTGATAATTTTTAAATGAAAGGTAAATGTGGATATTTCTATTCAAATTCGAATTAAAACGTGGCATGCTTTACCAATTAAGGAACTGTCAACAGCGGAGGGATATTAATACGGAATAGGGATAAATGTGATTAAGCGTTCCATGCTGATTTTATCCATTTGGCATTCATAATGCCCGTACATGCTAACTAAAACAGATGAATTCTGATAACTAGCAATTTCAATTTCTATCTTGTGATTCTGAAGGGGAGGCAACTAGGGTTATTAGTTCATGAATGAATACAGTTTATATGTTCATGTTGTTATTAGTAAGAACTGCATCTGTGTTTGTGTGTATATGTATTCGAATATTTACTCGAATTTATATTTCTATGTGTGTTGTTTTGTAAATGTCAGTCTGTTTCTAAAATAAGCTTGCTTACTTATTTTACATATTCATTCACTCAGTTACAAGCGATTTCATACTTGTTGATAACGTATGCCATATGTTGTCTATGACAACATGCTATATACGTTTTCAGCTTCGGAAGTGTACTTTGAAAAAGCTTTGAAAATTTTGTATAAAATGTTCATAACATCCTGTAAACTTTGAACTGAGATATAGAAATTAGTGTTCTGGATTATTCTATCTTATTATTTAGTTGCATTGATCATTGGATACATAACATAACATAACTTAAGGTATTCGGAAATACGCATGTACTTGTTTTATAGGACGAGTCTCACCATCCTTGCAAAGGGACAGATTAGCACTGAGAATGAATGACTTGCTACTACATATAGAACCAGACAAAAGTGACATACAAACGTTGATATAATTGATAAATAACACTTTTTACAATCTTGCATACAACGCATGTGTAAATTCCAGATTCCAAGATGTCCCAGACTCGAAGGGGAAGACAGATGTCTATTCCTGGAATCCGTGTGAGCAGTTTACAGAAGGCACCTGTGTGAATGAAGCAGTAAGGATATGATATATGCCGGACACAAAACTTCAGAACCCTGATCACAGTTCTGTGTAAATCATACTCAATTTGTCTAATAGGTGACGCCCTTAAATCTGAGAATGCCGGAAGTGCTGACACAAAAGCCAGTGTGATTTACCTTTTGTAAAATGTTTTGGTAATAACTGTGTTAGAGAAATTATTTTCGTTTCTCGAAATTTCAGTATTTGATATTCCTATTGGAATAATCATGAAAAACACAATATTATGCATCGATATGCAGTTCTCTGTAAACATTAACTGTAGGTACACACATTTGTCACTATGTCGTCTTATACCAATTAGACAGATCTATTGTTTTGTGTTCGATTTGGTTTCAGACATGCAGCTGAATTGTATTCACCGTGTCGTCTCTATATTCTTCCGTGATCTTAAAATCAGTGCTAGTATCTCGCGACAATTTCCCTTACAAGACTAACTTAATTGTCACTAACCTATTTCATGAGAATTCGTTATTCCAATTTAGAAATTTCTTGATGATGTTGATTTGCCGTTTTCGCAATGTATAAGGTATCTTTTTGTACCTAGACAAGATGTACCAAATTTTACATCTTGGAAACGAGCCATGATTAATGCACAAGGGATAGAGCCACGCTGATTTGATATCTTATTGATGGTTAACGATTCGTAATTGCTTTGTCTTGAAAGTTAAGGAAGACTGAATGAGTGATAATTATATGGTATGGTATCTTGAAACATTCACGAAGGACGGTGTTCTGAGAAAAGTCTTTCAGCAGTTTATTTGTATCAAATTAGTATAGTTTAAACAACATTAGCACTCATGGAGTAAATTTACTTTGATTTCATTAATACACATTTTCACGAATTCATATTTCCGCGGTATGACTAACAGTTGAAACTGACAGGTGTACTCTTTATCATCGAACGTACGTAACAAAGAAAAAGTACTTAAAAGTACACAAAAGTTTTTATCACGAACAATGTTGGTATCTGTAAGGTTTGGTCAACGTTAGAAGTTCTAGAAATGCAAATTCGTCAGTTTCCAATAACTCTGATATTACTATATGTAATCATATAACTGATACATGCCGCCATTACCAACTACTTTGAACTTCATATATTCTTAGTACATGATCTATTTTACATGTTTTGTTGAATTGAGTGATAGAAGGTCTCATAAATGTAAATGATTTTAACGTTAAGACTGAATGGACTGGATAAGTCTAACACCACAGATCACCACATTATTTACATGCAATTTTGGTAGATCTAATAGGTATGTTATGTTTCCTACGTATCTTTATCTGTATCTGTCTCGGATGTCATATTTTATGATTCTCCACAATCACGGTATCAATCTGTTGAATTGTGTTTTGTTTAATCTTCATTAAATTTTGTAAACATTACTACCGATGAAGGGAAGGTGTGAACGACACACTTACTATAGTATTGAACAAAGTATTGATACTATTGTATTGAAGTATTCAAATAATCGAGTACAACGACCTCTGTGATTGGATAGACAACCTGAATAGTTGATTGACACCCAATTTGTTCCGGTAGGCGGAGTTAATGTACACTACCAGTTACATAACAATTACTAAGTAATTGGAAAAATGTCCGACGACGGCAACAGTAGCAAAAACGAAATTATGTCCGATACGAACATCCTGTTTTTGTACAAGGCGATGTGGTTGTGATGGATAATTGTGGATTCCATCACCATAGACAGGGAGAGCGCATTTTAAGAAATATGCTGAAAGAATATGGCGTGTCCCTGGTTTTTTAGCCGCCTCATTCCCCGTAATACAACGTAACTGAATATGTATTCAATGTCATGAGACAGAGGCTTCGGGCAAATACCCGACTTGTGTCAGAATTTCTGGAACTTGCAGTAGTAAATGCTCTAGATATTCCGCCCAACCAACTTCAAAGTTTTTTCACATGTTGCGGATATGTATAATTTTCGATGGAAAGATAAAAAATAAAATAAAAAATATATGGGACCACAGAATTCCTTTATCTTTTAATGCAGTATGAATTATCGGCATATATCAGGAGGTCCCAGGTAATTCGTAATTCTTTGTTACATATAATAGAGCTTGGGCTTAAACCGAAATATTTTGAGCCAACCCCCCCCCCCCCCCCCCCCCCCCCATTTCAAAAAAATAAATAAATAAAACTAGTACAGAATGACTATATGACTATATTCACTGTTAAGATGTTATGAATTCTCCGGTCCCAGTGATCTAACCTGTTGATATATTTTGTACGTAAATTAGTTTAGTACTGAGTAACTTTCGTTTTCTCGTGGTACCATCGATGGAAAAGCAAGGTATCATTGGGTGTAGAACGAAACAAATGGGGCAACCCAATTAGGTCTGATCTGAAGCCACCAGTGACTTGGACTCTTCCAATTAACCTCTCGCGACAGTCGAGTGTTTGTAAAATGCCGATGTCTGCACAGTATTTTTTCACCTGGCTCCACCCACAATCGATCTAGACTTGGCTCTGCCAATCAGAGAGCTTGTTGCATAAATTTAAGGAATTCGATTGGTGAAGTACTTCAGTACAATACTATCAATACTTTGTTCAGTATTACAGTACTTGAAACGTTCACACCTTCCCTTCATCGGTAGTAAAACAATGTTGACTAACAGACAAGTCTCTCTTTATGTAGGCTTGTAAAGTGAGCCCGTCCGGAATGATAACTCAGTACTTGGGCATTGGTACACAGGATTCAGCCACATTTTCATACGATGACAATGGATTGCTCACCCTACAGTACACTGATAGCAATGTGTAAGTTAACTCCATTCAGTTACCATTGGAAACAGATCACGAAAATAGCTAACGAAGAACAAATGCAAGAAACATATATAGACTTTACTTAATTTACAACAATTGCGAGCAAGTTATTTCAATTTATACTCATCACTCATGTTAGCCCAGATTTAAGTGCGCGAGTGGTGCAAACCGGAGAACCCGGAGACAACCTACGTAGTCGGACAAGTGACCCCTTACCTTTTCACGTCCTTTCAGTGAATTAAACCGCGGGCGGTAAGGTGATAGGCAGATTCATCGCCACTGCGCTACCCAACTACCCAATAACATTGATAAAACAACATTATTGAGCAGTATTAAACCTAATTGTTGTGTCTGTTGACAGAACCACTGCAGTTAACATTATCTGCTCGGAGGATGACGAAGGGTCAGTGACAGCCTATGGGCTTGATGAGGAGGGTGGACAAAAAGAATACGTAAGAGTCATGACTGTCTTTCTTCTATCATTCTATATACGTCATTAGAAAGGTGCCATAATCCATTAAAATCATTATTTTATAATCTCCCTGCTCAAATATGACAATATTATTTGATTAATGGTTCATGGTTGTAGATCAGCTGTCATATATGACGACTTCTGATCGACTTTTGTGAATTCACAGTAAACAATATACAAAGTCATATTATAATTAATAATTTAAATAAACCTTATTTAATTGTTAATTTAAAGTTTACATGTCATTTCAACAATGTCGGTCATTAAAATGATACCTGAACACTGAAATTATTTACTTTTAGTGTTTTGGTTACTTAGGTATCGATACATGTTTAAAGGTTCTTTTAGGTGTGAATATTATATGATCTTTTCTAGTCTAACTGATGGCTGGTTATGCATGTACAATGACCTTCTTAATGATAATTATCCAATGACAATTACATGTATTGTAACAATTTCCCTTCTTTTACAGCATTTTGAATTGAAAACTCAATATGCCTGCCCTCCGAAAATTTCTGGAAATCATTTATCAATCGGGACATTCATTTGTATAGGGTAGGTAAAATATATATCAACTGGTACACCACTGTATATAAGGTAGGTAAATATATGTCAACTTGGACACCACTGTATATAGGGTAGGTAAATATATGTCAACTGGGACATCACTGTATATAGGGTAGGTAAATATATGTCAACTGGGACACCACTGTATAAAGGGTAGGTAAAATATATGTCAACTGGGACACCACTGTATATAGGGTAGGTAAATATAAGGCAGGTAAATATATGTCAACTGGTACACCACTGTATATAGGGTAGGTAAATATACGGCAGGTAAATATATGTCAACTGGTACACCACTGTATATAGGGTAGGTAAATATATATCAACTGGGACACCACTGTATATAGGGTAGGTAAATATATATCAACTGGGACACCACTGTATATGGGGTAGGTAAATATATGTCAACTGGGACATCACTGTATATAGGGTAGGTAAATATATGTCAACTGGGACATCACTGTATATAGGGTAGGTAAATATATGTCAACTGGGACATCACTGTATATAAGGCAGGACACTCCTGTGTATAGGGTTGGTGAAATATAAATCTACCGGGACATTCCTGTGTATAGGGTAGGTGAAACATAAATCTACCGGGACATTCCTGTGTATAGGGTAGGTGAAACATAAATCTACCGGGACACTCCTGTGAGTAGGGTAGGTGAAATATAAATCTACCGGGACACTCCTGTGAATAGTTTTGGTCAAATATAAATCTACTGGGACACTCCTGTGAGTAGGGTTGGTCAAATATAAATCTACCGGGACACTCCTGTGAATTAGGTATCTACAATATATACCATATGGGACATTCCTTTGTATAGAGCAGGTACAACACTAACCTTAGTGGCAAGTGATGGTCTTAAAAACCTGCGAACATTTACTGTGATATAATTATGGATAGTCATAGAATCTTATATCCTTTCTATTTTTACAGACAGTTTATACAGTTAATTATAAATAATGTATTTGATGATGGCTTTCACCTCAATCAGGAGTCTTATTAAACAAATGTATATTTTCAGAGAGGATATGAGTATAGTTATGTTCAAAATATATCATTTATTTACATTGCCGGTGTTTATTCTCTGTTTGGCCTTGCAAATGAAATTGATGCTTACACTTCAGATAAACGCTCCGCTAAAATAGAATTAACTATTTCGTTATTTTTCATGAGTGCGTATAACGTCCAATGAATGAGTTATCTTTATTAAGTAGCATGAAAAATAACTGTCAAGATACATAATACTTTTTATACTGGCGTGTAATCTGCATTTTGTTTACAGATAATTCAACGCACGTCATTCAAAATATCTGCAAATATGCAGTTTACACATCGTGTAAAAACAAAAAAGTGTTTCCAGGTGAATAAAAATCTTAGCTAAATAAATTTCACCAGTCCATTAATTATAGATTATATCATGTTTCTCGTTTTTTTTTAGATTTGGAGCACTCCTTCTTGTGTATTCAGTCGCAGGAGTTTTATTTCAAAGTTTTGTGAGGAAAGAGACTGGAAAGCATAGAATTCCCAACTTAGTCTTATGGTTGGCAATTCCGGCATTAATCAGGGTAAGACATTTAGGATATCACTAACCTTATCATTTCAGCTCGTTCTGACTTAATAGAATGTACAGAAATCATATGTGGTAGACGCTGCTGGTGGACATTTATTCTCCGAGGTTTGTTGTATTATGTATGCCACGTTTTAATTAATTCGAATAGTGACACGATTCACAATACATATGTACTTGATGTTCTTTTGACAATTACGAAATGAATTAGATTTTGGAATACGTTTCTCTCTATATTTGTATATTGACATTTATTCAATCGAGTCTCACAAAGACGAAATAGCTATATGACGTTCAGTTACTTCATTATTGGGTTACACTATGTCTAATTCCAAATGTATTGAAAGGTGCCATATTTAAATGAGTGTTTGGAATGCATTTTATTTACTAAGATATAACAATATGATGATTTAGGATCATTTTAAGGAAATTGCACACATAATTATTGAGAAGCTTATCTAAAGCTATTAGTAGATAATTTATTTTATTAGTTATAACGTTATTCACTAAAGCTACAATGATACGAAAAAATGCCTTCTTATCTTCTCCATATTTACCATTATCGTGTACATTAAGCCATTTGAAAAACAAATATAGAACTGCATGGAAATCAAGAAAAGATAATCTTCAGAGTTGATGATGATATAATTGTTATAAACAATTTAATTGTTTCAGGACGGCGTGATGTTTGTCGTGACGAGAGGGAAAAGAAAGGTGGCGTATGACAAGATATAGGCTTCCATCTAACGGTAACCTGAACATAGGCCAGTGTTTGCTGTTAAAATCATTATGTCTTCGATAACTATCATGGCATTATTGCTTCTAAAGGTCAATTTGGAATGATTTTCAGTGCATGTCATAGTTTGAACTTCAGTTCTGTGAAGAACGTTGGTGCATTCAAATTTCAGCGCAATATCGAATTTTAACAAAAAAATAATTTGTGCCTTTACAACAAAAATTATAGTTGGCGGAATCATATTTTGATGCGTACGTTTATAGTATATATAACGGTTTCGTATTACCTTGGTCTGAACCTTTTCTGATGATTTTTAACATTATATTGTAATAGGACCACAATGTTTCTGTTTACCCGATGTATAATTACTGACACTTTCTTTGTCATAACAATGTTCAAAACTATGCTTTGCCAGTTCGATATCACATAAAATTTAAAATGGATTACCTATAGCTCGTTAGTTTTCTAAGATTTGATTGGAGATTTTAAAAATTATTAGATATTATAATATTTGTTATTTGATCATTTATCTGCCTTCAGTGACTCTATACGTCAACATCAAGTCAAACTCAATGTTATCAAACCCATAAAAAAACCCCTAAATGTAGACTTCTAAAAGAAGAGTGAAAATTCCTCCTCAAAGGTTTTTGAAATTTCATTAAATCTAAATTTATTTGCACAGAAAATAATGCTTTTGTATTCCGTCAAATGATATTGACCTGTTAATTAGACGCTACATATACCGGTACTTTTTTGTCTTTCTTTACTACTGTGGACATTACCTTGTCCTGCCCAAAATTTGTCAGTATATGACGGTTGTCGTCGATGAAGCAAACGACGCTTACCCCTCCGAAACACCTGGTTTTGTTCTACTTGCACCCTGTCATTTTCAAAAATATGGTTTTGTTCCTATTGCCTGGTGCTGCTAAACTTGTGCGGTGTCATATTCTAATTGATATTGACTTGTCCCGTTTGGTTTATGTCATATACATACGTTACATGTCAAATTTAAATTGTCTGATATCAAAGGTGGTTAAGAATACATGATATTCACTGTCGCAAGAAAAATGCTTACCTTTCCGGAATTCCAGGTCTTGTTCGCCTAATACCTCTGAATGGTTTTCATGTAAATTTATCTTTTGTTCAGGTTTAATCTCGTCAATCGATTTTGTATTCAGATTACCTTGTCGATATTTCCATGCTGTTTTCACAGGTAAAGTCAAAGGCAAAATACAAAATGTTTGTTTGAAATTCGCAGATAAATAGCAATAATTCATGCAACTAAATCTAGATAATATTGTCTCCTTTATCATATCTAATTCAAATTTATATTGAAAGAACATAAGTTCTATTGAAAGAACATAAGTTATATTGAAAGAAACATATTCTGTGATAACTCAATGATACTTATAATTTTAATGTAAATAAAAAAGTAGAACAACTTAGGTCATCATACACTTAAAATCGTGGTTTGTTGAAATGCCTACTGCAGATTTGTATTTAACTGAGTACTAAAGGTTCATCTTAATCTCTTTTTTAATGAATAATGGACGTTTATGTAATATTGTGTATGCATGTATTTTTTGTATTTGAATTTTAAACTACATCATATCATAATGGGATATTGCAATTAAATGTTATTAAGAATACTATCAGTGTATTTTTACATGTTTTTACATATCACATTATCGTATATGTCATATAACTTGTTTAATTAAGTATTCTGCTCAGCTGTAGTGTCAGGTAGAACTTATGAGACGTCACAACATCGGTTCATTTGTTAGCTCCTTCAAAACTTTTTGTTGACGACAGAGCTTGATTTAAAACATGCTTGGTCGAGGATTGTATTGTAGATAGATGCAGATTCGGTTGGGAAAATACCGATTTCAGTCTTTAAAAACCCTTCTCTGCCTTCACACTTATGCATTTTTATTTCCATATTTGATAAGCATCATTCTCTCAATAGTTTTCAAAATACCCATTGACTTGAAAGTTGAATTTAACCTGAACATCCTTGGTTTAAAACATAATAAATGGATAGTAATAAATTATAAACAGTTTATTGTTTTCAATGGGCGGTGGGTCAAACGGGGGAATAAGTGATAAAACCTTTCTTCTCCTTAAATTTAAAATACACTTCTATTCAAATATGTCTAACGAAAACTTTGAAGATCGCAATGTGAATTTGTTATTTGATTTTGATGTTTAAACGAGATTGGCAGGGAACTGACCACAAAATATTAGAGTGGTGGCAATGATGTTGGCAAAGGGGGTTGGAGGTGGGGGGGATTAATTTATATAACATCAACCCCCAACCCCCAGCCCCTCCCCATCGTATTTGCAGGTTATAAACTAATGTTCATAAGCATGATTTATGTATTGCCATGTCTTCATAATTAACACCCAGACGTAATATAACTGATTATTAATTTAGCAGAGTGTTTAAGGATAAAAAAAAATCGCATTACCAATTGTGAGCTGATGACATTTAATAAATCAACTACAAATCAATGGGGAAAGAGACGAGGACACTACAATGTGTACCTTTAAAGATTATATTTCTCAATAGGGATTTTTATTTTCAAGTATGCAAATATATATAAGACATTAGCTTCATTGAACAGAGGCATAAGAGTGTCAAGGAGCAGAGTGTCAGAAACATTTCTGCACGATCGAATGGTCGGGCTTTGTTTAACCATACAAAGGAACACTACTCACAAAGAAAACGTCCATTCCATTTGACTTATAATTATAACAATATGAGTTTATACAATTAGTGCAAAACATTCTTATGTCACGTGATAACTATTTGAGTCCTATATTACCATTCGTTCAAATGAAAATTAAAATAAAAGAAATAATTGAAAATACAGGGTGAAAAAATAACAAGAAAGGTTATTCATGGCTTCAGAAGTATCATAGAGTGCCCTAAAAGACTATTTATACGACGGTTGATTTTTCAATCTTTAGATGTGTCAACAATGGCATACACATGAATTTTATTCCTAAAATTCAGCTATGAGATTATGAAGAGAATGATTTATCCATAGATGAAAATAAATGTCTACAATGGTTTGAAAAGTTGTTTGCAGAAGAATTCGATACCCTGAACGTACTACACTACTTGTAGGTTATGAAGAGAATGATTTATACATGAAAATAAATGTGTACAAGGGCTTGAAGAGATGTCTATAGAATAATTCGATACCCTGAACGTGCTACACTACATGTAGATTATTGATATAAGTAAATAGACAATTCATTTGACCAGTCAACAACTAAATGTCAAACTAGCAACAAGTATTCTCCACCAAATCATTTGGTGTAAAAAATGTAATGATTGTGACAAGACTAATCGATCCAAGAAATCAAAGGAATGCAAAACGTGAGCATGTCCGAGTACATATAATTAATACTATTCACCCTAATTAGTATTGTTTCATTAAATTGATAAATATCCCGATTACTATTCATCTCGATTGATATTCTATACTATTATTCTGAATTGTATATTTCCGATCTAGAGCACCCTACACATAAATATGGACAATTCCATTGTGGAGAATTAAGAAACGTTTCAAAATCTGTCTAATAAAACGTCCAAAAGTATCACACGGGAAAACCGGAGAGGAATATGATCCTACTGTTTATTATGTTGAATGTGTATAGACTGGGAAACACAACATTCTTGAGAGCAAACTCGTTGTGCTTTATTACAATAACATTGTTGACATTCAAACAGTTCAAACACTTCTACCCGTTGTCGTCTTGTCAACATTTAGAGATTCAAAATGATATCCGATCGTCAATATTCTGAGCTTTTGTGTTCTGATCTCTACAGTCAATCAATAGGACCCTTCTAGTTGTTTCCATTATAAGTATTTTATTTCATATTTAGTGTTCTGACCTCTGGTTAAACTATCATACAACTGTGGGACAATTCTCGTTGTTTCGATAGCCTGCCTCTGTTTTATGTGCTGATCTCTAGTTAAACTATCATACAACTGAAAGCCAATTCTCGTTGTTTCGATAGCCTGCCTCTGTTTTATGTGCTGATCTCTAATTAGACTATCATACAACTGAAAGCCAATTCTCGTTGTTTCGATAGTCTGCTTCTATTTCGTGTTCTGATCTCTAGTACGATATAGCATACATACCAATCTCATTGTGCTTCTTGTCCTGATCCATTCCGCGTTTGTCCATCTGTAACAGAGTCTGCTGATGGTATTCCTAAGTTTATATTGATTCCCATTCATTCATATCATTCCACTCACTAAAGTGATTATCAAGTCAACTACCTGCTTATATAGTAAATTCTAGAAATAAAATTGACCATCTTGTAACTTTATGAAATTACCCATTTAATAAATATTTATATTTTCTTTTTTTAAATAATTCTGTTTTTTAATCGATACCCTAACGAATTTGGTTCGAAGTTGGTTTATATTCATCTCAGCATAATAATCTCCTACAATGAAAAATCTATTTGAACCCCAAGGCATCTCCCTCTTCCATGGAAGAATCACCTTCATCCTGCCGTAGAAAAATCTCAATGTCATTCAATAACAACTAGAGTTATACTTCTTTGGATGATGATCTATAAATGTTGATACAGACGTGACGTTTCCTATGGCATGTTTCTTCCCATGATACATCATTCAAGATTGACGACATCCATGACAACCATCTTGAATATTACATCTTACGGAAAATATAGGCCAGATAAAATCACATCTCTAGATACATTGATTAATATAGTTACAAATAAATTGTAACTTCGTGACAATATATATGTTATTATTTTGAGTGAATTGTGGTTCATTGACTGATCGCCTCTGCCAAAGTTAATGAAAAAGTTCTAATGATACAGGTGCATTCGTCCACTCAACACTGTGTGCCTTTACAGAAAATTAATGTCCTTCCCTTATGGCCAACACATAGATGACGGAAATTGATATGTTATTTACCAATCGTAGGAAACTACAACATAAAACATACAAAATATATTAACATAATGTAAATAACACTAACAAGACATTACGATTGTTGACCTCAAGGAATGAAAGGATTGCTAAGGGCAGTCACATCCACAAGAGTGAGTGGTCGAGTGGCACAGTGGTAACGCACTCGCCTTTCACCTATCCGTCCGGGGGTTCGATTACTAGAACGGACGTGAAAAGGTAAAAGGTCACCTGTCCGGCCACTTGGGTTTTCCACGGGTACTCCGGTTTCCTCCCACAATAAGACCCCTCGCACGCTTACATCCGAGCCAACAAGAGTGCTTATTATAAGTTGAAATAAGTTGTTTCGCAATTGTTGTAAAATAAATAAAAATTATATTATTGCATCTACAAGAGGAACCTTGTATAGTGATCACTATGTTACTTATGAGTTGGACTTGAATGATTCAGAATTTACACATAAACTACAAACCAACGAGTTATGGGAACACTGAAAAAGATAAAGACACTACAGGTTGTTTGTATATGATAAATTCACAGACACAACTAACTAGTCATAAATTTCATTGAGAAACAAAGATACGTACAACATTTATTTGACAATTATAAATAATCGGCATGTTATTTTTTCACATATTATTATAATGCTAAAAACAACCAATATTTCACTGTATTTACATTTCCGATTTGTATTTTCCATTTGGCCTAATCAGCAAAGTTGATGTTTCAACTTCTGTATACGTCAAATCTTTCCCGGCAAAAATGAAATTAGCTATTTTACAACTCCATCCATGAGTGCGTACAGCGTTTCTAGGTAGTGTAAATATCAAAAAGTTTCGAAATTTAAATATAAGATTTTTTTTTCATTAATGTTAATTTGTGTAAACGGCATTTCGTTAAGATATATTACAATATAATACGCTAACGAGAGTCATTCAAAATATCTGTAAAAAAGATGTGAATCGGAAGAGAAAAATATTTCTTAAATCAACACGAACGCTTCGAGCCAGAAATGAATGACACGTTGACAAATGATTCCATACCATAAGGTTGAACTGTTCCGATGATTAGGTCTGAATCATAAGATGTTTGATTAACTTGTTTACACATAGATGTCTTAACGTAAATCAATAATTCGTAGAAGCATATATATATATATATATAATGTATAAAGGAAAGTGACTTTACATCGTTAAAACCTCAAATTATCATTGCTTTATGAAAACTACTAACAAGTTTGGGCATATTACTAAATTGCACAGTAACCGCATGGTTGCATTTTCGGAGCAGACGACAATCTCTTTATTGAAGGTAAACCTTCTATGTATTATGGGTAAAACTAACAAAGAAATCCACAGATATTCAAGTACAGCAAGTAACTCTACACTGACACAGACGTGTATATCAACGTGGCAGTTTGCTGTGGTTTGACTACATGCACTATCTGTAAATTGAGGTAAAATTCGTGACTCAGGACGACAGACCGATCACAGAGCTTGGGATCAGGTATTTTCTTCTTTAATTTTCATGCAGTGTAAGTTCTACCGTGTATCATACCGCTTAAAAAGAAGCAATCTTTTACTTGTGTGTGTTTTGGTCAATCTTTGCAGAAGTGAATACGTTAAGCCCTGGTCATCATGTCGATTTCTACACAGAATATACCTCTGAACAATGGTATCAAAATGCCAGTGTTTGGCCTGGGAACATGGCAGGTACGTTTTCAAAATCAAAATATGTTGTAAATACCGTATATATATGAAAGACCAAAGGGGTCACAATTCAAACATTGCAACTCTGCTATAGCATTGCAAAATCCAAGTGGTTTCATTGAAGATCATCGTCATACTTTCATCAGATACCAATTACTTAGTAGTCAATCACAGTGAGACTGATAGTAGCGTACATCGTATGAGGGCATATGTCTAAAGCTGAATGTTACATGGTTGATTAGTGATTGTAAAAGTACTATAGCCATACCACTATTCATACCTACTTTCGCTTTGGTCGTGATTTCGAAACGTAATCGATGTCTCATAAAGCAACTTGAGGGCTAACTCTAGGGCCAGTGGTGACCTTTTGCCTTCAAAATGGATGTAGACCTGGGAACTAAACCCAGTTCATGGGTCCATGAGATCTCTTGTAAACTACGCTATCATGGACTCACTTAAACAGGAACATACCTACTCGTAAACGTTGTGATTACTATGTTTCGTCTTAGAGATATTAAAACAAAAATGTTGATCCTTTTATAGATAAATAGCTGGACGTGCAGGCTGTCCTAGAATCTCTAGATACTATGTACGACTAGAGCTTAGTCCCTATAATAGGAAACTGTAATATGTAGGACACCTTTTTTATCAAATGAAATATGACTGTGGTGTAATCTGTAAAATTGTGGTCAGACAAATCGGGTATTGATGTATCATAAAGTATGATGTAAAAAGTGGGTCGAAAGGGTCAGCGGTCTAGCCTCTTACTCTCCGAGACTACGACCAACGCCAATGTTTTCGATATGACGACCAAAATGAAAGTAGCCATATTTCAGGCCCTGATGCAAAAGGATGTTATGGCTTGCATACCCCCCATAGGTTACATGGTAAGCACACTGTATAGTATCGATACATTAAGATATGCGGTACTGTTATTTTTTGGGCCGTTGAAGACCATTGAAAACAACAGGCAAAACTAACCAATGAACTGTCCGTTTATGCTTTCTAACAGCGTTGTCTGTTAATGAGATAAATATAATATGAATCTAGCATAATGAGAGTCAAGGATGTCATGTTTCTAATTTCAGATATCCCGTATTGTAAAATATACTTACGAAACTCCTGTCCAAACTATCGAGTTTACAATATAATATTTTAACATAAGAATGTAATACAAGTTACAAAGCATTTTTTATTTTCGTTACTGCAACAACATTAATTATTTTAAACTCTAATCTGGATATATAGGCTTAATAAGCCTGCGTCCAATATATTATTATTATTCATTATCATTAACATAATTGCATTGTTGGAAGTTTGAGCGTATAACCTACGTTGTACACGTTGTCAAACACAAAACTATTGTAAATCAAGTCACATTTGCTTCATTGAAATATCACAATGTTACAATAATTTTGAGTATCGGGGTGCAATGTAACAAAACTTTCTTTAGTTGTAACAAACCAATGAGTTACAAGGATGTTGACCTCCTTTTGGCATTCAATATATATTCAGAGAATTGTATGATGCAATCAAATTGATTATTTGGCTCCAGTGTACCAATGTGTATTTGATTCCTTTTTTAATTATCTTTAGATTGTGTTATTCACTTGTGTGTAACTTTACAAGCTGTTACATAAATCTGATACGCATTTTCACGTCATTTTGCAGACGATATCAAAGAAAAACCGGTTATTAAGCTTTTGATTCCCTTAGCCTTATCCTTTCGTTTACCAACAAAACGACACTGAGGTCATCAAAGTGTTTTCATTCCGTAGAAATAGAACATACTTTATAAAACATGTTGCAGTAAATGTATCATAATTCCTTATTTAGTATGTTTTATGCATATCACTTTTTAAGGTCATTAGTTCTGTTTATAAATCCATACGTAAAATAACATGTTACAAATTGTTAGTTACAATGAATGATCTCTTTAATCAGACAATAGAGCAATCTGTTCAAAACTCATGAATAGATGTTAGGCGCAGAGGCGTTAGGTTTAACATGTAAAAGTATGTGTAAAAAAACGATAAACGATATTGGTCGCCAAAGACTGAGACTGATGCCGCGTAATCTGTGGTAGCATTGTGGGTAACCTTCAGTAAAGTCACATAATGAACGTAGATAAGGCCTTGTTATCAAAAGAACACACAGCTGATTATCTTTCTGATTAGAAACATTGTTAACGTGCTTAGAAGTAATTCCCTATGATGGTAAAACTTCTCTCATTTGCGTTTTGCAATCTTATTCGATCGCATAATATATATGTATCTGTCTTATTTGAGTTTATTTATCAACTTGTTACAGAGCAAATCCGAGGAGGTTAAAACGGCCGTCAGGACCGCCCTAGATGTTGGTTACCGTCTCATCGACACTGCATTCAACTACCAAAACGAGGATTTAATAGGGGAAGTCCTGGAGGAGTATCTGAAAACAGACAGAGTTAAGAGAGAGGACCTGTTTATAACAACTAAGGTACATAACATTATAATGTGTCTATGAACTGGTAACAGAAAGGTCAATTGGAAGTTGCTAAATAGTGGGGATGTCCCAAAAATACATTGAGGAAAGGGAATGCTTCATTGTTAATTGAGGCGGAAGTGAAGGTGTCTGTTACTAAGTAGTCGGCAGTGAGGGAATCTGTTGTGAAGGAAGTCGGAAGTGATGGGATCTGTTGTTAAGGAAGTCGGACGTGAGGGAATCTGTTGTTAAGTATGACGAAAATGAGAACGCTTGTTGTGTCACGAAGATGAGGATGAACATTAAGAACTTATTCAAGTTATATTACTTAAAGGAATTTCTTTATTCTATGATAAATCTTTGGTTAATCCAAATGATTTAAACGAATTATATTTGCAGTTAGGAAGCATCCTTACTCGACCGACAGATGTTGGATATTCCCTGTCGGAGAGCCTTCGAAAACTACGACTTTCCTACGTCGATTTGTTCCTTATACACATCCCTCTGGTGTTGAAGGTGAGTTATAACGTCATAATGAGCAGCAAATATTGTTCACATACCGATATATCTTCAGAGGTTTTCGTTTCCATATGCAGAGTTTGTTACATTCGTGGATCCAATTTTGTCTCCTAAAAATGATAGCACAAGTTATCACAATCAAATATCAATGCATGATCGTTTATTGGCAAATTTTCAACCAACAAGGATGAATTCGTGAATATATTAATTACTACATAAGCAGCACAGAGAGACTGCAATAAACACTTAAATAAGACTACCACTTAAATACATATGTTTACAGTATATAATCATGGATATGTCAACACACACTGGCGCTATGGCGTGAGAGGGCAGACCGAGGTTCGTCAGATCAGTTAAAACATGGATGTTCTTTGCATTAATGTAAATCATATTTTATTTTTGATAGAAGACAGTTCCATAAAATATGCCGCAAACTTAAACCCACCATTACACAATTAACCATTGTTCTCATTTGGAAACGTCCAACCAAATAAACGTTATCAATCACATTTAACTCAGCCAAAGGTACATACTATGAGGAAATGAGCAGAGCATGTTTTTGGCTTGCTTAGTTTACTTCTGTGACTGTATTTTTACTGTGTTCTCCAACAGTAAAGAAGTCCCTTCACTCTACATTTTTCAAATATTGGATAAGATAGTGTTGCAAGTGATGCTCCATAATATGTGTGGTTTAAAACGTGGCAAAAGGGATGCAATTCATTATTGCAAATCGGTGTTTTAAAACAATTGAAATTAAGAAATGTATAACTGTCATGAGGACAAAACAAGGATGATTAGATATGAGTTCATTGACTTAGATTAGAGAACAGAGTGATTTACCTTTATAACAATGTAAAAGCAATGTAAGAGTGTGCATGTATATGATTAATACTCTTTCAGATCGGATATGTCTCTTTCTCTACTCACACATTGAAATGACGAAATGTGCTCAATATGTGTAATAAACCATGGCATATTCTCAGTAACATCAGGATGTAGCTTAGTCATCTCCAAAACAGCTAAGGTGTTTCATAAAAAGGTTGGAAAATCTAAATTATAGACACTTGAGAAATCGCTCATGAACACTGACACCTTTTTAATAATGTGACAATCTTTCATTAAATGGGTAGGATTTTTGGGGTACGTTTTATATCAACTAGCACACTACACACTTTTCTGTTCTTGGATCCAACAAATTAATAATATTTTAGTTATGATCATCAAGTTTTATTTACCTGCTTTTTTTAAAACAAGGCTGTCTTGTTTTTTGTGGCCAGAACAGGTAAATAGAGAGATCCAACGATCTATGTTTACTTAGCCGCCCTATATTTGACTGTCCAATGAGATAGTCACATAAGACAGTCAGTTACAGTAACATATAAAACAGTTACACGTAACATGCTCAATTAAAGTACATCACGAACCATGGTTGACATCATTGTTATTCATTAGGTAATTCTTTTTAAAGAAAAATGACCCGGGAAATCTTTTTCCCATGAAAGATGGCCAGCTCGATCATGATGGAAATGTTGACTTCGAAGGGGTCTGGAAGGTAAGCAAATAATGTGTTTTTAATTCTTTTTACATATTAATGAGTAAAATAATTTTGTCGTTATAAGAAATAACAATATGTAATAACATTTACTATTGTATGGCTTTGATTACCTATGAATATATTTCACGAAACGTACACAGTCCATTAGTGCAAACAAATCCATCATTACATAACTTCATATTTTTATCCAATTACATGTTGACAGGAGATGGAAAACCTTGTTTTCGAAGGAAAAGCAAAAAGCATCGGCGTATCAAACTTCAATGCTTCTCAAGTAGAACGTATCTTGAAGGTTGCACGTGTTAAGCCAGTGGTAAATCAGGTACAGTTTTCATACCAAAGGAGATTCTCTGATATCTGGATACTTCCTACAATCCCCATCTTCATATCTAGTCCAGACTATCTAATTATGTCAAATGCAGACAGTGACATTTCCGCGTGATCTATTGTTTGTTTACATTTTTCTTAATAGCTTAGGTATATTGATTTATTTGATAGACATATGTATGCAATATTAGGAAAACAAGAGAAAACATGATGATATTGACTTTTAACAGGTTGAGTGTCACGCCTACCTTCAACAGAGAAAGCTAGAGAACGTTTTACAGAAGAATGGTATTGTAATAATGGCTTATGGTCCAATTGGATCCCCTGGTAGTTCAGCAATGCTCACGTGAGTTTGTCTATGATATAGCACAACAACAATAATAAGATGAGTTCCGGCATTAAGAGACAGTATTACGTTAATTGTTATACTTTCCATTTTCACGTCAACAAAACGAAAATCTTCGGTAATAATAAGAAAAAATACAAATTTAAACACGAATTAAGTCAGTCTCGAAACAGGTGGAATTTTATTACAAGTTGAATATTGCAAGCTTGTGAGTATACTGTAAATTGTTTATACATATTTAAAATGAATTCATTGGTTTTGTTTCTCATCAAAATAGTTTCATGTCCATTGTTTCAAATATGTTACAAGATATCATAAGATTTTCCGTAAAATCACATCTTCTGGTTCGAAATTGCTTTAAGACATCGGCAGTCTTAATGATGAACATGTATATATAAGTAATTGTAAAGTAATAGATACAACGAGAAAACAAAATGTCTTAACCTTATACATAAATTTCACACTCATTGAAATGTATTACTTGATTGATTATAATAATTTATATTATAAATAGCGAAAAACGACTAAAATGTTGAACAAATGGTTGATTTTGTCTCCATTGTTAGTGCCATCAATTATAAATGTTTCATGTTAATGGTAATGTACAGGGTACCAGGAGAGGCCCCGCCACCCGTACTATTAGAGGATCCTGTCATAGCAAACTTGGCAACAAAATACAACAAGAGCCCAGCCCAGGTAACGCATGACGTAGACTGAAAGATTGTCATCGTATCAAATTTTAGGACGAACGATGCAACGTTCAATGATTCATATATTAAAGTAGTACCAAATAGACAGAACATAACCATATGAATTTGACTCATATGTCACCCAAGGGAGAAAAGGGAAAAATAAGTTGTATGAAACAATACCTGAATGTTAAAGATGAAATTGAAATTAAGTAAATAGCAATACCTTAACAACTTGGAAATAAGGAATGTCTTATTTGTTATTAATACTAAGGAAATATTTATTTATTTATGAAGGAAACTATAGGCTTGCTTCAGGTTAGGCTTATATTTCTTTTAGGTCGGCTTGTTTCCTAGCTTATAGGGTATATGTCCGGTTGTGAATCCGATAATCAGTCATTGCAAATAAAACTATTTTATAAAAAAAATGACTTGTACGCTTAGATATTTGTGTGCCTGTTAGTTACCATAAATAAGCATGTATTTCTAAATCATGCTATGTACATTTATTTGTGAGAATTGTCTTAAAATTTGATGAAAGTAACGACATATTCATGGCAGATAAAATATCATTAATTAAAATGGATTAAAAGTATAGTCAATAAGAAATGTAAAAAAAATCAATGAAATTGACATTCATCTCTCAAATATCATTTCAGATTTTAATAAGGAATCTACTTCAAAGGAATTTGATAGTTATCCCAAAGAGTGTCACGCCCAGCAGAATACGGGAGAATGGAAACGTAAGGAAAACTGTGAATTTAATCAATTAATTACAGAAATGCCATTGCTTAACGAATATTGAAGAAGATTAAAGTTCTGGTTCATGTATGATTGTGATATGTTATATCATTTATGAATATTAAAATAGTCGACCGTCTATAGGACACATGAAATGACACAATGTTAAATATAATACTTTGTGTAGTTTTTTAATATAATATGAACAACAAACATCTTTATTTTTACGCAGATAATTGTTATCCTTTATGGTGTTCATTGAAACAACGAGCATCAACTTCTCTTTTCGTTATATCATCATGGTTGTTTTATATTAGAATAATACATATTTCAGGTGTTTGATTTCAATCTTTCACCAGAGGACATGCTCACCATTGAAAGAATTGACAAGGACTTGCGAATGTTCAAATTCCATATGTAAGAAGTCTATCAATATATATCAATTATTTTGCTGATATCAAATTTATATATGGCAGAATGACTTTTCTGTATTTCTTAAGACGATGAGCTTTTCTCAGGAGTTAATTCAAAGATGAATGTTTTCATATACTGTATCTTAGCTGTATAGTTATTCGCAAAATGTATGATATCCGTACTGCGGAATTGCTTGCCCATTGGTACCAAATGTAAATATATTCACCATAAGGTATTATCTTCGAACACTACTGTGAGATATAACATGTCAATACAATTGTTTTAAATAATATTTCTGTCCAATAAGGTGGTCTTTTCATGTCATTTTTTATCCTTGAACTAGCAGTGCATAACATTTTAGGTGTTGTTTTGATACCTTTATTTCTGTTCTATGATATCGAACAATCTAGGAGCGATAATTTCTTCAAATGAATTTCACTGATGTTGAAGGTATATGGCAAAAACGGAATTACTACCCCTACCCCCTTTTGTCACCTTGTTATTTATTTCACAAACACTATACAAAGATATAATAAATAAAAGGTGTTTTTATACTTAGTTCACAATTTGCTATTTTTATTTACAACGGTCGTTGTTTGAACAATGATTGATTCAGATTTTTATTTTTTTAATTCCCTTTTTATGACCCTGTAATATGATGCAGTGTTTTATCATACTAATTATTTTCATTTTTATTTTGCAGAATGATCAATGCTCCTGATTTTCCATTCAGTGATCCTGTATAGAAAATGAATTGTTTGATGTTTTACTATGGAATAAGTGATAGAACATTTAATATAACATAACGTTTATTTCGGGGTTATTCCTTGCAATATCGGGTGTGGTTACTTCGAGGTTTTCGGTGTGTATAGCGACAACAGTGAATCATCCGATCGAAGGACAACATAAAAAACGGGTTTTTTGTCAAGTGACCTTGGTAATGAGATCAAAATATATATATTTGTCATTAGATGTTTATAATAGATTTTAGACCGCTGTTTCCTTAACGTTTTCGACATATAGTAGAACATTTCTCGTGTATCGATATTAAGATCTTAAAAATAACAAGTACTCATGCTTTTATGACGTTCCCATTATTGTCTGGACATATTTTCATAAACATTGTCTGCTATGTATTTTGATTGAAATATCATAGATAATACAGAATATATCACTTTGCACATTAACGTGACATAACAGACACGGTCATCACAACAGAATCTAGTTCAGTATGTATGAATTAACAGAGTGTTCAGGTATATTTAAGTCTAACATGGTATCAATCAATCTATCTAACACAGGGGAACAATCTATATTATAATTTAACAAATACATCTAGATCTTTTTATGAATTTTTATCTTGAATTGTACACTCATAGTTTTCAACAACAATACAATCGTTTCTATCCCTTTTATGTAAACAAGACATAAAACACATAAACGTATGTATATATTGGATGTTCTCGTTGTTTGTTATTATTTTGTTTATTTCGTGTTATAATTAATGGACTTTTCCAATGGTTACAACCCCACCGAAAAAAAAAAAAAGAAAAAAAAAGGGAAATTAATCTTCGGGAATAGGATAGAAACGCGACTTGTGAACATCGTATACAATTGGTTTGTATTTCAAGTTGACTCACTTTTGTTAATTCATATTTGTTTGAAATCCCCACATGGAGTTTCTTAACAGATACCATTCAACTTATACATGCTTTTAATTTATTTTTTACATAATCAACTAGTTGAAGTTTTCGCAGAATGTTTATTCAATATCGAAAATTTGCAAATGATGCGTATTTCGAGGCTTTATGAATTAAAGTTAAAATATCTATTTTACAACAGTAAAAAAGGTCAAAATAAGGAAAGTACGCATTTCATTCACCATACCAAGATAGAAGTGTCGGCATTCTCCTATGATTATATAGCACCAGAATGTGGTGGCGCAGGACCAATTAGGCTGCAAACTGCCTGAGGACCACTACTACTGCCAAACAGTAGATTGTGATCTGGATCCGGACATCGACAGATTTGACTACCATCGTTGTAGTCCGTGCCTGCAGAAATTTTCTTGTTTCCAACAAAACAATTCGGCCCTGTAGAAAAAAGAATGTACCCTTCTTACATTAATTTTCTAATATCTAAACTTTACCAGTACTGTTATCAAAATAGAATACGTAATTGTAGTTCACTATAACTAAAATGATTCAGTATCAAAATTAAAGCAAGAATGATGACAGAAACTTTGCCATACATGTACTGGGTAAGCACTTCATAAAAAATGTCAAAGCAATCAGTTACTACATAATTATGGTGACATGAGTTAATATCAACTCCGATGTGGTGATACTGTTCACTCACCATTTGGACAGACATGACAACAGGTTCCTGGTTCAACGACGGCATCCACACACTCGAGTGGTTTTATTATGCAGTTGTTGAGAGAACAATTGCTGATATGTGTAAATACATTGCAATGACATTCCAAGCATGGTGATGGATGAAAGACCTCTTCAAAATACATCTTCCCCATATACGTACAGCCCAAAGGTTTGCATAGAGCAGGTTTCCCTCCTTCCAGACAGCTACACAGAGTTCTTTCGTCTACTCTGTACTGCTGACCAGCAGGAATAGTCACATTACCATATCCACAGTTTGCTCCTGTGGAGGTAGGGCATGATGTATAATTTAGCAAACGCCGGGAGATTATTATACATGTAACTGAAAATTGTGTTAAAACGATGATAGCCCAAGTTTTTACTTGCGAAAAGATCAACCTATAAATGAAAGTATCAGTTAAATTTTGTCATCCAACTTGAAATATCTATCGCGCGTCTTCATCTTCTAAATCTTCCTAATTGTTGAATGGAACATGATTCTGTCCATCGCATTTATTTCACCAATGTACATCGTAGGTTACGACTAGACATTCAAAAATATATTTAGAATCTTGAGCATTGGGCCAACACAGTAATGTGATATAGTGTGAGGAGTTAGATATGAAGAAAAGGCAACTGATCATCATAAATACAATTCTTTTTCATATCAGGGCATATTTGGCTAGTTGCCTTGACAATTAAGAGTACATCCACACATATTTGAATTAATCACCACGATGAAGTTTTGGAAACAGATATATTTTTAATCTTTACCATTAGGACAATGGGGACAGCCGCATTTGGGAGTAACCGGGTCAGCACAAGGAGGGGGCTCAAAAGAGCAGTCCGCATAAATACAAGAAATATGTCCCCTTTGGCATTCACACCGGGCAAAACAAGATTGGCTGAAATGTTCACCATCATGGTATTCTGTTCCGTTCCACCAACACGTCAGTTCAGGAGGTAAGGGAGTTGGTATGATATTAGACGTGGCAGTGTTTAAAACTGTAACTCCGAAGAAGAGTATGACGACGTCCATGTTTAGTACTGCCCAGGACAAGACATGTCCTTATCTCAGTTAAGCGCACGTGTTTTCTCCCACTGACCGTATCCGGGTTTCGTATTATAAAAATATCGAAAGCTGCTAGCGAACAGGTATTACATATCGCGGCAGGAAAGATATGTTCACGTTCTTTGCAAGGCGAATCACGAACTAGAACAATAATTATTTCATAATCTCTTCTGAGAAAAAAAACCAAATCATAGCAGTACAGAATGCATGACATTCAGGTGGTCAAATTGTCTAAGATCTAACTTTAGTATTAGGTATGATTTATCGGAAGCTTTTTTAAAAATAATTTTATATGCGATAGACTATTTTTAATAGGAAATAGCAAAAGTCTTGTTTCGTTAAAATTGTTTAAAGTGATACCAGGATAAGAAGGAAACAGTAACGTGAGAAACGCTAAAAATTTCCTAACACTGACGAGTTCTAAAAGAACGAAACAGCTGTATGATGCCGTTCATTTCATTGTTTGACTCTATGGTATCTAGTTCTAAATTTGTATCAAAAAGTGCTACTCATTTTCTTCGAAATTGCAGGTGGTAGACACCGCTGGTGAATGCGGCATGCCATGCTTTAATCTATTCGAATGATGGCAGATAGACTTAATTATAGTATAAAACTATCAAATATATTAATATGACGAAATTTATTGAATTATGGGCTAGTGCAACTTCTCCATCTAAATTTTTACTTGTCTTTCGATCACTTTGTATTATCCTCAGTAGCCTCCCAGGTTTCAACACGTAGGCCCTTAGTATCACTGACGAGTTCATGAAAGATGATACATCTTAGATGCAGTTTGATTCATCTTAACTGTACTGTATCTAACACAAAATTAGTATGTAACAGTGCTAATCTCTTGTGTCTTTTGAACAGTACTTGTATTGAAACTGCATACAAACCTAATACTTGACCACGTTCTAAAATTAGACTATTTCAGACTTGGTCATTACAAAAGAGGGGATCACCGTGCTTTGTCATTGCATCTTTAGATAAAAAATCCCTTCTCCAACATCTTTTAAGTATTTATCGATTAAAGAATGAATCTGGTATTTTGAACTGATTTCCTATTCTAGACTGTGTAAAGGGGAAAAGGTGTTTAATTCGTGTATGTTATCAGTCACTCATTTACAACTATCTCACAATTCATAGTACAGGATAACTATTCACAGTATCATTTAGCGCCTGATCTATTACAGTAAACTCATTCAGTGTTGAGAATACCTCATTATAATTCCACATCATCAGGTTTCGTGTTTTGACATTAGCCAATAACATCCCGTAGAAGAGGTCAATCGAAATCAGAAAGATCGATAATTTTGATAATTATAAGCAGGTTTAAATGTTTATTGAATTGAAGGGCGTCAGGTAATTAATAATCATTTGTTAAGGTAGCCTAAGAATCCATGGGTGGGGTCACAAGCATGTGGAGTCGGCAGTGGATGAGTGGGCGGGGTTAATTGTTGACAAACTGCTTGATAACCACTAAATCCATATGTAAGTGCGACCAGTCGATATATTCCTGGTTAAACGGAAGTATCTTGTTTCCAACAAAACAATTCTCACCTGTAGATAGAAAACAGATTCACACTCTATATAGGTTTTTATTACAAATACAGAAAAAAATTCGGACATACGTATTTAAACGTGATCACTTTAAATAAATATTATTCACAATACCCACAATATGAAATTTAATATATACACATTACATTTATAGCTAGAACGTGTCACAAAAATATACTAATTTTTCACTGTACATTAATATTACATCAACGACTCGGTGACGGGAACAAGAATCAGACCGAAAGTCAATTTGCATGGAATACAACAAACGCAATATGTCCATACATATTCACCCTCCTTCGCTGAATTGTTATGGATAACAAACAGACAGAAACCTTGTATTAAAGTTTGTTTTTGGAGGATTGGTCCGACAATACAAAAGAGATTATTTTTCAGTCAACATGTGCGCCACCTCTAACTCGAAATCCTCGATCCGCGCCTGCAAAGTAATTCCCAGTGGTCGGTTATGTAACAAATGAACTTTGTTTAGTCAATTACGACTAATATCGTTTGAGAAAGCCAAGATATTTGCTGTGAATGAACTCAAGTCAATGTGTCTGTCCCATTTCAAGTTAGATTGTAGTGTGACGCCAAAGTATTTTGCCAAATCTATGATTAAAAGTATATTACCATGAAGATAATGCGTGAAATTTGGGACGATTAGTAGAAATTTCAAAACCGTACATTTAGTAGGCCAGTATCTTTTTGATGCGACGCCAATGTCTCATTGGAGATTTAGTGCATCTTTCTTAGACGAAATTTGCTTGTAGATGATGCTGTCGTCAGCGGAGAGTCGGAAAGTGTTGTGCTAAATGTAGTCAGAGAGGTCGTTGATATATATCAAGAAGCGAATAGGTCCCTGCACGGCCCCCTGTGAGACACCAGATGTCACTGGGACCGTGCTGGACTTATACCACTGAGAGGGACCTTTGACCTAGGTTTGGAAAAATCCATTAACTTTGGCCATATATATTGCATTATAAGAGGTTTGGTTTTCATATTTGGCATGGATGTTCCTTGTCACGGACAAGAAATTTTCGGTGGTACAAACCTTTTAAAGATATATTTTTCAACTTTTTATCTGCGGTTGGATTTACACCAGAAATACATTCGCTACTAAATATCGACTTTATACACAACAGCATTAAAATTGGTAAATGTTGTTTTACATCCTGACATCAAGCGTCCTCCAGGTATTCGCTTCGTCTGGAATCTATATCTAATCCGTGTACAGTGATCATGTTGTGTGTGATTACAATTCCGTACCTTCGACCTATGTCTCATTTCGGTTTTAGTGTGTAAATGTCATTTCCGTTCAGCGATCACCACTCGTTACGCTAAGAAACCATGTGGTTACCCCAGTGAATTAGGCATATCAGTCAACGTAGTCTAAGGATATCAAGCAGTCAGACATTTTATGTTCAAAATGTCTAAGGAGAGAGAACAGGATGGCGAGAAAACACGGGATTGTATTGTGGTGAGTTATTAAAACACAATTAGACAAAGATTGACTTTCATTAATGTTCAACATATCTTCCTGGTAATTTCATCATGAGATGCATGGTGTGAATCCGTTTGGAATCGTACTGAGAAATCGGGGATTTCTACAAAGAAAATGAATAATTTTAACTTTAATCTTTTTCGTAGTGTCGCAAGCGCATCACTCTTGAGTCATAATTAAGTGTTAAAATATACTTTGAAAAATGATAAATTTTACGTGAACGAAGTTCAAGCTAACAATACTTGAATAATTGTATTTTCTCACAAGTAGAATGACCTGTGGGGTGATGAAGGAATCATGCTTTTCAGTTTATTAAATTCATTCATATAAATTCAATTTGTCATTTCAATTCAGCTTATATACATTATTAATTCTACATAAGCTCACCTCAGAGGTCATGCACTAATGTACATTCAGGTATTGCTGGGATCTTCTTGATAAGGAAGGTCATGGCCATCTTAGCAAGATAAACCAGTTCACTTGAAATCTCATAAGATAGTCAACATAGGTTAAGTTTGGAATTGTTGTGTAATTTGTGACAAAAATGCTAATTAACAGAGCAAATCAAACGTGAAATCTGAAAAGTATGTAACAGTAGTCTTAGTGAGTTATCATTTATATATATTCTATCCATGTAGGGTTTAAGAATTTCTTGGGGAATCTTACCTGGATTTAGATGAAACAATTGTCCCCCTCACATTAGCTAATCTATTTAGCAAGAGAGGAAGAAATATCTGTTGCATTGGTTGATTCACTTTCATGAGAGAAATTTAAACAAACTCTTCGAAAAAATTATTCTTTCCCTTGCCATGATAATCCTATGCATTGGTCCTTAACTTCATATATAAAGTTATTGGTCATATAAATACATGTTAAGAGTTACACCCCTTGCTTTCCAGACCAATACCTGTACTATAATTTGTATTTTATTACATGTATTGGTGCAAGTATGTTATAGTATATATAGGTATTTAGTTTTCTTGAAAATATAACATATATATATTTTCTTTCCAAAGCCAACATCATCAAAATGTAACCCAATGTTTACTAACTTGTAGTATACTGGTACAGTTCCTTTGTAGAAAGTAAAACAGTATAAGTTTCATAGTATTTGTTCAGGCAAGTACAGAATATCAGTTCCAGAATTTGACCAGTCCAATAATTATGATATATAGTGAGTTCTCAAAATTGGAGTAAGTATCACAGTTTAAGTATGAATATGGTGGTTCAATCTCCTCCATCGACCAACCTCCAGCTAACCAACCAAGGAATATTTCTCCCCAAATATGTTATTGTTTGAGAATTCTAATATTAAACCTGAAATCTAAAATCTTTAAAGATGTCTATATCAGTAATTATGAAACTTTTGAATGTCTGATCCTGATCACCTAAATTTGATAAAACACATTTCTGACTGCAGATTGAGGATGGGGCTAGTGGATATCCCCTCGACATGTTCTGTATCCCCAACCACTACCAAGGCACACTGGATCGTATTCTTATACCAGGAGGACTCATCAAGGACAGGTGAGTGTTCTTACTCTGTAAATTCTATTATTTTTTTTTATTTTGATATAGCCTTTTTCAAAGACGCAGCTGATGTGAATTTAGTCATTCGCAGTCACAGTACTAGTACAGATTTGAATTCACCTGTTAATCTTAGGGTGGATGTACAATGTAATGTGATTTCAGTATAAAAGTACATTTAAGGTCTGATGTGTTACATAAGAGTGCAGGTGATTGTTGATTACCTGTAAAAGTAAAGTTCAGGTAAGTCACAATGAGTTACAAATAGAAAAGTACAGGTGAGTGATCACTTTAATGTCAAATTTTGCAAGTTGTCAGCTGAGTTTAAATACTATGTATACCTGTTCAACGTCTAAAAGTGCAAGTGTGTGATAAATTTGTGTGAAAAATCTGGTTAATCTGTAAAGACTGTAAAAAAAGTGCATTTGAGTGATACATTGTTTAAAGTGCTGGCAAGTGATGAATAACATACAAGTTGAGTAATGGGGAAAAAGGGGAAGTTTTGGTCTATTTCGAGAAATTTCAGACAGCTCTTTTGGTCAGAATTCAGAGGAGCAATAGGTTAAAAACATATGACATACATGAAGGGTACATATTGAATAAAACATGACAATGTTGAGGTTATATTGACATTTCTTTTTCATAATGGCATGTTTCAAAAATATGTCATATATCTATATACTGATTAGTTCTGTCTGGGGATTTTTTTCCCTTTTTTAGGAAAATTTCTCCATGTTTTCAGTTTTTTTCTTGATATGGAATATGTTTATTTTCAGAGGGGTAAACCTTGACCTATATTTTGTCACGATAACTTTGACATTGCAGAATTGAACGATTAGCCCAAGATATTGTACGTGACTTTTCATCAGAAGGAATGGTGGCGCTGTGTGTGCTAAAAGGAGGCTACAAATTCTTCACAGACTTACTAGACAGAATAAAACAGATGAACAGCCATATGGAAAAACCTCTCCCTTTAGCTGTCGACTTTATACGCCTTCGGAGCTATGTAGTATGTGTGTTAATTATAAATCATAACTTGTTACAGAATCCAGCTGTGGAATCAGCTCACATCATATGATGTCCAGTTATTTCTTGTATGTATCTCGGGGGCAATTTGAGTCAATTTTAAATCAGACCTTTAGACTAATGTTTTTGGAAGGGATTTGACCACTTGAAAAGGCAATTTTTGGCAGTAGACTGTCCTTCAGGAATTGTGCATGAAAACAGAAAAAAGTTTGTAGAGAATTGAATGCTATCATTTATGCTAAGAAATATTACATCTTGTGGTTGTAATCTTAAGTTTTAGTGAAAACATTTGTGGTAATTAAATATCTGCAATATATTGTTTATACAACAATAGCTTCTCCTCTCTCTACCTAGGGGCTCAGTAACTAGACTAATTGATACCATTTAATTACTTTGATTATATAAGATTCCAGGACATGTTGGATTGTTGTTTGAAATATTATTAGGATGACCAGTCAAGTGGCAAAATAGAAGTGATAGGAGGAGACAGTTTGGAAAACCTCAAAGGAAAGGTACGTATGAATAGAAAATATAAAGTAAATGATCCAATTTACCCTGAAACTACTTACGTTGCAAATTAAACATACGGTATATTTACACGTCATGATTTTGTTTAACAAGAAAAACATCTGATTTAGATTTAATGCCATAAAATATGGATAGTGTTGAATACAACATGATTAAAAGATTAAATACCACTTGTTTTTAATTACATGTGTCTGTTTGTTCAGAATGTACTGATCGTAGAAGACATCGTAGACACAGGACGGACAATGGAACGTCTACTGGAACACCTCAAACAGTTTGAATGTAAAATGGTGAAAGTTGCTAGGTAAGGCTACACTATGATGATTATATATGGGTTTTTTTAGTGTTCAGTCCGATAATTACATTTCCTTAAATGTTGGTGTAACATTAAATTTGGCAATTTAGCTATAGATGGTATTATATCAAAGGTGGAGTGTACATCTATATTGACGCTAGATGGTATTATAACACAGGTGGAGTGTACATCTATATTGACTATAGATGGTATTATAACACAGGTGGAGTGTACATCTATATTGACTATAGATGGTATTATAACAAAGGTGGAGTGTACATCTATATTGACTATAGATGGTATTATAACACAGGTGGAGTGTACATCTATATTGACTATAGATGGTATTATAACACAGGTGGAGTGTACATCTATATTGATTATAGATGGTATTATAACACAGGTGGAGTGTACATCTATATTGACTATAGATGGTATTATAACACAGGTGGAGTGTACATCTATATTGACTATAGATGGTATTATAACACAGGTGGAGTGTACATCTATATTGATTATAGATGGTATTATAACACAGGTGGAGTGTACATCTATATTGACTATAGATGGTATTATAACACAGGTGGAGTGTACATCTATATTGACTCTAGATGGTATTATAACACAGGTGGAGTGTACATCTATATTGACTATAGATGGTATTATAACACAGGTGGAGTGTACATCTATATTGACGCTAGATGGTATTATAACACAGGTTGAGTGTACATCTATATTAACTATAGATGGTATTATAACACAGGTTGAGTGTACATCTATATTAACTATAGATGGTATTATAACAAAGGTGGAGTTTACATCTATTCACTTACTTTTGTATCATTCGTTTGTAAGAATAACATTAAAAAAATCTTGTGAGAATATGATGTGAGATTCTCACACAAACAAATGACATAACAAACAATAATGTAAAATCATTAATTTTTGTTAGGGTTTTATTTTTGCTGATTTCATGGACAATCCTAATCCACAAATTGATATCTCAACAAACAGTTAGATTAATATAAGTGGATTTTGAATTATATTTATCCATGTAATCAAGCGTTTACAAAAGATTCGATTTTTAAAAAAAAAAAGTACAAAAATTGAGCCCCATGAATATGTATGAATACGATTTTACAGAACATGCTAATAAGATCAGATAATTCTGCATTATGAAAAGAAAACCCCAAGAAATTACAAGTGCAAAAAGTTTGATAAAAACCAGATTGCTGACCATGATGACCACTTTATACTGGTCCCCTGGATAGTCACTTTACATTGGGCTGTATGATGTACGATACAAAGTTCAATCATAGTGTAATTTACTCAAATTTCGTATGTGGCATTAATGATCTAAATGTGAAATATTTATAAAAAAGCTAGATATGAATAGACTTTTAGATTTACATGTCAACAAGTTTGAAGCTATGGAATTTTCCTCGTTAAAATAATACAAAAAATTTCTTTGTTTGTCGGCACAGATTTCGATTGACAAAGCAGACAGGATATTTGGTAACATTTTTTGTATCCAAGGCTATATTCATAACTCGTTGACAGGAGTAGCATGTCTAAGTAAAAATCAGAAATCTATAAGTAGGATTTATTCCAGTACAAGTTCATTGTTTTGTTTCAGTCTTTGTGTGAAGAGAACTGCCAGACGATCAGCCATTATTGGTTACAGACCAGACTGTAAGTACCAATATGATGTATAACAAAATCAAAATTAGCACTTCTTACATATGGGCTGTTTGACATGAACAGCTGGTCTGATTATAACAAACACTTTGAATTTACCTGAATCTGAGTGTGGATTTATATTTCTACTGTGATATTAGATATAAATAAATCCGAACCCAATATGAGGCCAACTCTCAGTTTTGTCAACTTAACTGTGTCATTTCCCTTTAAACAACTTCTTCTGAATGACTAAGAAGCCCAGGGTCCAGATATTGAGTCTATAGCACACTGGGATGAAGGGCTACCAACTTGAATGAAGTAATGACCTTAATTCATTTAATTCACTTTCAAAGTCTCAGGGACAAATTTTCAAAATCTTGAAATGTCTTTTTTTCAATTAACAAGAGCCAAAGGGTTGTTATATAAGGTTAGTGGTCAGACTGAGATGGAGAACTAACAAGTTTGTTCACATAAATGATCTTTACCTACTTTGAAGGTCGCTGTGGTTAAGGGTGTCAAAATAACTTCTCAGCACCCAAGAGGCCAATTATTGAAGATGGAATTTGGCCAATAGCACATTGAGTGAAGATGTACCAAAGTTATTCAACTGCATGGACTTGTTCCATTTTTAAGGTCACAAGGGTCAGATGTGTTGAAATCTTTAAAAACATATTTATTACAAAGAGGTCCAAGGTCTTGATATTTATATTGTGCCAGTAGCGTTCTTGGATGGAGGTCTACCAGTTTGCTCAAATGGATCCACTGTCAAGGCCACATTGGTCCATTTTGCTAAAATTTTCAAGCAACCACTTCTCCATAACCAAGAGATTCAGAGTTTTGTTAGTTCATCTGTGACATAAACATGGTGTAAAGAAGGAATATGATGTTTTGAGATGAATCTAAAAGTTTTCAAAATAAACTCTCCCAATCAAGTTGCCTGTGTCTTTATAGATTTCTGATCAATAATACAGGTCCTTTGGGCCTTTTGTTATTGTAGAGATGTAGTTATACTTAAAAGACAGGATGATGAAGGGAATAATTTATTATTTTTTGCTGAGAAAATTACTATGAAAGGGGTTTCTAAACTAGCAGCATGAATTGATTTGGGCAGAAGGAGAAATCAATTTTGAACAACTTATAGTTATTATACAATTTACTTGATAAAAAGTATTAAAATATTCATTTTGGAAAAAATAAATCTAGATACATGTTAATTGAGAATCAGTAGCCCTAAGGCAGTAATGAACAGAATTATTCATTTATGCTGGACTATGAAAAGGGGTATCCCCTTTAATAACAGTTATGTGACCAAACAACGACATTGTAGAACATTTTCCCAGGATACTATGTAGTTGTTTATTATTTCCTGGGTATCAAGGTTTGGGCTAGTCCAGGGATATTAAATTTTTCATCGCAGATTTTTTTTTTGAGAATTTCATTCACTGTAGAATTGTAAGCTGGGTAATGAGTTTCATGCCATCTTTATAAATATAGCGAAATTTATTCCCTTGAAAATATTACCAAATACACAGTATAAAATCCAACATGTTAAGAGAAAAATATTCATAAATCCCTTTGTCAAATAACACTAGGCAAAGCCTTTCGTTGGTCCACTTAAGAATCTTACCCTTCAGGTTGCGATTGTTAGGTTGAGATTTCTCCCTCTGGTCCTCCTAGAGGATGAACGATTCTCTACAGCTATGTTGAGGGATAAAATGCAGGGGTAGGTTTTTGAGTGATTTGAAGAGACTAGAAGCAAGGAAATAATGGGATTTGATAGTGGATAAAGCTCATCACCAAAAGATGGAATCCAGCTGATATGCTGCTCTGTACAGTTATATGTTGAAGACTGAGTTAAACGTCCTGTTTATATATTTATGCTATAGGTGAGAACTTGTGTGCAGTTATTACAGTGACATTGAGTTTTCTTTTTTGTTTTGAGTTGTGTGATACCCTACCAGCATGTAGCTATTCAGAATATGATTACATGTTGTTTTGTTGTCTATTGCTAAACCATTAATTAATTTGTCCAGCAGTTCTACTTTAATCTAATTCTTATGAAATGCTTTACCAGATTTCAAGGTCAAGTGTGTTATGATATGTGGACAACTTCTTTTAATTAACTAAGTGGCATGTGGGCATGACATTTTGCAAGAAGCATGCAAGGATGAAGAGCTAGTAATTTTGTCCATATGAATGACCTTGATACACTTTCAAGGTCACATATGTTAAGTAGGTCAAAGTCTTTAAAGTCTTCAAAACAAGCAAGAGGCGGAAAGCCATAACATTTGGCCAGTTGTATGTGAATGACTGATTTACTTAGAATGAATGTTTTAATCAGCGCAAAATTTCAAGGTCAAATAGCTTGAGTATCAAAAACTTAGGAGTTTTTAAGGTTGGTTGTGATTTATTGGATTTTGATCAACAGGTATTGTGAAGGTGTCAGATTAAAACATGGGTCCAAATCCAGCTGTTTTGTTGTAGTTTTTGTGTTGACATTTGGTATTTAAGGAGATACCATATATTGAGTTTTGATTTGATGTAAAATTAATCTTGTTGACAGTGAACAATGGGATTGTAAAATTTCTATTTGGGTGCATCTCATATGGTTTTGCAGTAGAGCTACAATACAGAAATCTGTTGACTGGTGAGGTACATTTATGTCATTGATCAGTGAACAGCTTGGTGTACATGGATACCAGTGTCTGCTTCTACATGGTATAAATCAATATAGATCTTCCGTTACCATTAGTAATCTTAATTAATAAATGTTTATTACATTTATTGATTTTCTGAGGAAACCTGAGTAAATCAACATTAGTCTGTGCTTGTGAAGTAGTACTCAGTTTACACTTACAATCATCAGATGTCAGACATGACAAAAATGATGACAAAGTTTGAAGGTTTTTTTTTTCATTTATCTAAATTTTACCATATATAAGACTTACTGAAATAAGAATTTTAGGATTAAAGATATAGGATGGTTTTCATATCAGATCTAGTTTTACATTTAATTCTTTTGCTTTTAAAATATGTTTTAATGCTTTTTAATGATCAACAATGTTATTTATGTATTGTTTACTTTAGTAAGTGTTTTATCTCAGAGATTTGATTACAACATTAACATAATATATAGGTATATGTTGAATGTATTTTAAGAATATGCATCTGTGTGATTGACTGGATTTTTAAAAAATATTTGTAGCTGAATATAATTCCAACCTACCTCACCAACTTAAAACCTGCACACATCTCCTGATCTATTCAATTACATAATCTCTCCATATAAATATTAATTGATAGATGTCAGTGTGTTTCTGACTATGAAAGCACTCGCACATGGCCATTTGATTTTCCTAAACTTACACTAGTGTGGTATATCAAGTTAACACCATCCTCATCTTCATTTCTGTTTACAGCTCATTTTTTGTACAAGCTAAAGTAATGGGTTGTATTTTAATGTGTTTGATGTGCCTCTTGATAGAAAATTGAGAAGTTAATTGGAGGTACATCGCAATAACAGTCATAAATAAACAATTCATAAAAAAGGAAAATACATTTGGGATTTCAAATTTGAAATATGTCATTAAGACAAGAAATCAACATTACTGTGATAAAAAGATAACATCAATAGTTTATAGAGCCCACAAATATGTGTGTAACAAAGTTTTCATCCAGTAATACTACCACTGATATTATAAGTAAATTTTTTTCTGCAATGCTTACAACAGCATAGTAAAACTGTATTTTATGTGTTAACGTGCTTCTTGTTGCGTTACAGACACAGGATTTGAGATACCGGATGAATTTATAGTTGGATACGCAATAGACTACAACGAATATTTCCGTGATCTCAATGTGAGTACCATTTATGTGGCGTATCACAATACAAAGAATCATAATCTAAACAGTTTGGCTTTTGTTCTTCATTTCAGACACGGCGTTTGAACTTCCAGATGAATTCATTGTAGGGTATGCTTTGGACTACAATGAAATGTACCGAGACCTTAACGTGAGTAGAGTTATGGGCCCTTGTTTCAGTCTGGTGATTATTACAGACCAATGTCATCAATAACTATTTCTTATGACTTCTCTTTATAGCTATAGAATCTCATTCAGCATTAGATCAGATTTTGTATTGAGAATTTCAGAGTATTACACAAATGTCTGATCTGTTTTGGGAATTTTCCTTATCGGAACTTACTCTGAAATAAGACGTATCATGTCAGATATATGGGGATAGATTTATGTTGTTGAATCAACCTCTGAAATCTTTCAAGGGAGATAACAAGAATTCTTAGTTTTGTATACAAATATATACATTTGATAAGAAAGACGCAGGTATAATTATGTACACATTTAATGATTCAGCAAAATCTAAGATCATCGAATTTCAAAATTACATAGAAATGAAAAGAAAATTTTTTTGTAGAACAATACAACTATTGAATATTCATGAGATTCTAGTCTTGCAATAGAGAAGCTACAAGAAATAATAGGGTATGGTATTTTGGTTATAGTTTTGGTTATGTTAACGTCCAGCTCAGAGTCCCAAATCTCCTGCCTTAGAGCTCAGAAACCTTTATGTGGATTAGTAAATATATCCAATAAGTGTGTTGTATGAGTACTTTTTAAATCAGTTCAGAATATTGCTATGTAAACCTGGCTTAGCCCTTTAATTCACCGTTGGACCCTCTGTCAAAATTGGGATATCCCGGATGTCAAGACTGAAAAAGCCCCACCGGTATAATGCATATAAATGGTACCATCACATTTCTGTGCATATTCTCGACTGATATCAAATGACTAAAGAGAAGTTATACTACTGGTCCCTTAGCTACTTATGAGACAGCAAGGGCCCATTGTTTTTTGAGAGAGATTAATGATCTTAGACAAACACATTGTAGAGCATGGGCTTATCATGTATAAATATACCATTCATCACCGCAATGCTCAAATACACAGTAGAACATTAATGTTATATCCGGAACTCTCCAATTCTGTTTCCTGTTATAGACAGGGTTTTACCCATGTGAAATTGTCAAGTCTTGATTCAGCGTTCAACAGATCCATTATACCATTTCACAATGTGCACTGCGGTATATTATCAGTCATCCAGACTATTTATTTGTTTCTTTTCATTGGGGTTAAAGGGAACTTCTTACGGAAGTCAATGACTGTCTTAATTTATAAGCTGACTTCTTTGTCTTTTACAACTGAGTGTGTCCTATATCATAATAAAAAACAGCAAAATTCTGGAATTCAATTTGAGGGGTTTTTTTTAATGAGTTATTGATTTTTGCACCTCTTTGGTTTTTATAAGCATGTTTTGTTTATTGATAAGGATATTTATTTCTTGAACATTTTCAACAATTTTGTTGTTCAAATTTTCGTTTTTTCTGTGGTTTGAAAACCTCAAAAATGCATCCAAACTCAAACTATTTAAAGAAAAGTTGTTCATGATAACTTAAAGAGATGTAAGTATTGATGAAATATGCTTCACTTGATCCACAATTTTGTTGTGTTACGTGGGATATACACATCCATAAAATACAAACAAGTCTTGACTTTCCAAGAATGTTCCTGACCTGTTAATACGCAGGACAGAAAATAGATAATCTTGATTCAACTTTCACAATTTTTGACAGTGTTTAAAGTTTTAGGATAAACAAGGTTCTACTGTTGTATGTTACTGTCAGTGTGATCTGCGTTGTGACACTTAAATTTCACAGCACATTTTGATAGTTAGCTGAAAGTATAAATGTTGTCCATTGTCAATTGTGCACAATTTATGTAATCATATTAACCATATAAGATTTCTATGAGACAAAAGAAAACAAAACTGATGCTGGGAAACTTCAGTGCTTTAGCGCAGAATCTTACTGCAGCTGTTAAATACTGCTTAAGCATTAAATTTTGCTTGGTGATTGTATCAACTCATGAAGTTTTGTTTTTCATGGTTTCTAATTATTGCGAATATTTCAAAATGTTCAAGTTTATATTCTGGACAATTTGTTTACACCAAAGGTAGAGTGAGAGAGTAGAAATTGAAGAATCATGTGAAATATCAGTTTGAAAGAAATATTGGTAGCACCAGGTTTGCATGTATATTGTTAACTTTATGGTTAGTAAGTTCTTGCAATTTTTCACATCCATAAGTTAGAAGTAAATCCTGATTTTGAAATACATATGATTCAATATAAGTTACATGTATTTTGAACTTGGCGGAAAAAATCAAGTATTTTCAGTCTAACACATTGTGTCTTCATTGGAATTTTTGTATTTAAAAAGAATGTAAGAAAAAAAAATCATTATTTTGTGTTGAGAATATATATATTAAAGCAATATCAATTTTTTAACAAATAAACACAACGATAAATATGCACAATGACAATAATTGCTACTGTCAGTATATACAAAACTGCAATTGTTGGAAAGATATTTTTAGTGTGTTAGATGCTGAAAATACAGTAAGTCTTATAGTCCAATATTTCTAATACCATTCTGGCAGCAATATTATACTTATGTGTTTTAAATGTGTATGTAAATTCTGAGAACCCTTGGAAACAAAAACTGAATCATACTCTTACTCTTCAGGGAACTTTATTCCACTGGTTATCGCTACAGGAAAATTGCCTGATGAGATCTGAATTATCTGCTTAATATGCATTTCAGCAAAATCTGCACAATCATCACTGCTTAACTATAATCTGAATGATGAATGTTTCATTTCAGGATTGATATGTATAACACACTTTCATTTCAATATATCTATAAACCCTCACAATACATTAACAATTTCTAGGTCATCCGACACTTATAACCATTAAGTTTTGTCTGCCGTCCTGTATTTTGTGCTGTGCCATCTGCTGTGCGTAAACTTTTAACATTTAACCCTTCCCAGTTTCCACTGGTGAGATTCAGCACAAACTGAAATGTTTCTATGGTGGTTCTGATCAAGTGACTATTCTTGGGTCAGTATGAAATCAAATGTGGCTGCCAAATTTTAAACTTGGTTTTCTCAAGGTCTCCTGGTACCATGGAACTGAAATCTATGGGGATGTAAACTGACAAAGTGTTTGTTATTTTTTGGCCTCTTCAAAAGTTTTATAAGGCAGACACATTATTATATACTGAGCAACACTTAATTTAAACTTCTTATGTTCTGCCAGAAACTTTCTTTAAACAAACAAACGGTTTTACTTTTTGGGACGATTGAAAATATAATATGGCTGCCATCTTGAAAAACACATTATCACCTGTAGAAATCTATTTCTACTGTTGGCATTCAGCTAAAATTTGAGAGAACTAATTAAAAATCTGAAATTTATTGTTGAAGAGTGTTGTCGATGAAGCTGAAGATACTTACTCTTCGGGAACACCTGATCTTATTCTGGTATTTTTTCAGGAGTTTCCATGTAATTCTTGTTCATATTTTTACCCTGGATTTATTAAATTTGGATTATGATTATATTTGCATGTCAATCATTTAATAATTGTTTCCACTACCATCACTGCTTTTATATATGTAAGTAATAGGTTGATATAATCAGATGACTGCTAAAGCCCATTGACCTCTCAATATTAGAATAATGTTGCTATAATTGGTAAGTATATAAAGGTAGTTTAAAGAATATTTTTATTTTGTAGGTGCATTTGCATTGTTTTGATGTTGACTGATATTTGTTTGAAGAATATATATTCTGAAATCAGGCTGTCCATCTGTCTGTCTGTGAACAGAAAAATGCCAGTATACTTTCTCCTACAGATTTTTTTTTTAAATCATGTGAAACCATGCAGGTTGTCATCACATTTTAGTCTACTATGATCAGATGATTGTGACTGCATGGGATGGATAAATCTTTCTAAAAATTTGATATGTGACAAATGTTCCCAAGCTATCATCACTTGTTGTCAACCTTTATCAGTAAAACAGGATGTTGGAAGGATGGTCATCTTGTATTTTGATAACTGAAGTTTGCTGTACTTCTTGAAGGGTAGATGATGAATCATTTTCAGAATTCATTTACATTGTATGTTCCTCTTCATGTCATGTACTGCACTGTCAAGCTTAAGACTGATGAAAAAAGGCCAACAGGCAGTCGTCTTGTGTTTTGACAGTGATAGTTTGTTTTTCCTATTTATGTCAGAAGTACTGGACGGATCATTCTTGTGTTCTATTTTTAGATCCCACTTGGTTTTTAACCTTAGAGTGTATTTGGCAATTTTTGAACTATAATGATTAAAACAAAATGGCTGACAGGCAGCCATCATTGATTTGACAATTATCACTATTTCTCAAGAGGGATTTGCAAATTACGTATAATGAAGAAACAAATAAGAGGGAAAAAACATAATTTGAATGTATTTCTTTAATTTTGATGACCTTCACAGTGACCATTGACTATAAAAGTAGAATGGTATGATATATTTACAATGACGGTTCTAGTTTCTTTTGTCAAATTCTGAAAAAGTTGGAAGGATAAAAGGATGATAATTACCCTTTTGGTTCACTCCTTTACAGTTCAGAGTAGAATGAATTCATGTAGGTAAAATATGTTCTTAAAAGTAAGTAACACTTACAGTATATTACTCACTTAGTTATCACCATTTGATGGTGTCCAGGAACTGAATCCGACATTGTCACCATTTGATGGTGTCCAGGAACTGGATCGGACATTGTCACCATTTGATGGTGTCCAGGAACTGGATCGGACATTGTCACCATTTGATGGTGTCCAGGAACTGGATCGGACATTGTCACCATTTGATGGTGTCCAGGAACTGGATCGGACATTGTCACCATTTGATGGTGTCCAGGAACTGAATCCGACATTATCACCATTTGATGGTGTCCAGGAACTGAATTGGACATTACACATGGATAATCTGCAAAAAGATATAACAGATGTTTACATTGTTTTGATTAAATTTTAGAAATCCTTTTTACCTGTGAATGCTCATGGTTGCATGATTTTAAATCAGGTGAAAGATTCGGTATAGTTAGTAGTGGCCATCAAGGATTTTTAAGTACCTGTCTGACCTGGTTCTTATCCTCATCATTCAATAACTATACACATTCATTTAGATATTATGATAATAGTACAAGTGACTGCTGCAAATAGATACTGGTAAGCTTTCATATTATTTTTCACAACATTGCTGATCCAAGGACATTAATGTTTAGGCACAAAATTTTGATCAACATGTGTCACATTAAGGGTGTAACAGTGGTCATCATTGAACTTAGAGCAAGTTACCATATCTGTCCTGTAAATTAAATCCCAAGGGGTCAAAGTTATGGTTGTTCTTAGTTCAGAAATGCGTTGATTACAAGCTAAGGCTGTGAAATAATTTCATAACTTTATAAAATATATGGTTGTGATTATTACCAGGGCATGGGCTTATTAGAGGTAAATATTTCCTAAATTTTATGTGAGAAAATGACAGGAAAAATAGAAACCAAATACCATACACAGATGGAGGCCAAGATCCTTGTGAGATTTTTTCATTAAGCTAGTGATTGTTCAAAATAATAAATCTTACATCTTTTTATATTTTATTCTGTTTCAGCATGTATGTGTTGTAAATGAAGTAGGCAAGAAGAAATATGCAGTCCAAAAGTGATGTACTACGTAACATAACAACACTTCATACCTATGGAACTTACGATGCTCCTTAAAAACACATTTTGTCTGTGACTTTAATGTTCAGGAATAAATATTGGTGTCGTCCAGCTTATGATGACATGAACAATCAATGGCATTAGGACATGTTTAGAAAATATTGCGATTATTGACCAGCCATGAACCCTACGCAGAAACTTCCTGTTTTGTATCTGTACATAAAGAATTGTAGTGTGTTCATTGACCTTGAGTACCAAAGATATATGACCTTACAGTTGATTGCATGTTGACCTTGAAAGAAATTGATGGATTTTTGTTAAAAACCACAAGCAGAAGTGTGTGACATTGAGTTTTCACCAAAGGTGTGATTTATATGAACCAAATAGTGTAATTGCAAGGTCAAAATATCATAGAGAGTGTAAGTAAGGATGAGACAGTGTAAGGGGTCAAATGTTGTACATTGTTACTGTTTATAGTTTAACAATATGCCCTCATTTATAAATACAAATTATGGTTGTGTTCTTAAAATACTTTAATTTGATTGCTAGATCAGCTTCTCATAGCACAAACCTGTGACTACAATATGTCGGGCCAAGTAAAACTCTTAAGCCCTTGTCAACTTCTTACCTGTTAAGTTGTAACATCATGACTGGGTCAGACTAGCATGTACCAGGAATCATAACAACAAGCATTATCAATCCAAAATTGTTGTGGTTTGGTGATATAATCTGGTGATAAGGTGTTTTGATATATATGATAAAGGAATATCATAGGAAAATAAATGAAATTCTTTTGTATAATATTGAGTCACTTTGATAGATACATGGATGCCAATTCTCTTAAGAACAGAGTTGCGAAGTGATCTTTTAAGAAAAGTCAAATTTTGTGGGGAAAAAAAGTTGTATAGACAGTTGTTGGGTTTTACTGTGTTTAGAAATAAGTCAACAGAAAATGTGAAAAAAAACATGTTGTTTTTTTCAAATCTGTACTTCTTAGCTGGAGTATTATGAAAAACATTAGTCCCAATATTACAGATAAATCCCTGTCCTTACATAAACTAACTTAATATGTTTTAAGCTACATCCCAAAGCCAATTGCGAAGTGATATATTGTCGTGTCTATATAAAGGAAGATCTTTACAAGAAGTTTTACAATTTTTTTTATCAGAAGAGGTACAAATTTGAATTTGCCAATATTTTTTAGTGTAACAAAATCATCAAAAGTTATCAGGTGTATGCTGACCTATAATTATAGTGATTTTATTATTGAATTTGCCTTGATTATGAAAATACATTAAATGTGAAAGAAAAATGTTTACATTATGTCAAAAACATGATGTGGTGTAATTATTGGGAAACAAAATATTGGAAGGAAAATTAATTTATGTAATAAGAATTGGTTCCTTATCAGCATATTGTGTCTGTTAGTAAACAACAGTAATTAGGAAGATGATTCATTAGTAGAAATATTTCATTGACACTTATCGATAAAGTTGCTGGTAGTTTTTATTTTTTTGTTGAATTATTTTTGGTTTTTTTTTTTCCCATCAATTACTCCTAAATATATGTCAAAATGGACACAGGTAGGATTCAACCATTTGGATAGTTTTGAGAACACACACTTTGGGCATTAGAAAAATAAGTCTTTACTTATTGAGAGAGTACTTTAAGTAATAAGATTGTTTTGTTGTAAGAGTCTGAGTGAATAAGACAAAATGAAAAAAAAAAAAAACTGCATGATCATTCAAGCTGAGACATTTTTAAGCTTGCACATTTGTTAAATACTCTGACTTAATTCACAAATTATCATGCAGGAACTCTTGTAAAATTGTAAATGTTTTAATTTTGATGGTAGTGTATTAGGAAGAACGTTTTTTGATGTCTTAGTTTAAATGTAACTAAAAATTAGACATACTGTTCACTGTGTTGATGTTGAATCTGTTGTTACATGACGATAGAATGTACTTATTGTTGTTGTTGATCTGTCAAGATCAAGTTTTCCCATTATTCTACTTATTCGTTGTTTCTGGTGATTTTATGCATAACTTAAACAGCATATGCCAGTTTAAATCCTTGATGTATAAATCTATTGATTTTATTGTCAGACTCTGCATTGAATTAAAATTAATTTGTGGTATATGTCGTGTATAGTATTACAGGACTATGGTTATATCTGACATTTGATTTACAAAGTACATAAGCAATGTATTTTGCTCTTCTGAGTAAGCTATATTTTTCAGTTATATACATAACGTGTATATATAGAGGATGTTACTTGCATTTCCATTTCTCATAAGAATATTTAACGAGTCAGGTATCAGAACGTTTTTAGCCAGTCTCAGAAAACGTTTTTAGCCAGTCTCAGAAAAAAAAAATACAAATGCTCCAAATCAAAGGATTATAAATAGAATGAACTCCCTTATTTATGCTGAATGTTAAGAGGTACCGAATGTTGAGGTTTTTTCCCCCTTATATTCATGTTCCTGATGCAAACATTTACTTTATATTTTCTACAGATCTGACCAAGGTATACCTCATAGGAAGCTTGAAATGCTTTATGTGTCACCACCTCAGTGAAAGTGTTGATAGGAAAATAGAAATAGCAATGTACTTTTAACTCCACTCTAGAATCTTTAAATACAAATATTTTATATTTACATGTACATATAGCTATATTTATTACATTTGTCGCAGTGAAATATAAGATTTTATGGGGAAATTGTGAGTGATATCTTCAGTAAGTGAAAACATGTTTTTATATTTTCACTCGTTTTTGACCAATCAGATCACAGCATTTGCAGTAAAAAAACCAATCCTCCCAGAGGGCATTTTGTACTTCAGGAACAACAACTCTGGTGTAGATAGGCCTGTTGCTATTTTATTGATCCAGGTGAATTTGATTTTAATCATTAGATTGTTTTGTGTATTATATGATTTGAAGATCTTTGTCTACTAGATGTGAAGCTGCATATCAAGTACTGTATTCATCTTGCAATTTACCAGAAGATCAAGAATGATCCTGACACCAGAGTTTATTTTAAAGTTGACATCAGTTCAGCTACTTCTTTCTGGAGCGTTTTTTGCTAAAAAAGACCATGACATTTACTTCAGTGACACTGGAAATTTACTGTGAACATATCAATATTGCCTTTCCTGTTTACATGCAGTGTTTCTAAAACTAATTGACCAGTCATTTACAGTAAAACATCTTATCAGTGTAAAATACAAAAGAAATCTGAAAATGTGAATGACATGTTATATATATAGTTTTAATATGGTGTCCTCGAGTTGGGAGTTTACTTTTAAAACTGAATATCCTGTAATTGTATAATAAAAAGTGATCGATGTGTTATGTGGAAGGAAATGGCTGGAGTTCTGTACAATATCTCTAGCTGAGTTAAGCTAGCAAGTGGTGTCTATGAAGAGGTAACAGGTAAAATTGTATTGTAAAATATTGAGAGAATGTGAACCAAGCAAGCACATCAGACCACCTATTACACAACTGTGTTCTTTTTATTTGTAAATTTTGTATTGCATTTTCTTGACCTTTCAAATTTACTTATAAATAACTGGCAATGGAATTACAACCTAAGAATGGGAAACTGGCCCCCATTTCTTTAAAATAAATTCACTGAAAGTTTTAGTTGAGTTTGTGATTATTTTGTAGCGAAATATTTAAGCCTGCTGATCCTCAACTGGGACTTTCTTTTGGGTTATTGTCTGTTCTAATGGCCAATCATAAATTTTTTATTGTGTGTGATCTACTTAATGGATCACATTGAAACTCGTTACAATTTGTTACTACGTTGTATAACTGTTTGTCCTGTTCTGATATATATATGCTTGCCACATTTTTAATTTGTGGTCCTATCCTGAAATTATGAGTACCAGTACTATTTTTCAGGCAGCCAATTTTATCAGTAAACACTATGGTCCCTGGTAGCAACGAAATTTTGAAGTGGGACTACTGTGTAAGCCATGTGCTAATTGCATGCAAACTTTGTGAAACACTTACCAGGATATGACTTCTTTGGGTAATGATTTTTTTTCACTTTCAAATGCTGGTCAAAGGTCATGGTTAAGGCCACATGCTCACAAATTTAGGTACCACCAGAGAATTCATGTCATAAGGAGCACACATGCCAAATATGGAAGCCCCACCTCTTACGATGTAATAGTTATGGACAAGGTTAAAGTTGACAGAGTACATGAACAATGCGTCCCTGATCTTTTGATCCAGGGGCATAAAAATCAACCTTGTTAACAATCAATGAAAATTAGTGCTGCTTGGCCACAAGATTATCCTCAGACATTGTGTAGCATAAATTCTCCCTTCAGAACAAATAATTAAAGGTTCAATGAAGTTGTGTGAAGTATCTACATATTCAAACTCGGTTCCATAACATTGTAAGCATTAAAGGAAGAGAAATCTTTGAGTCTAATATGATAGTATTTGTCAAAGTCTTGTAAATAAAAAATAGAGCATTACAATTTATTGCATTAATTACTTGCTAGAAATTAATTTAGTGATATTTTAACTGTAGTTAATTTTTTATATGATTTTTGTCTCTATGTAAAAGTAAACAAGAGTTCCTTGGAACTATATGTGTAGCCTGCATAAAGTGTCATGGTCACCAAGAAATCGAACTGGATATCAAAACTAATCTATACACTTCCAACAAGAAGCCGCATACCAAATTTCATTTCTATAACTCAAAGCATAACCAAAAAAAGTCCAGAAAACAATATTCCCAGAGAATATTCTACGTTCAAAGGGGCATAACTCTGCCAAGAAGGTTTACAGACAGCCAGGAATCGAACTTCATCTGTACCCTTCCAACAAGAAGCCATATACTAAATTTCATTTTGATAACTCAAAGTATAAGCGAAAAAAGTCTGGAAAACTTTCGTACGGACGCCAACGGACAAAGCGATCCCTAAGTGTCCACCAGCTCTGCAGACGACACAACAATATGTAATGAAAAGTACACTTGATCAACAATCATATATACGTTTAACAACAGAAGGAAAAAGCTTAAGTTTATTTCGTTTCACTTTTTTATTGGTCTTTATTTCTGTTTTTTTTTTTTTAATGTTTCTTTTACACCTTAAGATCAGGTGCAACAATATTTGTACACAAAACACAGTATGAAGTTTATATGGCATGTAAAGAGAGTCATAACTCTCATTCCTCATCACCAACATCAGTACCTATGATACAGGATGTGTACACATTCATAACTCTCATTCCTCATCACCGACATCAGTTACCTATGATACAGGATGTGTAAACATTCATAACTCTCATTCCTCATCACCAACATCAGTTACCTATGATACAGGATGTGTACACATTCAATAACTCTCATTCCTCATCACCAACATCAGTACCTATGATACAGGTTGTGTACACATTCATAACTCTCATTCCTCATCACCGACATCAGTTACCTATGATACAGGATGTGTAAACATTCATAACTCTCATTCCTCATCACCAACATCAGTTACCTATGATACAGGATGTGTACACATTCATAACTCTCATTCCTCATCACCAACATCAGTACCTATGATACAGGATGTGTACACATTCAAAACTCTCATTCCTCATTACCAACATCATTACCTATGATATAGGGTGTGTACACATAACTCTCATTCCTCATCACCAACATCAGTTCCTATGATAAGGACACATGTGAACATTCATAACTCATTCTTCACTATCAAAATCAGTTCAATAATGTAAAAGAGACCCTAATGTCACATTGATTCTGACAAATAAAAAATGTGTTTCTTGGATATAAATATATATCAGACTACATTCTCTGATCTGTAATCTTATGATATTGTGGGGATGCAGACTCAGTCTTGTATAAAATTATCACTAGATTAAAATCAAGCATTTGTGATCACAACCAAAAACTTTTTTTTTTCCAATATCAGTGTCATATTTAATGTGGAAAAATGTGAAGAAAAAAAGGTCCATATCACTTTCTACCAGAAGTATACATGATTGTAACACTGTTGCTATTAAGGAACATGATTCACGTAAACACACACACAAAACCAGCAACATTCCATAATAATACATGCCATATACTAGTACTAAGCATACACACATTTACACACAGGTTGTGTGTAAGTATACATTTCACTTTCATTCATATTCAGCATATTTTCTCTTTACACAAGCCTTGACACTTTTAACATTACACATATACACGTAAAATGAATCGCACATCCAACCAAACTCCTTCTGAATGTTTCTCATTCAACTCGCATAATATATTTTCACATAGATACGGTTTATTCCTTACATCTATGTACAATATATATATATATATGTTTGTGTGTGTCTCATATACCACACAAAAATAGCTACCATTCAACCATATCGATCAACTTTCATGATTAAATACTTTTGCCCATGGACTTTCTCATTCAAGGGAGAAAACTCTCCATCACAACAGTTTATCAATAACCATTTATCAATCACATACAACTATGTGCTCCTTTTTTGATACTATTAAGTATTTACCAGTGAGGTATGTAATATCTCTCAAACAAAACCTTCTGATGCAGTACTCAATTGTAACGTCTATAGAAATCAATAGTATTTTTGGTATACCTGCACATTAAAAAAAAAATTCCTGTGTAACACAGTAATTTAATCTACCCATCCATACAGTTCTATTGTCGCTGTTGACCAAGCAGTTATTTACAAAGTAAAAGTAAATAAAAGTTCAAGTAATAGTTTAGTGTCCCGATATTAAAGGAAGATAAAGAGGTTTTTTCTCAATATCAATTCTCTACATTAACCAGGTGTGTGAAATGCGAGACATTTAGCCTTATTGGCATCTATGTTATAAGACTAAAAAATTTTAACAAAAATAAAAAAATCTGAGCCAAAAGAAAAACAATGAATCACAAAACATGGCATTATCCCCTGCACTCAGCTGTTTATAAAGGTATAGCAATTGGTGATGTCACTCAATTATGTACCACTACAACCACCTGAAGAACACGTATACAGTGAAAGTAATAGTGCAAAGTGTAATGTCTTCTTTTGTCTATTATTATATCAATTATATTTCCTTGTATATCCTCAACTTGACCACATCATATATCAACCTTATAGTAAAAGTTTATAACTTGATGTAGGTCCTGTGTGTTTGGTATTGTCCATGAACAAATTTATGCAACACTATAAGTTCTGGAGTAACACAATAAGTCACAAGAAATCAAACATTTGATGGTAACAGATAAAAGATTAATGATATAATGTCCTCCATAACAAAAGTCACAATTAGTGCACTAACCTAATATCTACAGAAAGTTTTGTGGAATTGAGTGGCATGGTTCCAAAGTTGTAGCCCGCAAAGGAAAGACAACAATAATTTGTATTTTTTTTTACTTATGTTTGCTTGGTAGCAGAAAAAATATATGAAAAAAAGAAATGTTGTCAATAACAAAAGGCATAACTAGGGCACTAACTTAATTTACACAGCAAATTTTGAGAAGTTCAGTTGAATGGTTTGGAAGTTATAAGAGTGGAAAATCCCTCAGAACAACGGACGGGCGGACTGACATAGCCCAAATTAATATCCCCGCAAAATGTGTTTGGCAAGGGATAATTATCTCCCTTCGACACCACACTTTATTAAACAGATGAATCAGTATCAATTTTTTTTATATCGATGACAATCAAAGATGTTTAATTTGTGCAACAAGACAATATATTGATGGCACAATACCATGTATAATTACGAGTTGGCATGCACCTGGAATGCTTTTGTCCAATTCAACTTATTTACACCATTAAAAGAATGAGATATTCTTCAACAATTATTTTCATGTTTCAATCTACTTAAAGAAGTACCACCTTGATTCAAGATAAAAATATTTTGAAGAAGACTTTCTGAATTTGCAAATTTGGTGCATCAGGATACTTGGGTAAAAGATGTTTCTCTCATATCTTGTCACAGTTCCTAGTCAAAAATACACCAACTGTTTATCTTAATATTAGAGTAGATAAAATTTGCAATGATTTAATACTGGACATTTAAAAAGGCAAAATCAATGAATATGCAATATAGATTTTACCAAACAAAGTGAGAGGAAACAAATATATAACTGGAATATTTTGCCTGTAAATCAAGACTGAACATCTACAGAAATCTTATTCCTCATTATGCATTACTGTCATACACATATCGATTGAACAAGAGTTTGTACAGAACAATCACTATTGAAGATGGCTGTAATAATGTGCCTTCCCCAAAATGCTTACTCTTCCTGGTACTGGGAAACTGGACTAGTATTTCCAAAAGGAGAGACAAATGTCATTGCACTCTACGATGTACTAGTTCACCAAATGTACATGTCTTAAGACAAGTCACTAATTAGAATCACCAAGCTGTCTCCAGACAAGGTACCAATTAGAATCACTAAGCTGTCTCCAGGCAAGGATCCAATCAGCTGTTTCAAGACAAGGAACCAGTCTCCAAACAAGTAACCAAGGAGACCTTACCTTTCATACAGCCTTTGGTAAGTCAGTGGACCAGTCAGATCTATGCTTACAATCAGCAATTCTGCTGCAATAAAACTTCATTTAGCAGCTGTTGACTGATCAGCAGTGCATATGGCCAACTGTTGAACACAATATGGCAAATACAGTTTTGCTTTTCTTTCTTCTGAAATGTTTTCTTCCCTGCAAGGTTTTGTTGAAGGATTTCAGTCTTTCTTCAATTTGGAGTCGTCAGCTTCATGGCCATCATACTGAATGAAAAAGATAGGATAAAATAAAGCTAACTGGATATTATTCCAAAGAGTTAAATTTCATTCTTTTTTATAGAGGATATTATTTATCTACCAACTAATCTAAAGTCTACCATTTAACATTTCATCGATTAGGGTATAGACAGAGGTTACTTAACTAACCCAAACTGTTCTGTCCATGGCTTCTTAGAAAGTAATCGACATTGTTGCCAATCCTCATCAATTCTTGATACATGTAAATTATATCAAAATAAATGTGTATAACTTTTTTACAAATAGCAATGTATATGACAAATTTAATTATTATAAAAAAGTTACTTTAAAACATTGACATTGAAAGATCAGGTGGGATTAAAACCAAGGAAAAGTTCTCTAAGTCTCGATATTCACCAATAACAAATAGACAACAAGAAAATGTTTCAGCAATAAAAACAAGGAAACTGAATTGATCTGCACAAAATCCTACTTACAATAGCCAGTTGTCTGCCAATGTTTCCCATCGTTACTCCACCAGAAAAAACAATGCATGGCAGCCAGGACCGTACAAAGAGAAATTCTGCTTTGGTGTACCTGTGAAGATTGATGGACGTACATAATTCAAGGGATATTATGCTTGTTTTTATGCATATATGGGAGATAAGATCTTTGTCTAGTGCTAAAATGACAAGATTCATTAGGCACTAAACATTCACTAAACATTAGACAACGCCTTAATATTGTTAGAAAAAAAAATTAGGTTAAACTCTGAAAGACACAAACTACATCCCATTTCCCATCTACTGATGTTTGTCAGAATTAAAAACATAAAAGTTTCTTGTTGTTTGCTTTGCAATTACTTTGTTATACAGGATAGATCATTTTCTCAATTTTTTTCCTTTCTTGTAAATTCCAAGTCAATTTAAATCTCCCTATCAAAGTGTAACAAAAAAACCTACCAGTCACAGGTATTGGAGCTGTCATCTACTTTGTTTTTTTTTTTTTTAATTTTTTTTAAGATCCCACTTTTTTAAAAGGATGTCAATTGTGGGCATCTATGATTGCAAACAATTTCCAGGAGAATCCCCCTGAACCTTCATTGCTAGTTCTTTTCCTGGTTCATGCCTATGTCTGTTGAAAGATGGGCCTTAGGTTTATCACTGTGCATGCAGCGTTATTCGTTAACAGCTGACTGGCAGGGTGAATAACCAACTTTTAATCAAATCTCCTCCAGAAAACAATTTGTAACATGAAACCAGTACTGTTATCAAACTTACCTGTATACTCCATGGTAGACTAGAAGTTGTGTGATGAGGGTAGCAAGGACAGCAATACCAACACCAAGTCCAAATCCACTCTTGGAGCGGTCAAATAACCACCATAGACCAATAGACATGGCAGCCAAGGTTACAGATAGCTGCATATTGTTGGCAAAATCTATTTTCTAAATAAGAGTTAAGGATAATTTTTTTCTTCACTTCATTTAATACACATTTGAAAATGGCAAAAGAACAAAGGACATTTTAAACACTTACAGTAGATATTCCATTCTAAAACAATTTCTAAAGTAAACTATTTTCATATTGATAACAATTCTTGTTGTTTAAATAGTCAAATTTCAATATTTTTAAATGTGGAAGATGGGATTGGGCCAATTTTGATCACATTCTACCAGAGAAGACTGTAAAGGTACAAGTATTTGAAACAATTTAATAGATTAGAAGAATTCTGGCACAGCAACTTGATAATGTAAACAAAGGATACAGCACTGGCATGGTTGATCCCTACAAACACTGCCACACATCGCATGACACTGGACCACTCCCCCTTACACATGTTCGGCTCACCCAGACGCTTGTCCAGTAGTGGATACACCAGCCCTATAAATGCTGTCAACAAAAAGATTCATGTATAATAAATACAATTACAAAAATCATTAGCATTAACTATGGAATGGCCACCATCCCTACAATGAAGTATTTTTTTGTGACCAGTCCAAATCATGAAAAAAAAAAAAAAAAACAAAACTGATCTGAAACGTTGCCAGCTTTGAAAAATAATACAAAATCTGAAATCAGGTTAAATATAATGTTACATTCCCACTACATCACTCAAACCAAGTTTACCATTAAAAACCTTTTAACTGATGAAATAAATCACAAACTTTGATTAAATCTTTCATAAAATTAATGTTGCAAATGGGATATATACAACACTATTGTATTTATACAGATAATGAGATTGTCAATGTGCATCAAAATGTGTTTATTATCCTCATGTACAGATTAACTTTGTACATCTGAGATGTCCTACCTTTTGCATTCAGGTACATACACACTAACAAGATAACCTTATCACATGCCATACTACTCAAACAGGTGTTAGTTGTTGACATCAGACAATATCTTACATCAGTGTCTGACCATGTACATGTATACCTGTGTCATTAAGTAAATATTTGGCAGTGCATTTCGACATAAACAGGTATATCCACATTGATAACCTTCACAACAAAATAGATTTACAGCATGTATACTAACTAAAGTTGCTCAAGACAGGTGTATACTATTGAACTAGGAAACTAGGTTATCTACTTAGATAGGAATATCTAGATCACAAAACAAGCGTTTATATGCATAAATATGTTTGGTACAATATTCCATAATATATGACAATACATTGTTGTGTTTTTTTTCAATCTTACATGGCATGAAGAGCCTATCATGTCTTGCTGCTGTTGTTATATTTCATTCTTCAACTATATTTATTTTTCTGTGGTACTTTCTAAAATTCATTTGAGTCACTCCAGCAATAAATGTGCTGCTAAAGTCAGTCTTTGGCTTGGATATTCATTCTTGCTATGCTTACTAGATTGTATTTCTTAATCCATAATCATTGTTTGACTTTTTCTAAATCCATAATCACCGTTGGACTTTTCTTAATCCATTATCACTGTTTGACTTAAGTGTTAGACACAATTACTGCCGAGGTAATAAGCCAGGGCATTCAATATCTCCAAGCCTCCTTAATCAAGAGGTTTTTTTAACTTCCAAAAATTGGCTCTGACTCAAGTCTGATGCAGGGATGAATCTTTTTCACACCTATTTTGCCCTTTCATATACAGTAATTGTGATTTAATTTCTGATATAGTGAAATTTAGAGTCAACAAAATATTCTGTTACTACTACTGAGAATCAAAGGTGTGCATGCATACATTATACATACATATAAACATGTATTCCTATTTAGGTTCTCAGATGACCATCTGAAACGAACTAACTAATCACATAACAACCAACATATTAGTATGGGAGGAAGACATCTGTGCAGTGAGCAAAATGAAGTCATCCTCAAGTATTTCATTAATAGTAATTACCTGCTGCTAATCCACAACCTAATGGGACCCACCAAGCTGAGGCAAATAGTTGTAAAACTTCATCAGGGAAGGAATGGAGCTCTACTGATGACTCGCTCTGGATTTGCAGAAAGTTCAATACCAGCGCAAAGAACACACCAACAAAAAACAGCACTGACCCCCTTGTGAGCATTGTTGTTACAGCCATGGTTGATTTCTTTTGTATCAGAGACAGATTTCACATTCAAACAATTTCTTCTGTATATGCTGCAAATAAATGTAAACATAAATAGCAAGTTTCAAATTTAAATTTTGCACCAACTTAGTATCTTTGGTTACACGGTGGTGCATATTTACTATATATTCTATAACATGCATATGCAAGCTTATATAAACTACTTAATAACTAAGTTAGACTGTGCCATGATCCTATTCATTAATATCATACAGTGCATTTGGAAAGGGTTCTGACCACATTTGTTCCCATTACCTACGTAGGATTTTTTTGTGTGCCCAAAGTGCTTTAATATTTTGTCAATAATTTCTTCTTTCCCCTGGAATGCAACTTATAAAAAACAATCCAATGTCTGGAAACTCTTTTTTTTCACAAAACCATTTAAGATATCCTGCTGGAAATGGTTTGACTTTCTTTTCATTTGGTATACGATTCCCTATAATTTATGCCTTAAACTGTCACCAGATTTCAATGACAATTTTTCCAAAAATAAGTTTATCACACAGCCATGATCATAGTGGCAGTAAAATAAGAAACACATACCTCTTCATATGACATGTACGCCTTTCAAATATGTAACAGTGCTATTAAATCGTAGAACTCTTCATTAAAGAAAAGTTGTTTAATGCACTTGCCGATGTTGATTTAAATCCTAGAGTAGTAGCACAGACGTATATAACACATTATGTTATATACGTCTCTGGTAGTAGGTAGTATGAGCTACATCATTAAACTGACTCTTACCAAAATTTACTGATTCCTTGAATTACTAGTTCTATTCACCAGCTACCACTAGCCTAACCATTTTCAGATTCTTCCTTGAGACTCATTTATACTTGACGTTTGACAATGTCCGTCGTCTGATATAAAAGTCTCAATTGAAAGGTGTCCCAAAATGGATTAGAAGCTACCACCATAGCTGTGATTCCCACAAATTGTATACATGTAGACATACGTTTACTAAATGTTCACCTCCTTACGTTTCCTCGGGATAAGAAAACTACTTATAGAGTATACGTATGTTTGGGAATTACGTCGAATTATTTTTGGAATAAAGTCCAACTTTTGGTGGATGTGTAGATCCAAAATATCTGTGTAATAGTTTTATGACTTAATCCGTCGAAACATACAAATACTATTCCTTACCAGCAAACAGACGCCTGACTATGAAAACTCTTAAAAAGTTTGTAGTCCAGTTTCAATCAGCTGATTGCGTCTTATTTGTTTGCTACTCTAGGCTAGTTCAGTTAGAGATATGCGCATCTTTGTCGTTATTGTACCCTTAACGTGGATAAAACAAGCGAAAGACTTACCAGAGTAATATGATATCACAGTCCAGTGTTCGTCCCTTGTTATCACACAAATATATACTTACTCAATGCAGATTCACTTGTATTCTTCTGTTCATAATTTTATGGCATTCTATGTCGACTGATATCACACGATACCACACTGTCGGCTGACAAGAATCGACCAATCAAATTTCAGCATTTTCTTAAACTAAAAATAAACCACCAATCAATATATGGGCTGATGCTCCCGCCATTCATGTTAAAGGTCAAAGGTTGAATTCGCCGGCAGAAGAAAAACTTCCGGGTTATATTATCTAAAAATAATTTTCATCATGTGACTATTATTTCTCACAACTAGTGAATCAAAATGGCGGCGACTGGTGGGAGTGTGTTTGCAAGAGCTAGATCTGGTTCATCTAAATTGCAAACACAGTACGATGCAGATGGAAATGAGATAGAGGTAAAGATGTAAACTACAGATTAAACGAACTTTCTTTAAAAGTTACGAAACATATATTCCATGCCCGTTGTTATATACTGACATGATCTGGTCTGAGTGCTGTCATAACATACACATCCTGTACTTTGTACAGTAACTGTGAAATCTGATTAACTTTTTTAAAAATTTATTCTGGTATAAAGGTTATATAATCAATGTTTCTCTAACACATGGGTTAAGATTGACTTCTTATGTTTCTTCAGTTTAGTCATTACTGAACGTCAAGTTACCAACCTCTTGGTAAATACCTATAACATTTCAGTGTAATGTTTTTATATAGTATTTCACTTACCGGTCTAAATGGCCAGTTTGCAGTAACTATCAATAGTAGTGCCCATTAGTCTAGACCATTCAGATAGTATCTGTCTTCTAGATTTTGCATACTACTCCCGTTTAGAGCAAGTTAAGGACAGAGTATGGACATGTATACAAATAGACATGCCTGGCTTCAATGTAACACATTTGTATTATATTTGTAGTTTGACGTACGTGAAGATGAGGAACAGAATGTCAAACTTGGTCAAATCATTGACCTGTTATTGGCAGCTGGATATTTCCGCGCAAGGATCAAAGGGTTATCTCCCTTTGATAAGGTAAAAAATACCCTTTGTGGAAGTTTTTTTTATTATATATGATAATGGAATAAAATCACAAATGATATTAAGCTTGAAATCCAAATCATTCAAAAAACCTTCAGGTCTTTCCTTAACAATGTGAAAATGCAATCTGGCATGTCGCTTCAGTCTTCTGATAAAACTTGTGCACTTGAAAATATCCAATATCCAATTTGTATTCATAGTTCTGTTTATAGTTGTAGTGTAATGACAGACATATTACATAAGGACACTAAATAGATAGTTTGCGACAGGGTAAGGCAATGGAACCACAAATGATTATGTACATGTATATATACAATACATTAAAATGTACTTGTTGCAAAGGATGCAACAAAATCAGAATCTTTAAAAGAACACAAAACAGACTTTAAAATGTTATACAAAATGTACTTATAAATTGTATAGAATTGTATAGAATTATGAAAAATTTAGATATTAATTCAACAACTGACAATTATTGCTTTAAACATTAACTATATTAATTACTTTCCAATTTATGTTTTTTTCAAATATATGATTTTGTTATTGGTTAAAAATGTAGACAGAAGAGCATAGCTTTAATCTTAGTACAAATTGGAACCCAATAAAACAATGCGGATTAGTTGAACGTTATATATAGATTCTGAAACTGTTAAGTTACATATAGTTATAGTTAAACAATATGTATACAATAGACATAATATTATATATCTGTTGTGTAATTACAGGTTGTTGGTGGAATGACATGGTGTATAACAACATGCAGTATAGACATAGATATTGACCTGCTCTTTCAGGAGAACTCAACCATTGGTCAAAAAATGTATGATCATATCAAAGAAATTTCATAATCTGATAAAACAACAAAATAGCTTATCAGTGGATAAGTAATGATTTTCTTAAAAATTCTGTGTTAATGTGTATAAAATATTTGGTTTATGTTATGCCTGTTCACAGATTATATCAATCTCATATGGATATCTCAGTATATTGTGAAATAAAATAAATAGTACTTTTATCAGTCCTCTAAACATTTTACCATAATTAGAAACACATCAAAGTGTCTTATGTTTACTGTAATAGTAAATTATAACAAAAGCTTAATAAGCTTTAAAATGATTTATAATCGTAATTCATATTGATTTGCTGTTTTAAGTGTTGTTGATGGGTTATTGAACTTATAAAAGTTAGAATAATTGTGTACTTTGTTATAACATTAATGGGAAAATCCAAATGTGACAAAAGAAATATTGAATATTGAAGTTAAAGATATTGAAATGAGTATAAAGAATATTATAAAACTTGAACAGCAACAGCTATAATTGTTAACTGTTTACAATTTCGATCACTGATGTTGGTTTGTATCGGACAGAGAACTGACAGAGAAGATCGTTGCAGTCTTACCGAAGATGAGGTGTCCTCACCGAATTGAACCCCATCAGATCCAAGGTCTTGACTTCATACATATTTATCCTGTTGTACAGGTGAGGTTTTTTACTTACAAAGACTACCTTAGACAAGGTAACACTGTTATCATTGTTTTCACTCACCTGGCAATGCTGTTGTCATGGTTTCTACAGACTAGGCAATGCTGTCGTCATGGTTTCCACTGATTAGGCAATGCTGTTGTCATGGTTTCCACTGATTAGGCAATGCTGTTGTCATGGTTTCCACAGTCCAGGTAACAATATCATCTGGTTATCACAGACTTGGCAACACTTTTGTCATGGTTTCCACAGATTAGGCAAGGCTGTCGTCTTGGTTTCCACAGACCAAGCAATGTTGTTGTCATGGTTTCCAGACAGATACATTGTAAATGTGGTATTGTTTGTTAGTGTGTCTATTTTACTGTATAATACACCTGTCCCTATGGGGCTATGAACACACACCCATCTTTCTTCCTGTGGAGGAGGATAGGTGTCAATAAAATTATCTGCATCTGAACTCTTTGCCTCTCTTATATCTCACTCTTAAAGTAAGATCAGAGGATGAGATTATCACACACTGAAGAAATTCAATACACAATACATGATAGGAGTTTCTTGATGGTTTTGTTGTGGAGTTATTCTGCATTTGATTTAATCTTCTTTCTCAGTGGCTGGTGAAGAAGGCAATCGAGACTCGAGAGGAGATGGGTGATTATACCCGAGCCTTTTCTGTATCCCAATTCAACAAAAACCATAAAACACCAGAGGTTAGTATGAAAACTAGGTCAAAGGTCAAAAAGTAGAAAGTGATACCAAATCTTTAAAATAATACAAAATCTTGTTTGATGTATTGCAACTAGGTCTTAAAATGATGGTTTTCAGACTCAGATGTCAATAGAAAATCTCTAAGAACTGTCTGAGGTATCAAAAGTACATCACTGGCCTTAGAAGTTTCTGAAATACAACAAAAAACCCAGATATGAAAAAATTACAAAACTTCAAGAAAAGCAGCAGGAGACTGAAGCAAGTTTCATTGGATCATTTTCAAATTTGTTTGCTTGAATTCTTGTCAGACAGGAGTTTATTGGGTTTCCTGTCCTGACTGAATGATGTCACAGATATGTGGAAAATATACACTGATGTATGATATGTGTAAAAAACACAATCTGATATATGTGATATATGTGAGAAATGCAGACCGATGTGTGAGAAACACAGGCTGATGTGTGATATGTGTTATAAACACAGATTAATGTGTGATACATATTTTAAACACAGGATGATGTGTGATATGTGTTATAAACACAGATTAATGTTTGATATGTGTTATAAACGCTGATTAATATGTGATACATATTTTAAACACAGACTGATGTGTGATATGTGTTATAAACACAGATTAATGTGTGATATGTGTTATAAACACAGGCTGGTGTGTGATATGTGTTATAAACACAGGCTGGTGTGTGATACATATTATAAGCACAGATTAATATGTGATATTTGTTATAAATACAGTCTAATGTGTGCTATGTGTTAAACATGGGCTGATGTGAGATATTTAATTGAATAGGGAAGAAAAGTTTATCATACTCAACAGGAAATGAACATAAACCTACTAATTTGTAGTCGATTGATCTATTTCTCCACAGCAATGAATGTTAGAGTCATCTTTTCCAATCTACAGATGAAATGAACTAATTTTTTCAGCATGAAATACTGTATATCATGGTATAACTATATGTTTATACATGGTAATTTAAAATCATGCTTTGTCTTGTGAACAAAATATAGTGAATGCATCGTTTTGTCAAAATAAAATCTTATTATAACCTTCAACTTGACATTAAGTAAACAAGCAAAGGCAGCTATAACATAAACACATTTACATGTTTATGGTGAACACGGTGATATCATCTCTGAAAAATCTAAACAAGACAACACGTGTTTTGTGATCTCTTTAGCTTGTTATACCATTGTTTATCAGGTGAGAATTACGTCATTTAAATAAAAATGTTATATGAAGGTATGAAGTAGTCTACATTTTACAGCTGACAGAATTGTGTTACCTAATCTTACAGGTAATAAGTCATTTTTATCAGTGTACTATGTACCTGGAACTTTGATCTTGTCTGCGCACTGTTTGTACATATGACCAACATGTAAATATTTTTTTTTTAACATAAAAACATTAAATTAAAAATTTAATGATAAAATATTTTTTTAGACATTAAATGAAGATATGAAATAGTCTAGACTTCACAGCTGACAGAATCATGTTACACATTCACACTATCCGTAATACTTTGTACCTGATACTTTGATCTTGTCTGCCAGGTTAACCTATATATGAACTGCCTAGGAACACGTTTTTTCTGTTTGTAAAACAACCAGAAGAATGATTGACTTATATTTTTAATTTGAATTATGGTATGACAGATTAAGCTTCAGAATTCATAAATTTCTACATTCTAAATTTCATACAAGTCATGTTAACTACAAAACATTGTACTTATATTGAAATTGAAGCATTCTGACATTATGTGATCAGAAGTATTTTGTGATAAGTCAGTGCCTAAACAGATTTAGGGTGGGTAGTGGACAATAATATAGCTGGTATATAGCTGTAGCTTACTCCGGGTGTCACTCCCTTTCTGTATAAAGTAATCAGGGGGCCATCAGAGTAACCACAGTATTAGAATCATGATACTAGTATCATGATATTACTGTTAGCCATAAAAAAGGAAGTGTAATTAGCTAATTTCTTCACTGCTTTACTATAGTTTTTTTTATAGTGAAATGTAAATTTTTCAACATAATTTGTTCATTTTCCCTCAGAATTACTTCAAACTTGGTTAGTATTATTAGTATTAGCTGACAGTTTGATGAGATGTACATATTGACTTCGGCTTAACTCCAAAGGTTGATTGACATAGCCAAAAATGGGTCAAATTTACAGAATTTCAAAGCTGTTCTACTGTTCATGGATGGAAGAGTTTATATAGGAAAATTCACTTTTTGAGTGTAATTTCTTTTAATTCAAACTTGGTTAGAAGCCTTAACATGGAACGGCAATTAATGTTATGCACAATTCACATTTGCATTTTGTGTGCAATGTAATTAAAGTTACATTACGTTTTTTTTAACAAAATCATTTCTATGACATATTACAAGAATTATTGTAACTTGTGTGACCGTTAATGCCCTTGGGCCTCTTGTAAGTTTACATGTTACAGCCAAAATATGATTAACCCTAAAAAAATTTGTGGTTGACAGTTATAGTGATGCATACAAATGCACCATGCATTATATCTTGCACAAAACTGTACGATAGGATTGCATGTTTGGTGCAGTTTGGTGAAAATGGTTGACTGATATTACAGATTGAAAATTAAATGGAAAACTTCCGTAGTTATGTCTAAATAGTCATTATTGAATATTGATTTGTGATTATGAAGATCATTTCTAATTCAACAGTTTTTGAAATATCACTGGACCCTTCATTAATTATATATGTGTGATAAAACAGCACAACCTGTACACAGATGTGCGATATAGCTAATTTCATGTAGATTTCCTATGATCCCTACATTGTCTGTGCATCATATAATGTTGTGCGATCCAACATTGGTAAGTTGACTGACGAGAGGCTTTTCCTCAGGGAATAAATGTATTGTTTGCAAGCTTAAGAGAATAAATTTGTTAAGGGTTCATTTACTGTTCATATGATGTACATGTCCAAATATCTGTATGTAAGGTATATGTACGGATAAAAGTACAAAAATTAATCAGCTGATAGATGTAAACAGTTATCTAATTACAGAAGATTTCAAGTGGTCGTGTGAAATACATTTTTATGATAATTGGTTTATGTTGTTTTAGGATCTAGCTTTTGATTCCAACAAAGACAAAGCCGTAACAACTGTCGCTGGAGTAAAGGTCAGTTAAAGTTAAAGAGGTATGCTACCGCACTCCTCATATTTATCAGTCTGGAAAACAACAGAACTACACATTTTTACCAGTTAAATCTGTTTTAAATTATGCTAGCCCTTAATGCTGTTATATACATTTTAATATTTGTTAATAAATGTATCCCCTTTAACCCTTTCGGCGCCAAATATTTCCCACAATGTACAGCTCAGCGCCAAATATTTTCCAGAAAATATCCGAACACAATGACAAAAATTGTCGACTAAAGTCGCCTACGGCAGCCTGTCTGCATGTCGACTTTAGTCGCCTACGGTGCCAAAAGGGTTAAGAGAAACATTGATGGTGATATGATTCATATAAACCAGGGATTTCATAAACATGTATCTGATAAATAATGATTTGATCAATAGACTGAATATACCTTGTATTCTTATAGCTAAACTTAAACCTATTATGACTCCTTTTTGATTAGATAATGTGCCTTGTCTCTTTGTACAATATAGAGTCTGACGTGTTTGATATTTGTTGGCACACCTTGTGGTTTTGTTATAATTCTCTTTCTCATTGAAAATGTGACACTTAATTACATACATAAATTTGCCGAGATCTTCTGGCAGCGACATCAATGAAGCAGAGGAGGCATGCCATTCTTGAATATCATGTATGCTTGTCAAAAGTATTAACCATAATTTTGTTTGGAGTTTGCCCTTGACTCAATGATTTTGTTAACGTGTTGGTAAAAGACATTGTCTCATTCTTACATATACTTTACAGGGTTTACTTAAATTTATCAGCATTAATTTATTTTTTACCATAGGATGTTTACAAACCTCAGCGTCGATATAGACGTCAGGATGCAGGCAAGCTCAAAGATGAAGAATCTAGGGTTCATTCTACTTTGCTCGAATATGGGAGGTAACTCCTATTTTTATCATACTAGAATTTTGAAAATATTCAGTCATTTAGTGGTCTACCACAAAATCATTGTGTTATGATAGGTTATTTTGATATCTTTATTCTTTTCTTCAAAATGTATCTGTTGGTTTTTAAAGGTGGAATACTAGAGGTCTTAAAAATGTTTATCAAACAAATAATTGATCTTATAGTAAATTGCATGAATACTAGTTAAGATAAACAATAATTTTGGATAAAGATTAGTTTACAGCGTATACGGAGTTTAGTAGTGATTACCATAAGTGACTTATTTTTTGTTTCAGACGATATGGTATCAGTAAATCGGACCATGCTGAACAGGTATGCTCCACATTGGTCATTCGTCTGATGAAGGTGACCATGTAGTAATCGAAACGTCACACTCAAATCTTCTACTGGTTTTGTTATAAGAACTTCTGTTCTACTGACATTACCAACCTGAAGAAAATATTCTGTAGTATTGTAAAAACTGTGTTTAGAAACAGGAGAAGTTTTACATGGTGTTATGTAATAACATGCTAATTTTCTATTGTGCGATGTTTGTCAACAGCCAATTTAAATCATTTTGTAAATGTTTGTTTTGGATGGTTGTACAGGTTAAATTTTTTGTTTTTGATTCATTAAAGGAAGGGGACAAATCTGCCAAGAAAGCGGCAGCTGCTGCAAGCATTGGTGGGCAACAAGCAGAGCCCTCTGAGGAAGAGCTGCAAGAACAAGAGGAGGTAACTCTCTTTCACTCTAATCTTTTATTATCTACCCACCCAAGTAAAGTTTATGTAAGATAAAACAGCCTCATTCTACCAGTGAATTGAACTACCAGTTAATATGCTTCGTCAACATTGTACAAAGTTAACAAAGAAACTGTAGGACTCTCATCAATCTAAAAGCTATGGGCACTAGCTGTGGACCTAGAAGCATATAATGATACTAAATTTTGTTATTTAGTGTTCAATATTTTTCAGATTTTTAAAGCATTAAGTGGGGACTAAGTACTAATAATATAGATATTAATCTGGATGTTTATTTTTAGAACTGATGTAGTTATTTAATTACTGTTTAGGGGAGAGGTTTAGATTCCTGTTTTGAATGCAATGTAGTATGCATGGGTCAACCTCCGTGCTATATATCCTAGAAACATCTTTCTCCACGTACTTAGCTGGTTTCTTTCCAAATGAAGACTGTCTGGTCCATCAGGATAGATAGTTATCAGATAACTTAATTTATAGTTCCTGTAGAATGAATAGAACTAAATTTTGAGTAAATATTGCCTAGTATTTTAACTTTTAAGGAATGTTTCGTCATTGTATACCTTGATCTTTTTCAGAAGCGAATTCAGATGCTGATGTCAGGAATGTCTGCTATGGGAGTACAAGAGGTATGTCTGGTTGTTAGCAAATTTTATCTGATTATGGAAGATTTTAATAAAATGGTACATAGACATCTTTATGTTATGAAAAATATCTGAGTTGGATGTGCTTTCTCCTTCTGCACACAACATCTTTGTTTTTTACAAACAAATGCCATTGTGGAAATGGTACACTTGCACATATATATTTTAACAGAAATATTCATATATCTCTTACATTACATGGTGTTTGTGCACTATTCAAAATTTCAAATAAAAACATGAATACTGTGACATCATTGAATTTCATTAAGGTTTTATCTAAGTTGTTGAAATTTTGTTAAGCCTTACACCTTGACTTAAGTGGAATTTATCATGTATATCAATCAGTAAGTACAAGTGCCTACAAAATAGAGCCTTTTTTGTAACAACAAAAATATTTTACAGTTTTTTTTTTTTTTTTGCCATATATGGTATGAAGTTTTCGTGAAAGACTTAGTAGAGAATTTAGGAAAACATTTCTTCTTAAAGAATGTTTGGGTCTGTACCATATTTCACTGATGATAATATGTCCTGTTCTAACTGTTACACTCTGGAAATCTGATACATTTTCTGCTGTTATAACAAAAAATTTCAACATCAGGTTATTTATTCTAGACCAGACTTTATTTTCATTGCATCTAATGTTATAACAAAGAATTTCAACATCAGGTTATTGATGCTTGTAAAGTTACATGGACAGCAGTTAATATATAAAAATCTAAGTTAGTAACATTGCATTCAGTTCAAAATGGCACAAATTTAAGTTAATAACATTGAATTCAGTTTAAACTGGCACAACGTTAAGTTAATAGCATTGAATTTAGTTCAAACTGGCACAACTTTAAGTTAATATCATTGAATTTAGTTTAAACTTGCACAACTTTAAGTTAATAACATTTAATTTTGTTCAAACTGGCACTTAAAGTTAATAATGTTGAATTTAGCTAAAACTGGTACATTAGTTAATGTGAAACTTTAGCACAAAAAACTCTCAACTAAATTGTATGTATATGAGCAGATGTATAGAATATGACTGTATTATTACACTGTATTTGTATATTCAGTATTTAGGCTGGCATTTTTGTACAGAAAATATGTCATTAAGAAGCTGTCATATTGACTGTGGGGAACTTGAGCATTATGCATCTAATATTACCAACAAAAGAAATATTTGTTTTGAAGACGAATAAAAAGTAGATGTCACTTTGTATGATTTATGAAGACACTGACATATTGTATCACAGTCACTTAAACATAAATATACATATACATGTATACTACAAACTAAAGGACTGAAGTCGAGCTTCTGATTCTTAACTGCATGCTGTGACTGAAATTTGATGTGTGTTGGTGTTTTGTAGAAGGTTGTTGTTTATAATCATTAGATAAAGATGAATGGATTTAAATATTTCACATTTTGTTTTCTGAAAGCATGTTGAATGAACATAGTGGTTTTTTGTTTTTAATTACTGTGAATGTGTGATCATAAGGTTGTTCTATTAAGAGTAAAAATTTAGATACAAGAGCAATCGTATACTACATTATAAAATCAGTACTAGTTGGAGAAAGGTACCAAGCTTAGGATTATTGAAAAAAAGTGCACATACAGGATCAGATGTATTAAAAGGAAAGTGTGCAGATGTGTTTGAACTTCAGAATTCATGTCAAACCTCATGACAGTTCCTTGAAGTCTGAATATAGAGAGGTTGATTTGCAAATAACATAAAAATTGACTTTTATAAATGGTTAACAAAATACACATATAATTACCTGCTGAAGAGTATTCAAGTTCACAAGTATCAAATTTATTAAAACCTTTAAACAAATTCTGCTCATGAACAAATAGACATAGAAGCATGATATTTGGCTGGTATATATATATCAGATGAGTGCTGCAGGCCCATTGGACCTCTTGTTATAATATTTCTTTGTTTGCTGGATCTATCATCTCATCAACAATATTTTTAAGACAGTGACCTTGTACCAGGTGGCTACCACAATGAACAGCATTCAATAGGCCTGTTTTATATTGCTATTCAGAGCTATTTGGGTAAAAAATCTTGCATGAGGACAAAAAATTGACAGTATAGGATAGTCCATTTCTAAGCTTCATGAGGAACACCAACCACCCTGATTAGACATATACAATAAAACAGTATCAAATCTACGGAAATCAGAATTTTTTTTTTTCATTTTCACAAAAAAATAAGAAAATTGACCTCAAGTTCATGCTCTACTCATGGATATATCAGTGGTTCCTGAGATAGAAATAGTTGTGATCCCAACTCTGTGGACATTTATCAGATATATAATTACAGAAAATATGGATAAATACACACATTTACTAACAGGGCTGAAGAGATAAAAACACGTGTGTACTACCAGGACTGAAGAGATAAAAACACATGTGTACTACCAGGATTGAAGAGATAAAAACACATGTGTACTACTAAGACTGAAGAGATAAAAACACATGTGTGCTACCAAGATTGAAGAGATAAAAACACATGTGTGCTACCAGGATTGAAGATATTAATACACACGTTTTATCAGGATTGAAGATATAAATACACACATGTACTACCAGAATTGAAGATATAAATACACACATGTACTACCAGGATTGGTCCTTTGGAATAATCCACAGACCTCAGTATCAAACCATATCCTCTCTATAACTTATGCACTATAAACATACTTAATTTGATGCAATCAAATTCTAGTGTGTTATAACATTTTAGCAGATTAGGGTAATGATGAATTTATGCATCCACGTAACAACATACAGAAACTACAAGTAGTTGGCACAGCACGTCCAGTGCAAATAGGGAATACAATAGCTACATTTACTACATTGGTTTATTATGACTGTATATATAAATTTAGGTGAGTAGTCCTTCCTGGACTATTCTGAGGGGAAACAGGGTTACACATCACATTGTACATGTACATCTGAACTGACATGAGGTGCCAAACTGCCTGTGCTTTCACATGAACCAAACCCAGTTTTCCACACATTTGCTACATCAACCAAATCCATATCATTCCTGTAGTATCTTGCTTCATTAGTGAAACCTGTTCTGAGGAGATGGCCATCCTGTGGCACATGTGATTTTGTACGATAATAATGGATGATGGCATGTTGCTGAACCACGCTTGGGCTGTACTCACTCACTCGTGTCACAAATGTTGTCAACGGCGTCAGACATGTTCCATTTTCTTCCATTTTACAATTGAACTTGATATCCCCAAATATCAAGTTTGGAATTTCCCTTTCTTGAAATTCAAATTTGAAAATCATACTCATCTTGGATCCTGGAATAAAATTAGCGCAATTTGTTTCCAAAGTTACAGATTTTCTAACGTGGTCAACAGTATAACATTCTTTGACTTTTAGAGTTCTATTGGCATTTGTCTGCCATATAACCATCTTTGATTTAGTCGCCTCATCAAAATCAATCTTGAAAATCTCCTCTTTCTTCTCACGAACATCATATATGGTGATAAGTCGAATCCATCCAAGGCTATGCTGGTGTGGTATCAGACCATCTTCAAAGTTAATCAGTGGATGATGTAGGTACATGCTGACATTTTGGAAATATCTTTCATCATCAAATTTCCCTTCAAATATTGATTTTGGTACAGTAAATTGAATACCACCATCTTCTTTTCTCTCAAATTGTGTGAAGAAGAAAAGTGTGAGAGAACAGCAGAATACCAGAAGCAGTCCCAGGATGATTAAGATTCGGTATATAACATTCACACGGTTATTCCCCGTAGACTTCCTTATTTCTGTTAGACTCTCATTGTTACAGCACAAAACAAGGCAAAATGAAATTCGAATTATCACACCGATGATGATGACCGTGGCCTTGACCAATTGGAAATAGCTAAAGGCCTCTTCACGACAGACCATGATTCGTAAACTGACCACTAACTGTGGGATATCTTCTGCCCAGATACAGATAGCAGAGACAAGGTCAGGGTTGATCCAAGAATTTCGATTAAAAACTTCCTTTGCCAGATTCACAACCTCAAAGGTGAAAGTCAATGTACCAATCACAGAAAAGGTGAAAAGGGCATAGGTCAGTGACTGCGCGGGTGGGCCATATACTAGACCCTCTTTTATCGAGTATACATCACGAAACAGCAGCCAATCAGCGAACAGATCTGCCACATCCAACATAAAGACAAAAATAAGAAGAATTGTTCGGAAACACTTGTTATTTTGAACGGTGTCTGTACCATGAGCTGCTTCATTCTCATCCTTGTCAATCAAAATCATTTTCTCCAGCTTGGATTTTCTCCTGCCACTCATGTTTCACTCCTAAATTACAGAATTTCAATTTCAGTTGAATTTTTTCTGACTGCTTTATGTTATGATTTCATAACTTCCAAGCAAATCCGACTGAACTGAATCTTCATATATAGTTCAACAATTTGAATGGTTTGAACTCCTGAACTTAAGATTTGTTTTTTTGCAGTACGAATCTAAATTTAAGATTTGTGTAGTACAGCTTCCTGAAACAGTTTGAAAGATTATTAAATGGCCATTTTTGCTAGTCTGGTTTTAGATTTAAAACTGTTTACAATAGAAGACTGTTTATCATATCCACAGTGATGCTGTGCATGTTCTGTAAGCAAGGTTGCGACAGATTGTCTCACGTTATGTCAGGTCTGTTTATACCTGTGTGAATTGTGATAATAGCAGTCATAGCATTCATCTGGTGGTTTTAAAATTTGACAGATGGTGGTAAGCTGGCTTTTGTATTTATACTGTATCTCAGGTAATTTTTATTACATGTGATTACACATTGATTGTAGCAGAGTATTATATTCGAAAATGGAAATCACTTATGAAAGAATTTTTTTTTTTTTAAACATGGAATAAATGTTCTTAACTCTAAATTAAAAGTAATGAGATAATAAAAACAATGTCAAATTGAAGCTGAGCATTTAAAATGCAATACTTATTATTTTATTGCAGAATTTGCTCAGAATTTCAGCTACAAGTTTAATATTTTTTTTATTATGCTTTTAAATCTGATCCCAATGCATAGATGTCTTGGTCTAACTATTGACATACACATGATACAAGTCATCGCTCAGATGTACAAAGGAGGTTGTGATTTGCCTTGATCTTATTTCACATAAAATATCATATTTAAAGCGTTTGTGGATTAGTGTGTGATGTACACTTTCACTACATATGGGTTGTTGTGGATTGTATCAACAGTCCGCAATTAATTCAAACTTGATGAAATAAATTGAGTAGTCTGTAGCGACCACCATGGCCTTACTGCTATCAACAGTATGATATTCTTAAGGTATCTTAAATTGTTCTTTTTTAACATCGTTTTCTCCGGAAAAATGTTTTCCATACAATCTATACTTTACTTATATACTAGTAGATTGTCAAATTAAATACATAAGATTCTAATTCACTTAATGTTATTGTTAGGGAGTGTTGGCTGGAAGTGGTTGATATGAAGGGGATGTGTAAACTAGTTCTGATGCACCAGACATCTGTTGCTGTGCATAACATGAACAGTGTAGTTGTATTTCTTTAGTCTCTCTCCAGTGATCTGGTTTTTTTTTATTAGTTAACATTAGCTTATTATTGAGTTTGCTTTCTAAAAGCATGCATCGTTGTGTGATTTGTAACATTTCTGGTTGATGTCTTATTTCAGAGATAAAATAAAATCATTTCATTGCAATACCTATGTAGTAATAGATCTGTCATCTAAATCATCCATTTATCTCAAAGGTCATCTTCATCACTTGGATGTTTGAATGGAATGCTTTTGTTGTATTAAGGGCAAATTAACTGCGAGTGCGGTTGGTTCCATCGTTGGCATGCAGTCAGCAGAAATTCAGCAGATCGCGTCAGAGTATGCAGAAAAAGTAAGTTATGGGGGAAATAAAAAGAAACTATTTGATACAAAATTTTGATAGAAGACAACTTCAAGTTCAGCAGTTATAACAGGGTCTGTTTCAGAAATTTATGTTAAAAATACGGAAAAAATCATTTGACAGGATAAAGAAATAAAAAATAGAAACACGTTTTTATGTTTTATAGATTACCTATGTACATAACATTTAGTGTGTGATTCAGTTCACAACTTAATATTTTGTAAAATCCATTTTTCAATTTAGTGAATATACGTATATTACTCACAAATTCTTATACACTTGTTGTATCATTAGTATGAAAATAGCCCTTTTAGTCAAAGACCCTCATCCAGTTTAAGTTATCAAGGAACTGCTGTCACAGGAAACTAAATCTTTCTCTTGAAGGAAATGAATTGCTTTTATTGATTAGCAGAAAAGCTTTTAGAAGAGATTTTGTTGTATGAATAACAAGTATAAATTTTACCAACGTTGAGTTTATATGTATTGAATTTAAAGCATGGAACATTTGCTGGGTCATTCACATTTGCTTAATTTTATATTGGAATGTGTTGATTTATTTTCTTATTGTAGTTTATTTTTGTGCATGACTTGATTAATTGTCTTGTCCCCAGGAAAACAATGATTCAAAGGGAACAGGACAATCAGAATTTGTGTATTTCATCTTGTTACATACATGCATGGCATTGATTACCATACATGTATGGAGTTAAAGTGTTTGTTCTATATGTTAATGTGTTTATCTTACTGAGAGATACTTTGTTAACAGGAAATTTTCATCCTTTGCTTTGTACCTACCAGTATTGTACAGAATTCCTTACTGAAGGAGAAGCATTTTAACTTCTTGGTCAAATTGAACTATCTACTGTATGAAGTTGTATAATCAAAACATTTAATTGTATGAACGGTGTTCAATCAAATCTATCTATAAAGGCTTAACTCAAGTACACACAGGAAAGTGACCCTTATAGACAGGTGGCCTTTTTAAAATATGTTCATTTGTTATGAATTGTTTTACATTGGAAACCCAAACAAACAGTGGCCTTGTAATATACAGGTATTCTTTATAGACAGGTGGCCATTTGATATAGATGTGACTTTTATAGACAGGCGATGATTTGATATAAATGTGGTCTTTATAGACAGGTGGTAATTTAGACATAGATGTGACCTTTATAGACAGGTGGCCATTTAGACATAGATATGACCTTTATAGACAGGTGGCTATTTGATATTGATGTGACCTTTATAGACAAATGACCATTTGATATAGATATGGCCTTCATATACAGGTGGCCATTTGATATAGAGCTGGCCTAATATGAAGATGGTCTTTATGCTTCATTTTCAACTTCTACTTTAAGCTTTAATAAATTGAACCAAAGTAGTATGTCTTCAAAATGAACAATTTGAGAATTAAACAATTATTTAACATTAAAAGGCAGTAGCCATGAAATTGACCAATAAATCATTATACATTGTATAACTGATCAACTCATGATTGGAAGAACTTGGGTTCTACATGCTGCAAAACATGTCACTGGGTTTAAAACAAACACTACAATGTTTCAGCAAGCAGAGATAGAACAGATTGAGAAAACTGAAAGAGTGGGCGGGGCACAGCAACACAAACGGGTCACAGGTGCACTGACTAAACAGATACAGCAGCAGAAATCACGTATGGAGGAGGTGAGAAATGTGTATCAGATTATATTGTGACATTTAGGTTATAAATTGTGTACACTTGAAATAAATCTTGCACATTGAGGTGTTGATTGTCTTAATAAATTTTTCTTAACGCTTTGCATTTAAAACTTTTTAATGGTGTATTACTAAAATGACTTTGGAGACAAGTTCAGAAATTTTTAATATAGTAATGAAGTTAATGTTGAAAAATTCAAAAGAAGGAGAATACTCTTTCATTTCAAATTTTTGCGCAGATTTAATATGAATATAACCATAATCACTTGACATATACTTATATAATATAAAAAAGAATTTAATTCTGTGCAAAAAGCATCTGTTGGTAAAGTCCTGAAAACTGAGTCTAAACTTTTTGTATGGACATATGAAAAGGCTATAAACTGAATTCTACTATTGTGGTTCACAGTTGGTGAAGTTTCTGTTCTTTATGTGAACATTTTAGGTGATGGCTAAACATGCTGAGCTGCACAAGGTATACCTGGAAACACAGGAAAAGCTCAAACAGGTAAATATTGGATTATTTGTCTGGATTGAGGTAAATCTGTTTGTGATCTATAAGTTGTATGTATCAGAGAAAGGACAAATTTTTACTGGTTCTACTTTGGGCTGGTGAATATGAACTGGGCTATTCTTAGAGCTATTTTACTCCTGGATGACATGTTCATATCAACAAATATATGACAAATGTCTTGTAGACTTTATAAAAAAAAATCAATAAATCAATAAAAATCCTTTTTGTGATACTGATTAATTGTAGAAGATTTCCATTGACAAAGATCTGATTTGGTGGGAGGGCAGGGTGTTCAAACTTAAGTGTGTTAATCTCATTCATAATCCCTTGTTGAATCTTAATACCACATAGCATACAAAATAGCTGCATTTCTTAGCATATCTGTATTGTTACCAGGCCCAATCTCGCAGTGAGAAGATTGATACAGAAATGGAGAAACTCAACGAAACAGAAACAGATGAAAATCAAAGGTTTGTAATCAGTCTTTGCCTGTGTAATGCCCTAGAAACTTGTGTTCTGCTACAAACTGCTTCCAACAAAACACCATGATATATCTGTTGGTCTTTGATAAAATATTATTCTGTACTAACCTCACACTAAATCCAATTTATGAATCAGGCCAATTTATTTGAATGAATTTCTTTCTCTTCTATCTGACAAAACATAATTTGGCCATAAATTTAGGTTACCTCCCTTCTTACTACTACCAGTTATGATTTTCAAAATGTTGATTCTGCATCAAATTTACAGAAACATAAAAGCATTCAAGCATATCTCAAGGAATAAGTTACAGCTATCTTATCACTTCAGATTCACACTATGAGATCATATTTATTACTGTACTGTTTTTATCTTAAAATGTGATACCAATCAGTAACACAAACAATAGAAGTTCTTATTCTCCATCACCTATAATGTCTTTAAGAAGATCTCCGGTAATACTCTCCCATGTTAAGACAATTATGAAATATCAGAAGTGATATATGAGGAGCATTATTCAGAGTCTTTCCTCTGTGTTCTCAGTATTTTACAAAAGCTGAGGTCACTTGTAGCTTTAAATGAGAACCTGAAGAAACAGGAGCAGGATTTCAAGGCCCATTGTAAAGAGGAGATGACTCGTTTGAAAGGGCAGATTGAAGAGTTGAGAGAACAGACCTCGGAGGATGATAGCGGGGATAAGGTAACTAGTGAAAGAGTGCTGACATTGATATCTGACTTGAACATTGTCATGATTTATTTGAGGAGTACTGGATGAATTGTTCTCATATTTCATATATACACTCTCCATAGTGTTTAGTTTTGCATGATTAGTTTTGGAAACAATCAAAGTAACAGATTGGCCAACAGGTAGTCATATTAAATTTTGAAAATTGAAATTTTTTATGATGGATTTTTTTTGTTTTTTTGAAGTACTTGATGTTTATTAAATTTCATATATGAAGACTCATTTCAATCAGTCTCTAATTGGGAACTTTAAAGACAGCCATCTTGACATTTTGACATTTGCATACAATTATTGCTATATCTGTGTAGAAGTCTTGGATGGATCATTGATAGATTTGATAGGTCCTTAGTTGTCCATGTTTGATTTGTGGAAGGATGGGGCAGAGGAGAAAAACAGGCAAATGACCCAAGTGATAAAATGCCATGAATAAAATTTACACAATGGTGGATGCCATGATCCCTAAGAGATTCCTTGTTAATATGGAATTTACAGTTTCTATGGGGAATTTGTGACTATCACCTAGCCTTTTCTATACATTTGGATTTGATGATGTTTTATCTTTACAGGAGAAAGCCTTAACCTCTTATATTCAGTTAGATTTGATGATTTATCTTTACAGGAGAGAGCCAGCCTGATAGACAAGCCTTAACCTTTTGTATTCAGTTAGATTTGATGATTTATCTTTACAGGAGAGAGCCAGCCTGATAGACAAGCCTTAACCTTTTGTATTCAGTTAGATTTGATGATTTATCTTTACAGGAGAGAGCCAGCCTGATAGACAAGCCTTAACCTTTTGTATTCAGTTAGATTTGATGATTTATCTTTACAGGAGAGAGCCAGCCTGATAGACAAGCCTTAACCTTTTGTATTCAGTTAGATTTGATGATTTATCTTTACAGGAGAGAGCCAGCCTGATAGACAAGCCTTAACCTTTTGTATTCAGTTAGATTTGATGATTTATCTTTACAGGAGAGAGCCAGCCTGATAGACAAGCCTTAACCTTTTGTATTCAGTTAGATTTGATGATTTATCTTTACAGGAGAGAGCCAGCCTGATAGACAAGCCTTAACCTTTTGTATTCAGTTAGATTTGATGATTTATCTTTACAGGAGAGAGCCAGCCTGATAGACAAGCCTTAACCTTTTGTATTCAGTTAGATTTGATGATTTATCTTTACAGGAGAGAGCCAGCCTGATAGACAAGCCTTAACCTTTTGTATTCAGTTAGATTTGATGATTTATCTTTACAGGAGAGAGCCAGCCTGATAGACAAGCCTTAACCTTTTGTATTCAGTTAGATTTGATGATTTATCTTTACAGGAGAGAGCCAGCCTGATAGACAAGCCTTAACCTTTTGTATTCAGTTAGATTTGATGATTTATCTTTACAGGAGAGAGCCAGCCTGATAGACAAGCCTTAACCTTTTGTATTCAGTTAGATTTGATGATTTATCTTTACAGGAGAGAGCCAGCCTGATAGACAAGCCTTAACCTTTTGTATTCAGTTAGATTTGATGATTTATCTTTACAGGAGAGACCCAGCCTGATAGACAAGCCTTAACCTTTTGTATTCAGTTAGATTTGATGATTTATCTTTACAGGAGAGAGCCAGCCTGATAGACAAGCCTTAACCTTTTGTATTCTGTTAGATTTGATGATTTATCTTTACAGGAGAGAGCCAGCCTGATATACAAGCCTTAACCTTTTGTATTCAGTTAGATTTGATGATTTATCTTTACAGGAGAGACCCAGCCTGATAGACAAGCCTTAACCTTTTGTATTCAGATAGATTTGATGATTTATCTTTACAGGAGAGAGCCAGCCTGATAGACAAGCCTTAACCTTTTGTATTCAGATAGATTTGATGATTTATCTTTACAGGAGAGAGCCAGCCTGATAGACAAGCCTTAACCTTTTGTATTCAGTTAGATTTGATGATTTATCTTTACAGGAGAGACCCAGCCTGATAGACAAGCCTTAACCTTTTGTATTCAGATAGATTTGATGATTTATCTTTACAGGAGAGAGCCAGCCTGATAGACAAGCCTTAACCTTTTGTATTCAGATAGATTTGATGATTTATCTTTACAGGAGAGACCCAGCCTGATAGACAAGCCTTAACCTTTTGTATTCAGATAGATTTGATGATTTATCTTTACAGGAGAGAGCCAGCCTGATAGACAAGCCTTAACCTTTTGTATTCAGATAGATTTGATGATTTATCTTTACAGGAGAGAGCCAGCCTGATAGACAAGCCTTAACCTTTTGTATTCAGTTAGATTTGATGATTTATCTTTACAGGAGAGAGCCAGCCTGATAGACAAGCCTTAACCTTTTGTATTCTGTTAGATTTGATGATTTATCTTTACAGGAGAGAGCCAGCCTGATAGACAAGCCTTAACCTTTTGTATTCTGTTAGATTTGATGATTTATCTTTACAGGAGAGAGCCAGCCTGATAGACAAGCCTTAACCTTTTGTATTCAGTTAGATTTGATGATTTATCTTTACAGGAGAGAGCCAGCCTGATAGACAAGCCTTAACCTTTTGTATTCAGATAGATTTGATGATTTATCTTTACAGGAGAGAGCCAGCCTGATATACAAGCCTTAACCTTTTGTATTCAGTTAGATTTGATGATTTATCTTTACAGGAGAGACCCAGCCTGATAGACAAGCCTTAACCTTTTGTATTCAGTTAGATTTGATGATTTATCTTTACAGGAGAGAGCCAGCCTGATAGACAAGCCTTAACCTTTTGTATTCAGTTAGATTTGATGATTTATCTTTACAGGAGAGACCCAGCCTGATAGACAAGCCTTAACCTTTTGTATTCAGTTAGATTTGATGATTTATCTTTACAGGAGAGACCCAGCCTGATAGACAAGCCTTAACCTTTTGTATTCAGTTAGATTTGATGATTTATCTTTACAGGAGAGAGCCAGCCTGATAGACAAGCCTTAACCTTTTGTATTCAGTTAGATTTGATGATTTATCTTTACAGGAGAGAGCCAGCCTGATAGACAAGCCTTAACCTTTTGTATTCTGTTAGATTTGATGATTTATCTTTACAGGAGAGAGCCAGCCTGATATACAAGCCTTAACCTTTTGTATTCAGATAGATTTGATGATTTATCTTTACAGGAGAGACCCAGCCTGATAGACAAGCCTTAACCTTTTGTATTCAGATAGATTTGATGATTTATCTTTACAGGAGAGAGCCAGCCTGATATACAAGCCTTAACCTTTTGTATTCAGTTAGATTTGATGATTTATCTTTACAGGAGAGACCCAGCCTGATAGACAAGCCTTAACCTTTTGTATTCAGTTAGATTTGATGATATATCTTTACAGGAGAGAGCCAGCCTGATAGACAAGCCTTAACCTTTTGTATTCAGTTAGATTTGATGATTTATCTTTACAGGAGAGAGCCAGCCTGATAGACAAGCCTTAACCTTTTGTATTCTGTTAGATTTGATGATTTATCTTTACAGGAGAGAGCCAGCCTGATAGACAAGCCTTAACCTTTTGTATTCAGATAGATTTGATGATTTATCTTTACAGGAGAGAGCCAGCCTGATAGACAAACAGTACACAGCAGACAAAGAGAAACTTCACAAGATTCGACTTCTACTTGTATGTATTAAAGATACTGTATGATTTTACCTTCATATACTGCATCATTGGGTGGAAAACATTCAGTGATACATGATGCTGTATGATGACATAATATTGGTGTGATGGCATAATGCATTTATAGCATAATAAACAGTATCACTTCCCAGGTTCCATCACTTTCTTACTTTAACATCCCAACTTCAGTAAGAGGGGAGTACATTGTAAATAGTAATTGCTGATCTGAGCATCAATACAGGAGTGCATGCTTGGGTGAGTGTGTTTACGATAGCCTTGTGTACAAAATATCTCATGAACATCACAAGAGATTTGGTTCATATCAACACTACTGTATTATACCACTAAGGACTACACCCACTTAGACTGTGTTGGTCATTGATCAAGGTTAAAGGTCAAAAGTCATCCTTGACCAGTTTTGAAATTGAAAGCTTGCGTACAAGATATCTCATGAACCCTTGACAAATTTAGTTCAGATTCACAACATAGCATCTTAACACAAAGGTCTACACCTGGTCAGATTTTGGAGGTCATTGGTCAAGTAAGATTGAAGGTCAAAGGTCACCATCAACTACTTTGCAAAGTAGGGGTATATCTATGGCAGCTCCTGCTGACTTAAATTTGATTTCCGATGTGTCAATTTCGTTTGACACTAATGCTTGCAAGTCGTACTTTCAGGCAAGGAAGACCCGAGAGATTGCTGTGCTTCAGAGGAAGATTGATGAGGTGCCCTCTCGGGCAGAAATGAGTCAGTACCAGAGACGATTTGTCGAGCTTTATCATCAAAGTATGTCAGACTTCTTAATGTTACATTTCAGTATCTTAAAATATTCATATCATGCAAATATGTTAAATTTCAGCCCACTGTCGTTGGATGGTTGGCTGTCAGATCACCTTTCTTCTTTAGTTTGTCTGTCTTTTGTGTGTCCCTTGTATTGTGTGTCTGTCTTTAGTCCTGAAATAATTCTTGGTATGGCAATTTTCTGAACAGTTATTGATAAATCCTCAAATTGTATTAATTTGGTCTGTTTTAAATGTTCAGGCAGATCAGAAAAAGAACAAACAGTCATCACAGATGCTGAATATGAAAGTTTGGTATCACTATAGCTTTAAAATTTGTTTCTGGATCTTTCACAATTTTCGTATGAAGGTCCCCTTGGTCCCTTGTATTGCATTGCCAATTTTTAGTCTCTGAAAAAAAAGCTGGCCAATGGGCAGCCTCCTTGGAAATTGAAATCCTTTTCATGTCCAGTTATAAGAGATAACAATTATAGTTTCCTGCAATTTTTTATTTTTTTTTACAATTCTGTTAAAATTTCTACTATAGAAAGTTATAATTGAAGTCCCATGATATAATTTGTATACCCACTGTTTCAGTTTCCTCTACCCACAAGGAGACAAAACAGTTTTACACTCTGTACAATACACTGGATGATACAAAACTTTACCTCAATAAGGAGGTAAGTATATTCTTAGTTATTGATAATTCATTAGTCAATTAATGCTCCCTGCAGTCATGTTACACATGAGATATAACTAAAAACAGGAGTAATTATTACTCTAATGATATGGTGATTATGTGAAAAATCTATTTAACATGTTTCCTTACAGCTTCATCATATCTTGAATTAATGATTTTGCTCTCTGATTTTGTTTACTCCATTTTCAGGTGAATTTACTGAATTCAATTCATGATAGTTTTGCACAGTAAGTATAGTATGTTATTGTTTACTACACAGCCATGTATTTTGTAGCACAAATCTGTATTTTCTTTGTACATTAAACTTCCCCTTACCAGATCCCTTGATGTTATCCGGTAGGTTTGGTGTTACTGATATGCCAACAGAATGTTAATTCAAGCTCAAATGAACAAAAAAAGTATCATTGTACAGAAATGCCTTTCACTTTTTTCTTATTATAAACATGTACTAAATTTTCACATATGTACACTCTGTTTTAGTTAAATTGAATTAAAAGAAATTGTGAAAGAACATTTCAAAGCATGAAATGTGTTAATAATATATATATGTGTTGGTATTTCACAGCATGTCTAGCTTTGTTATGAATTTACATTTCGTTATTAATATTGAAATGGCAAATTTAAATTGAGAAAAATTAATGTAGTTTTTAGTTTTTGCTTTTCAATGGCAAATATGTGAGAGGTTTAGAGAAAAAGGTTTTCAAGTTTTCTTACAAAATTGTGAAATTGGTGCATGGTAAACCATGCTTTTTGTAATGAAGGTTAAAGACACTTTGCATCAATATTGGTCAGGATGTTCTACTTGTTCAAGTATGTTTCATTTCTAACAGAGTGTGCTTATCATATGTCAGGTCTGAGAGTGAGGAATTTAGTTGTCGCTGTTACATAAACCTACAGTTAAGATCAGCAGACAATACTTTTACCGGTTTAGTAAGTCAATGACAATTCAGTGATTGGCCTGTTTTCAAAACAGAAAATATTCAGGTTTCATTTACAGTTAACTACATGTGAATTGTGTCACACATTACACAATATGTAAGTTTGTTTAGAGAGTGATATTCCTGTCTTCTTTAGGGCTATGTCCTCTCCAGGGGCAAAGGAACAATTTCTGAAACAATTTGAGCAGATTGTTGATGGTGTTAAAGCAAACAAAGCAAAGGTGAGTTCAAGCCGTAAATGTTGAAAGTGAACATAAATTTTAAAAGGATCAGTACATACAAATATGACCTCACAAATTAACATATCCTTTAATGCCATTCATCAGACATAAGGACAACAATGAAAAGTTTTTGTATAGTGTATGGTAATGTATATTTAGTCCTTGTATCTTATTTATCATTTACATAAAGCAAAATCATTGTCAGGTAATGAAATCCCCATGAATGTTACTCTAACTCTATGACCTGCTTTTCATGTATCGCGGTAAAAGTTTGCAATAGGTTTTCTCATCAACATTTTTTAGATCAAAATTGTGAAGGATTTTCTCATCAACGTTTTATATATCAAAATTGTTAAGGATTTTCTCATCAACTTTTCATATATCAAAATTGTTAAGGATTTTCTCATCAACGTTTTATATATCAAAATTTTTAAGGATTTTCTCATCAACTTTTCATATATCAAAATTGTTAAGGATTTTCTCATCAACGTTTTATATATCAAAATTTTTAAGGATTTTCTCATCAACTTTTCATATATCAAAATTGTTAAGGATTTTCTCATCAACGATTTATATATCAAAATTTTTAAGGATTTTCTCATCAACTTTTAATAGATCAACATTGTAAAGGATTTTCATATCAACAGTTTATTGATCAACATTGGAAAGGATTTTCTCATCAACTTTTTATCAATCAACATTGATTCTACATAAATCTTTACAGAAAGCACAACATCTTGGCGACAGGCCTTAGGAATGGTTCTTTTTCGTTAATGTGTTACTGGATAATTAATTTCAATTGTGTTATTTTCCGTGTTATTTCAGGTAGAAAAACGTAAACAGGAAGAGAAAATGAAAAGAGACCGACTGAATGATTCCTACCTTGACTTGATAGAGAAACAGCGTTTATACTTCCAAACTGTCAAAGACTTTAAAGAGGTACCTAATGTTATCTATAGAACAGAAAACGAAATACTTTCGTGTTGTCCCTGAATGTAGTCTACTATGTTCGATATTTGATATCAGTCACAAGTCCACAGAGGTCTAACAATTTTTTATTTAGTTGCAACAATTGTCATTGCTTTGGTCAACACTAGCAAGCATAGGCTAGAAGAAAGCTATTTGCTTACACTTTGCCTGTAAAATATGTGAATTTATCAATTTAATAAAAAAAAAACTTAATCAGAGATGATATAACTTTTCCAGTAATGATAAAAGTTTGGTGGTGTTGACAAAATGTGTTTGCTAGTCAGTGATGATATAACTTTTCTAGTAATGATAAAAGTTTGGTGGTGTTGACAAAAGGTGTTTGCTAGTCAGTGATGATATAACTTTTCTAGTAATGATAAAAGTTTGGTGGTGTTGACAAAATGTGTTTGCTAGTCAGTGATGATATAACTTTTCTAGTAATGATAAAAGTTTGGTGGTGTTGACAAAATGTGTTTGCTAGTCAGTGATGATATAACTTTTCCTGTAATGATAAAAGTTTGGTGGTGTTGACAAAATGTGTTTGCTAGTCAGTGATGATATAACTTTTCCTGTAATGATAAAAGTTTGGTGGTGTTGACAAAAGGTGTTTGCTAGTCAGTGATGATATAACTTTTCCTGTAATGATAAAAGTTTGGTGGTGTTGACAAAATGTGTTTGCTAGTCAGTGATGATATAACTTTTCCTGTAATGATAAAAGTTTGGTGGTGTTGACAAAATGTGTTTGCTAGTCAGTGATGATATAACTTTTCCTGTAATGATAAAAGTTTGGTGGTGTTGACAAAAGGTGTTTGCTAGTCAGTGATGATATAATTTTCTAGTAATGATAAAAGTTTGGTGGTGTTGACAAAAGGTGTTTGCTAGTCAGTGATGATATAATTTTCTAGTAATGATAAAAGTTTGGTGGTGTTGACAAAAGGTGTTTGCTAGTCACCGGATTCAAATTTGTCAATTTTCGTATTTGGAAGCAAATGAAGCAAAGGTTGAATAAGTTGGTTTTCCAGCAAATTATTCCCATGTACACCTCTGGTTTGCTCTAAGTTGATATATAGGAATAGTATTATAGGTTATCAAACCAGATAACCACACACAGGCTTGTTGTCAGACATAATGTCCTACTATCTGACGTCAAAGATCGTGCCATTATTTCTGGAACTTTTTTTTAAAAACGGCCTTTTTATGTTTCGATTGACTTTCTATTTGTTTTTCCAATGAAAATGTTATAAAGATAAATTGAATGTTTTCTTCTTTAATGTATATCTTTCACTTATATTACAGAAATATATCTATATATTTCTCTCGTACTTCGCACCCGTGGAAAATATACATGTGGATACATTTTCATACTCATTAAACAAGAAACCATTAAATGTCCTCTAAAAATCTTGAGACAAAAATTATATTACGTCATTACTAGTAATGATATAATCATTTTTCCAGTGATGGTATAGTGAATACCAATGGTAATGGCGTTTTGTTGTCTCTGCACTGAAATTTGCCCAATTGAAAATCAAAGACATGATATACTTTTCTACATAATTTGCTTATCTTGATATTTTTCTACAACAAAACCAACATGTACAGCTTTCCACCGAGCTGTAGGATGAACATGATTATTTCAGTTTCCCTTTTGTGAATTTTCCATTTTTGGAAAGCAATAACCGTACATCCCGAACCTATAGTGTTAACATGTCACCGGTGAATCAATAATCTTTGTCCAGTGTGGAACTGGACATGTTTGATGCTCGTTAGTTTGCCTGTTGGTTCCATTGTTGTATTCTTTGTTCTCTTTTGGGAACATGACATTAATTCCATGTATTGACAGAGGTTTACATGGTGTTGATGAAGCAGAAGACGATTTTTCTTACGGAACACCTGGTCTAATTGTCCTTGTAAATCTTTCTTTTGTTCATGTTTTGCCTTTTTTGTATTGGATGATCATTATGTTATCATGTTGGTATTTCCTTTTTGTTTTATATACAAAAATGTTATGCTAATATTTTTGTAAAGATATAAAAATTCTTTCTCATACAGGAATGTCGCAGAAACGAAATGTTGTTAGCAAAGCAGAGGAAGTGACACAAAACCCTGTCTGGTTCAGTTGTATAGTGAGGGCTAGCTTGACGTTCGTCAAAATGAAGGAAGTGATACAAGACAGTGCCAGGTTTAGTTGTGCAATGAGGCTAGCTGGACGTTTATTGGAACGAAGGGAGAGACAAAAGACAATGTCTGGTTCAGTTTTGTTATGAAGATAACTGGACGTTTATCAACATATATCTATAGGAACTATTTACAAAATCAAAGAAATAAAACATCATAATTTGATTTTATTGTTTTTTATTTAAGACAAAAAGACACGTGATACAACAAAGTTATATACAAAACACAAATATATATACAATGTTTGTTTGGTATATGAAATGTGTCTGTAGTTATCAGTTCTACTGATAATGATGTAAGCTTTCATATGAAGATGCACATTATAATGCTCTCTGTTGAGTATAACAATCCTTTTTCAGTCAGCTTGAGTAATGGTACCAAGACAAGTGAATATTATCTCTAAATGTAAATTACGGTACAGTAAGATACAGTTTACATGCGCTATACAGCTGTTTAGCCTGACACCTCGTCAGTGTAGACGTGCGCCATACAGCAGTTTAGCCTGACACCTCGTCAGTGTATGCGTGCGCCATACAGCTGTTTAAACAGCCTGACACCTCGTCAGTGTATACGTGCGCCATACAGCAGTTTAGCCAGACACCTCGTCAGTGTATACATGCGTCATACAGTTGTTTAGTCCGACACCTCGTCAGTGTATACGTGCGCCATAACAGCAGTTTAGCCTGACACCTCGTCAGTGTATGCGTGCGCCATACAGCTGTTTAGCCTGACACCTCGTCAGTGTATACGTGCGCCATACAGCAGTTTAGCCTGACACCTCGTCAGTGTATGCGTGCGCCATACAGCTGTTTAGCCTGACACCTCGTCAGTGTATACTTAAAACAAATTAAACTATGATGTATATGTTATGTATGGTGAAATCCATATAAAGCATCATATTAAAAACAATCACATTATGTCTTTTAATGATTCCAATACTACTTGATTAACTTTCGTGAGAATGACGTGTAGAAAAATGTGATTGGAATTTCATCATACCATAATATTGATATTTACAGTGTAATATCTTTTCATCTGCTAAATGAAATTGCAAAGTATATCAATTTAACATTACAACTACTAACAAAATAAAGCAAACGCAGATCAATGAAAACATTGGTTAATGAAACTTTGTATGTAAATGTAAAACTAATTAACACTTATTTTAATTACACAACAATAAAATACACAACAATATTCCAAGCTACAAGTACAAATAGTAAAAACAGATACCTTCAAAATGAAAAACGGCGAAGAAAATTAAGGCTTAATCTATACTCATTGAAGCTACACGCTCTGGGTTTAGTTTAAAATAAATAGCACGAACACATCTGTTAATAGCTCAATGGTTATGTTAACAAATGAATGAATTTTCTTATTTTGTAAGTATAATAAAACAAAGCTGGAAAATCACTCATTGCCCATATCAAACATGGCAAACAAATTAGGAAATTACAAAACTGTTTCACGTAGCAATCTATATTTCAGATATACAGGCTCTAATTCACATAACTTTTTTTCCCTCTCCTTGGTCTCGCGACACAAGATCGACTTTCAATGATTGGTCAGGTATTCATCGCGTTCCTCCAAAAACTAGTTTTCTGTCATTATCGAGCATTCTTTTCCTCTCCGTGGTCTCGCGACACAAGCTCGGATTTCAATGATTGGATCTCGGTGAGGTATTCATCGCGTTCCTCCAAAAACTGTTTTCTGTCATTATCGATTGTTTCTTGAAGGATTCTAATCTCTTCATCCTTGACATATATTTTGCAATCAAAAGCGGAAATACTTGTTTCGATGACGTTTTCCATGCGTTTTCTTTCACTAATCATCATTTCAAAACCTTTTGTAAGATTTTTTACCTCGTCTATCAGTTTTTGTCTTTGTTGGAGAACCATCTCAACTTCAACCTTTGTTCGTTCACTGTCTATCTTCTCTCGTCGAACGTGTTCGTGAATTTCGATAAGACTTTCATTCATTTTCTTGTTGTCGCTAACAATTTTTAAAAAGGCTTCGTCATGTTTTTCTTGTATTTCTGTCTTTTCTTTTTCGGCCTGTTCAAGTCTGTTTTTCAGCACCAGAATTTCCATTTCCAGCTCACTCTTCTGCAATTCATTCGCGTCTTCCGTTTCTTTCGAAGCAATTTTCAACTTACCTGAAATCGCTGGAAAATGATCCTGTTTAGGTGCCACCAAGCTCTTCTGGGGCCTTTCAACTTCGACACAGGAGATGTTTTCTCTGTCAATGCCATTTTTATCTACACTTGATTCATCCTTTCCACGCTCAAGTTTGCATGTTTCTTTCCTTTCGATTTGACTTTGATCACATTGTACACCGACATCTCTGGTCTTTCGAACCTCGGTCCACAGTGACTGCATTACTTGGGGTTCTTGATGGCTTTCTCCTGTTTTCGCCAATACGAAGTCTTGTATATTTTCACACGTTGAATCGTCAGTGTTTGCCATTTTTCGATTGAAGTGTGATGTCGACTTAGTTATGCGGGACCGCGGTACGTCTGGAATTATCAGTTCTGTTTTTGTTTCGTGGAATTCAGACATGTTTTTTTTGTTACGTGTTCTTATCGCGCTTCCTGTGTTGTACCTGATGGGTGTTACGGGTTCATTCAACTCGGAAAACGCTTCATTAATCATCAGAGTACGCCTGTTGACTTCATTTATGCAACAACCGTATGCTGGATGGCTCATTTCAGAATCACCGTAAACCTCCCGATTGAACACGAACAAAATCTTTTTTCTTTCTGAAATGATAAAAGCATAAACATTTTCATACATTCCATCGAGTTGTATCGCCCTGATTTCACTCAATCTAATATCCCCAAATGTCGTATCTCTTTAACGTCAAAGTCAAATATACCAAATGTCACAGTCTGATATTCTCAATGTTGGAGACCCTTTAGTGTAGGAGTTAGGATGAAATATCGTGTATATCGCAATGTTTCAGATTGTGTCCTTATTGCGTCTCTCTACATAACGAGAATCTGTCGAGACATGTTAAACAGGGATATAGTCAAATTATTCTTTAGAGATGTCTTAAATTAATTTGTAAAATGACATTGACAGAACATTATCCGTAATTATTAAAAGACAAATAAGTTATCAAGGAAAACAAAGCCATAAAAATCAATAGCATCTGCTCATCACATATAACAAACTACTTCAGATTCACAGTAGAATTGATTAACTATTGCAGTTGTATTGATTAGCATTTTAAAAAAACACCAATAAGAAAATCAATCATCTATACTTTGATTTATATTGCAACAAAATTGAGTATTAATTTCAAATAAATGTTTTAATGAAAATTGAGCTCTGATGCACCGGGCAGTACATCTACATGTTGACGCTGAGCTGTCAAACTTACCACTACTGAGCACTGCGCAAAGGGACTGGATAATGGATATCAATAGTTGAGAGAATAAATGAGATAGAGGGGACAGACCAATCTTGCTGCGGTAGCGGCCACTGGGGCTACAGCCCAACCGGCACAGTTCCAGTGCCCAGCCACAGCAACTCCGGAGAAAGTAAGGTGTAGGAAGTTCGAGAAAGTAAGGTTTAGGAAGTTTGAGAATGTAAGGTTTAGAATATTCGAGAAAGTAACGTTTAGGAAGTTTGAGAAAGTAAGGTTTAGGAAGTTTGAGAAAGTAAGGTTTAGGAAGTTTGAGAAAGTAAGGTTTAGGGAGGTTGAGAAAGTAAGGTTTAGGAAGTTTGAGAAAGTAGGGTTTAGGAGGTTTGAGAAAGTAAGGTTTAGGAAGTTTGAGAAAGTAAGGTTTAGGAAGTTTGAGAAAGTAAGGTTTAGGGAGGTTGAGAAAGTAAGGTTTAGGAAGTTTGAGAAAGTAGGGTTTAGGAGGTTTGAGAAAGTAAGGTTTAGGGAGGTTGAGAAAGTAAGGTTTAAGAAGTTCGAGAAAGTAAGGTTTAGGAAGTTTGAGAAAGTAGGGTTTAGAAAGTTTGAGAAAGTAAGGTTTAGGAAGTTTGAGAAAGTAGGGTCTAGGAAGTTTGAAAAAGTAAGGTTTAGGAAGTATGAGAAAGTAAGGTTTAGGAAGTTTGAGAAAGTAAGGTAACAAACCTTGAAAGAGTGATTTCGCCGTGTTGATTAAGTAGGTTGACTGATGAAGTGGTCTGCTCTGATGCTATTTGTGAAAGTAAAGTAACATATATATAGGACTTGTGCGAATGAACATATCATTTGCAATTATCATCAAGTAAACGCTTAATTCAAGAGTAGATACTATCAATACTTTCATTTCTGAGAACAATCTAATTTAAGACGAGGAAATCCCCACGGGGTTTAAGGAGTGCTTTCATTTTAATATGCCTTATCGAAAATGAATGAAATATTTCAAAGTTACAATTTTATCCTATTTCAATTACACTAAATGTCTTCATCAAATTTCACGATTTATCAATATTCTTCATATCAGCTACATCTACGCTGACAGTACCATTGGATTGTTATAATATTAAGTCATTAAAGTACAGGCACTGCCAAACACTGTCCTTTCACACTTCTACTATTTCCTATGTGAACATTGTAAAAATTGAATATTTCCGTGAAATGACTATTACAAAATACGGAAATTTTTCCATGACATGTGAGTCTATAAATACACCCAACACACTTTGTGACTCTAAAACATTTTCACACTTTTAACACTGAAATACAACTAAAATGTGAAAGTTAACCAGTCTATCTACCACTGTAAGATGTATGTTGTATGTACCAATACTTGCCTGTTCGACGGGTCTTCTTAATGATGTCCAAAATAATAAATAATGCTATCACCCTTATACAGCTAAATACGTCTGTTGTCGAAGTAGTTCTAATAATAGAACCAGGTAACTCCGGGAAAAACCACGTATGTACACTGTATGTTTGTACTTCCTGTTTGACACTCGTATCAGCTACGAGGTCTGTTGGGCCTAGTTATTCGAGAACAACATAGACGTCGCCGTATCGGTGGGGATTGATACTCATTTATTACGAAATTCATTATATCGACGGAAACTGAAACTGGCTTGAACATTCAATTACCCAAAAGGTACATGTATACCACATCGTCTGCCGTCGCTATGGACGCTTTCATAAACTGTCATACTTAATTGTCACCAGGGAGTTAATTGAAGTTAATTTTAAATAGTATTTCCCTTAAAATAATTAGGTTGTATATGTATATATATATCTCATGATATGGAAAGGTAACACGTAGTTACTTGTCTAAAACTATCAATATATTGCACACAAAAAAAGGATCGATAATTTGAGATCACCGAGACGGATTATTTAAATCATTTCCATTCTGTTATGGCGTATATATAATACCTTTGAATACTACAAACATAAACAAGCCATGTACGGCCCTCCATAGGGTTTACAACAGTTATCGTTTGATACTGAAGGTACCGATTATGTATATTAATAGTATAATTGATAGTCTTGAATCACTCTACAATAACATTACAACTCTATATTCGTATATCTTTAGTAGTCGTGAAGTTCACAATCATTTTGGTGTACTTTAAACGATATTGTATTCAATACGAGACTTTATTCAGTCGCCCCATAAGGTAAATATGCTAATATATAATTTTAATGTAGTAGGATTGCACGTTACGCATGATTAAGGGATTCCTGTCAGTTCTTTTGATGATATAGAATTTCCTCCAATATGTTTACATCAAGTTAAACGATGTTTTTATTATTATTTAGAATCTTATTAATTGTAGTTCATATCTATGTAAATTAAAAAATGAATATAATGTATTATTCAAAATTGTACCATTTATTAAAACGTAAAAAACTCAAGATGCATAATAAATAATTTAATTTTGACTTGAATTTGAAAGTTTGTATTCGAAAATATATATATATATATATCATATATAACAGAAATACATACAATTGGTAGGTAGTACCACACAGAAATACATAAAATACAAACAATCGGTAGTTATGACTAAGTACCACACAGAAATACATACAATTGGTAGTTATGACTAAGTACCACACAGAAATACAAACAATCGGTAGTTATGACTAAGTACCACACAGAAATACATACAATTGGTAGGTATGACTAAGTACCACACAGAAATACATACAATTGGTAGGTATGACTATGTACCACACAGAAATACAAACAATCGGTAGTTATGACAAAATACCACACAGAAATACATACAATTGGTAGGTAAGACTATGTACCACACAGAAATACATACAATTGGTAGGTGTGACTATGTACCACACAGAATACATACAATTGGTAGTTATGACAAAGTACCACACAGAAATACATACAATTGGTAGGTATGACTATGTACCACACAGAAATACATACAATTGGTAGGTATGACTAAGTACCACACAGAAATACATACAATTGGTAGGTATGACTATGTACCACACAGAAATACATAGAACTAAGTATCACACAGAAATAACAATTGGTAGGTATGACTATGTACCACACAGAAATACAAACACACACACAGAAATACAAACAATTGGTAAATACCACACAGAAATACATACAATTGGTAGTTATGTACCACACACAAAATACCACACAGAAATACATACAATTGGTAGGTATGACTATGTACCACACAGAAATACATATCAATTGGTAGGTATGACTATGTACCACACAGAAATACATACAATTGGTAGGTATGACTATGTACCACACAGAAATACATACAATTGGTAGTTATGACTAAGTTAGTTCTCAGACTCATGAATCCGAAACATTAAGCGAGTACGTTCGATCAATAATGACATAGAAAATGTTGAATATAAAAGTGAGAAAAAATTATACAGCATTTATTAAACGTACGTATCTTTGTTAGTTTCAAACAACATGGTAACCAAATCTTTACTCGATGATTCATTTTGTTGCAGTGGTAAAATGGCGGCTTCACTGCATGAAAGTGATAAAGTTTTAGGATTCCTGGGAAATACCTCTTCACAGGAGAACCAAAAGGACGCTAAAAGTGTCAGGTCTAAACCTCTCAAAGCTGTATATAGTTTACAGTTCTCAACTAAGATTCCTTTCGACTTCCATCAAGGGATGTCCGAGGTTCAAAAAATTGTAGCTTTACCAGGTGATTCGGTGATAGCGCTGGATCGCGCCAACAGGAAACTGAAGCTTTTCAGTGCTGATTTGCAGTTTTTGCATTACATTGATGTCGGTGTTGCTCCGGCAGGTTTGACTGTGGTAAACAATTCTACAGTGGCGGTATCCTCTGGTGACATTAAAAACCACCTCACACTCTTTAAGGTATATGATGGTACCCTACACCAGGTCAAAGATATAGAATGGGAGAATGAGAACCATGCTGTTTGTGATATCACTTACATTGATGGTCATTTTGTATGTCTAACATCGAAATATGACACTACTGGAGTCAGCGAGATATCTGTAGAACGAATTGATATGGACGGTAAAAAATGTACCGTTTTCACGGAGAAAGGAAATGCTCACTTAGGCTACAACCTTATATCGGGAGATGGAAACCGCTTCTATGTATGTGTAAGAATAAAGTAAGATGTATGTCCAATGAAGGAAAAATATTGTGGGAAGTTACAACATCCAGAGGTCCTCTCGGAATAGCCTTGGTGAAGGGAAACATTTGCGTGTCATCATTTGCAGAAGGCTTGGTATGTCAGATATCCCTAGATGGACATTTACATAGCCGTCCCGTCATACAGGAGTTAACTAAACCTGGCAGTATATGTTATCAAAAAAAGCGTAAGAGACTTCTAGTGTCACGATCCGACACGGGTAATCCAATCAGGGTCTATAATATTGACTGATATGTTCCGGAATTTAGGATGATACTTAATTAAAAACAGAAGAAATGTGCAATAAATAGTCGATTGACAGTTTGTATGTTACTATTCTTTTATTGACCTTGCCTTTTATACAGGTCTCGTTAGCACAACGCGGTTATTGAAAATGTTACATAAAACAGATGTAGTATTATCAAGCATTGTCCTGTCTCCAGTTGGCAGTCATAGACATATAAAAGTCAACAGGAAAAGTGAAAATACTTTGTTGCATACTAGCTGCTGAATTTGCCTTTATGCAGATTGCATTTATAATGTCCAGGGTTGCCAACTAAAAACTGTTCAATAATTACATTTGTCATTTCCAAACTTTACGTTATAAGGGGAGGAAACTCTCAATATTCTTACGCCGTCAGCAGCTCATGTGCTGATAATACATCACTTTGGCAAAGTTGACAGCAACGTATCACAAGCAATCGCGTATTTCTGGAAACCGATCGACAAACATCACAATAAGTAGGTACATAGAATCATTTGGTGAAGACAAAATGTTTGAAGTTGTTTACTTGGAGCGCGAAACATTCTAGAAACCATCGGTTGCATAATTATCAACAGAAATTATAGCTTAAGATGGTATTTGTGATGGAATCAACTTTATTTGTTTTTGGTTGAAAAACTGCAAAATACAGAATAATACAATGTGTCAAAAATGTAAATATAAAAATGGAATTTAACATTTTATACTCATCACACTAATCACATCTATTAACTTGGAGTGGTTTCATATACATGCATATAAATATACTATGTAACCCCGTTACCGTAATCGGGGGCAAATAAATTTAGCATCTATGTCAAACTAATCTAAATTGTTAAACTAAATCCACTATTTGGAATTACACTTTGTTGAAAGAAACGAAATTATGATTAAATTTTCCAAGCATGTTATAAAAAATAAATGAGCAGTGTATGACGGACATACCGGATGGATTTGACCTGAAGATCTATTTTTAAATCTAGGTATCAATTATCACATTACAGTGTATTACTAATAAATTGAATTAAACTGGAATCAAATAGTTGAGTATAAACCGATATCAGATAGGAATGATATAATAAACTTACACGATAGTTGCCTTAAGATGTTTTGATTATCATGAAGCATGCACGGTGCAACTATTTAACAAAAGAGTGGTAAAAAGGGAGATATCTCTTAATACAAACTGAAAGGGAAGGTATCAAGACAGCGCAGTATTGGACTTGGTCAAACTCCCTCTCTAAGTCAATCGTTACTTTGATGTACCTGTACTGTATCGTGTTACCATTTGTTATTGTAATTAAGATTCGGTTAACTGTTGGTTTTGAAATAAAATTTATTTCTTAATTATTGTTTTCAAATATCAACACGCATTTGAAAATATTCATGGAAAATTAAGTCACGAAGTTTTGTTTTAACACAAAAAAGAGTAATAAGTATCATATTGTGGAAATTAACATTTTTGTTATGTACATATCATGTCGGTATTTTGAAGACTCGTCAGTATTTGTAACATGCTAGTAGTATCATACATACAGATGATAGGTGATAAGCAATAAATATAAAGAGAATCCTGACACTTACCTGTTCTGCAGACAAACGATTTCTCTTATCAGTTGTCAAGTAATCACGAGATTGTTCCTTGTACTTGCTTCCTATTTAGTTACTCGAGTTGGGTTCGGTACTTACAGTGATCATTAATGGAGTTGCCTTCTTTGTTTATGCTGGTTTTGTTGTGTAGGATAGAATTATGCACAGGAGAAAATAAGGATGGATATGACGAATTAATTACTGTCGCGGACATGAAGAAGTTCATGGTGGAGACTTCAGCTTCTCTTCGTTATTACCAACAGAAGACAGAGTCTTTACAAAATATTGTAACAAAACAGGAACGTGAAATACAGGTCCTGAAAACAGACCTCTCGAGACTGACATCGGGAAAATGTGACGACATGAGAAATATTGATAAAGGAGGTAAGAGGTACACAACATGACACACACGTATATATATAAATAGATAATTATTGATTCTTGATGGGACTTTCTGACTCAAAATCACGGGACGATATGTACCAGAATGTGCTGCGGTACAGAATATGTTTGCTATATGTGTTTAATATATCTCTTTAATAATAGTTATTTCAATCGAACTCCGCTGTTTCATATAATGACGTTTAAACTACTCATTGACTGGGAAACAAACAAAATAAATTCATACCATTATGAACTTAAAAACATCTTGTTTATAAATTATCACTACCTACCGAGTTGGTGAACTATCAGTCCTTACATTCATTCTCTGAAGCGTGGATATTTTGATTATATACTGCGTATCGAATACACCTTTGTTCATCATTGCTGTTCTCACTTTAAAGGTATCAAACGAGTTGCAGAGTTGAATAATCAAACTGTGGGTGTTGCGTTCTACGCCCAGCTATCCACCGACCAGTCCACTTTTGGTACTCACCAGACCGTCATATTTGACCAAGTACGGACCAACATCGGGAATGCCTTTAACCACGATGATGGAGTGTTCACGGCGCCATCTGCCGGAGTATATGTTTTCTTCTGGACAACAACAAATCGAGATAGAACACACATGCAGACGGAGCTGGTTATCAATGGGGTACAGTATGGAAGAGCATGGGCCGACTCGGGGAATCATGATGACGTTTCAATGGCTTCTAATACAGTGGTCGTATCGCTTGTGCAAGGGGACACCGTTTGGATCCGATCTGATACTATACATTCCGGTTTCACAAATGGACAGAACTTTGCAACGTTCTCTGGCTGGTTGTTACATTAAATAATAAAGGAATAAAACAGATACAACCAGCATTATTTTTCTGGTACTGATTGGTGTCATGTCTTTGATAGATTTGAAACCTCACACAAAAAACATTATCTTTGGTTGAGATATAAGCTCAAATTATAAATATACGTTACTTAACTGAGGAGTGGTATTATACCATTATTTTATATCCCGATATTGTTCTTACCATTATTACTGAAAAGAATAATAAATAAGAATAAGAAAAAATAGCCAAACCCTGTATACAAGATATCGCACGAACTCTTAATAGATTTGATTTATATTCACACACACCATATTGCATTATGCTACTGAGGTGAACAAGTTATTAAATTAAGGTAGTCGTCGGTCAAGGTGAAAGTTCACGGATCCTTCTTGACCATTTCTAACCAGGAGTGGGGTATATATTAACCTCTGTTCACTTTGGTTTTATTAAAACTTTTCAAGTTGATGAAACAACAGTGAATATGAAAAAAATGCCAAGATGGCCGTATAATCATAATTCAAACTCAAATACCATAAAGCGAGGGCAAATAAGAACAAAAGATTTACAATGAGACTCCTGAAAATAAGCCTTTTCTACTTCATCGACGACACCCGCCATGCAAAAGCTTGGTCAGTCCAACAAAAAAAAAGAAGAAAAAAAAAAAGGGGTGGGGGGGGGGGGGGGGGGGGGGGGGGGGGGGGGGGGGTATACAGCAACGGAACCAACAGTCAAACCAATGATTATCAAATACATCCAGCTTCCAGGCCCTTGAATATCGAATCGACTGTGATATGTAAATACCATAGTTTGGTTATGCAAGGATAATGCTATTCAGAAATGGAAAAAAGGGAAATTGAAATCATCATATTTATCATACATATCATCGAAAGCTGTCCATGTCGGTTTCGTTGAAGGAAAAGATCGAGATAAGCAGCTGATGTAGAAGAGTCTGTCGTATCTTTAATTTCCAGTTCTGTGTATATCAGCGATGGACGTATTCAATAAATTTCTTGTTTTACTTAAAGACACGACATCATCAATATATCTGGAGGTGAAAGTAAACGACTTTGCAAGGTCTTTGTGACCTGTTTTAATACGCTCTTCAATAAATTAAAAATTGTATGAAACAAGTCAACCAACAGAGAAGCGCAGCTAGTATGCCAATAGTCTATAGGATCTTGCCACCAAACTCGACGAAGATGTTGTCAAGCAAATACACGATCATTTTTATTATTTCATCCTCTGTATGTTTCTTCTGTTGTTTGGACGTAAATTTTACTTTACGAAAAATGCTTCAGTATAGTTCACAACCTTTTATTTATACCGCTCTTTACCGTTTTTGAAGAAGAAAGCTCTAATGACAAGAGAACGAAGGCATATGGTGTTGTACATGGTGGAAGATTTACACGAATACCCTTGTAGGCATTTCCTACCACAATAGGTAGATGGTATTCAATTCCCAAGGCATTAATTAATCATTTCCACTGTTGTTTTATGTTAATCATCCAATAAGAAGTTCATGATTGATTTTGTAATAATTTCATCTATATTTGGATTTCTATTTATTTTGTATTTCGAAGATAACAAACCAATTTCCTTCTAGTTTTAAATTGTAAGAATGTAGTTCTGATTTCTGGAATCGGCAGTTTTTTTTATAATTGTTAGCGGTATTTCTCTAAATGTCATGCACGTAATAGTAGGTGGCATGGCACTACATACGATGTTGTTACAAATGCATGCATACAAAAAATATGAAATTGTATATCTTTACTGAAGAATTTGACAGCGATATATGTTATACCTTGATATTTTAGATGTTTAGACATTCTTCCAGCTTGAAAATCTGGTATATCCCATTACAAATTACAATTGAGATCGTCATAACTTTAATATTGTTATTGCTTTTTTATACGTCCAGCTATGTCTATACGGCATCCCGATATTCACAGTTGATTTCAAATGTCCAGCTCGACCACTAGTTTGGTTCGGGAAACCCCTCTTACAGTTAGAGCTGATATAAGTTATAGTTTTTAAAACGAGGAAATTAATTTTGTAAACGCAAGCACATTGACGGCATTTGTGGCAAATGTTATTTGCTAATTCTAAGTCAGAACTCAGATTCAGAATTACGAATTGAGTGACATTCATTGTTGTGACTGATTCAGGGGGATAGTCATTTTTGTTTCCTGTCAACGGTGTTTGCGCGCTTGCGTTATCGTATATCAAAAATATATATCCAGACTATTGATCAACATATTTCTTTTTCATGATTGTCAATTAACCTCTTTTAGAACAAATTTCAGTGAAAACGAACAGTCGTTGTTTATGAGGTGATACATTTGATATATGTGGAAAATCTCTTAAGGAAATCAGTAAAATATCGTTTCACCATGATGTCGTCACTGTGGTTGTATCTATTATTTCCAGCACTAACGATAAGAAGATTGATATGAAATACTACATCAAAATACTTCATCAATAAAATGTATTGTTGGACAAGGCGAAATAATCATCATTTCTCGTTTACATGTTTAGATGACTAGGATGTTGGATGTTCTAATGTGTAAATCTCTTTACTTTTACGTAAGTTTGTTCTTTACATTTGTTTTTCTTTGTAATATGTATTAATGTTAGCCATCTCGCTTACAAACCCATGCTGTCTGCCGACCATGTTTCATTATGAAGGATGATATTGGACCTGGCAACTTGAAAAGAGAAAATCTTCTAATACTGTCTTGTTTAAATATAATTTATTTTCTCAAATTCTTCACAAAATCTATTTCTTGATTCATTTTTAAGAGTATTTCGGTTAATGGTAACTTTCGAGAATGCCAAGTCCTACAAAGTTACATGTTCTTCCAATCTGTCCGATCCCTGTACACAACCAAGTACATAATGTGCTAAAGCTTTAACAATGGACGACACTTGATAGACCACGAAGTATGAGTAATTAAATTTCGCGCCATTTGATGATGGCCGAAGATGAACATCTATTATGCCATTAGTATTTGAAGTACTATACATATTATATATTTCATTTTATAACTAGTTCCTGAAATACCAGAGTAGTCTCCTCATTATATCGAACATTATACCGGAATATTTTGGCGGTACTCAGCTTGGAACACTACATGATATTAGCTAATCTCAGAACAAAGAAATGAGAATAGTTTAATATTTGCATTTTCCATAACAAAAATATTATTATTAAATGACAGTACATATTGATGTTTAACACGAAATGGATTATTTCGATAGTGCTCTTCTATGGAGTACCAGCGCCTCTCATTGGTAACGCCACCTTGCAAAAGGATATTTGAATCTGCAAATAGGAGAGTATTTATGTGTGTGTACAAAAAGACATATACACATTAGAAACAAAAATGATCTTATTTGCATGATGATTCATAAATTTAAATAGCTACAACTGCAGACCAAATGTGGCGTATTTTCAAGAATTATTTTCAATACAGAATTGACTCCCGTTTAAAACATGTTAAGTATTATGCAAACAATAGAAAAAAACGTATTTTAAGACGTATTGATAAATTTGAATTTGTCGTAAGACAACTTACCTCATCAATGAAAGCATAGAGTCCATCGACGAAATCTGTACAAGACCCAATCCTCAACGGGCCAACACTGGTCATCATGTTTCCTGTAAAACAACTCGGACTTTCAAATGTAACCTTCATTTTAAACATTATTCGAAGTGGGTCATCGAATTCATTAAACTTGGTTAAACAGATTGTCATTAATTCTTGTTCCGCTTCATCATTACTTTACTATTTAGCATCGCATAATATTGTTTATTTTATGAAGAGATAGTTCATAGGACATAAAAGTGAATAACTCCGAAGGAATAAGGCATTGATTTGTAAATGACGCTTAGGACAATCATTGTTGAAACTACAAATCATATATTTTCATGGGACACAGATTTCGTAATTTCGGACAAGATAAAGTGCGGACGGACGGAGGGACGGACTGAAACAATGGGGAATCGCGAGACATTCCTGATATATGTCAAAATATACTTAGTCCACTTGGTAGTGAGTTGACACCAGAGTTGAGGACGCTTTACCTGAGAAAGCCACTTTTCCTTTATCCTCCTGAACTTTTCCTGTACCCTTGTTGATATGTTGCAACGTCCCGTGTAGGAATGACCCGTCAAATCGGAACAGCACGTTGGTCCATTCTTGGATCTGGAAGAATCAGACCATACCGCGATTAACTATAGATTTTGGCAAATAATAAATATTTAACAGAGACAACGGGAAGCTGTTGTGTTTCATTGTTCTTACATTTTCTTATCAATTGCCCAATAAAAGAATTTATTTTTTGACAACAACGGCAAATCATAAATTTTGCAAAGGACTTACTTTTATCGGAAGAGCTAAAGTTGTGACAGTATTATCATTGTTTACTATTCGGATGTGGATGCCGGACCCTGAAGTCGTCCTATTGATGTAAATTTCGAGTGAAGATGCATCCGGATATCTCGAAGTATCTCTATCGCAATTTGTCAGCAATATTTGTTTGGACGGTCCCTGTGCCATTACGTAAATCCTAATTTGGATTCCAAACTTCCGGGAAAGATTATCATTTCCACTGTAAAAAGGAATGGTAACAGAACTGTTTCCCCGGAACTGACCGTAACCTTTGATCTTATCGATTGATTTTGTGTATATCCACACCGGGGATTCGGCTTCGTTTTTCACTATCTTGCTCTTAATATCATTGAAGGTAATATGAACTTCCAACTGACACACTGGAAACAGGAAAAAATGATTGTGAAAACACAAACTACGAGAGAAATGAGATAGTATTTATACGCGTCTTCTCCAATGCTCTTTTGACACAGTTGAAGAATACATATGGTCATCGGCAACCGTGAAACGTCAAAACAAGTAAACTTTCACGTTTTTGAAGACTTCACGCTAGAAGCTGGAATATATGTTTCTTGTAAATCATTCTAGACACATTATCATTTCGATTCTTTTGTAAAATCATTGCAAAAACTGCGGCGCGTTAACGTTAGAAATTATCAAATTTTATCTGCTTTATTATGGTAGACTTTTGGTGCTGAATTTGTATTTTCCACTTACGACTTAACTAGATTCCAAGAAAAAAGCAAAATGTTTAAACGAAGTGAATACATTTAACCTTATTTAATTGTTACTTACATGGTGCAACACTTCCAGATCGTACGCACGTGCATAGCTCGGCATCAAATCTGGTGCCGTGACCACACTTTTGTATCTCGGCGACGTTTGCCTCGTTGTAGAACGTCTTGCCATCCTTGCTTTTAAGGTTACACCCTGGCAATAATGATTTAAATTCTTTCATTAAAAGTATAATACTTCCCCGTAATGTATTGATGTGGACTTAATTGTTTTATTCTGAACCTGTATAGAGTTTATGACGACTAATTGTAATAATTGTTGCACCTAATTGATAGCCCTCGTGGTTGGTTAAGTGGTAATTACACAATGCAAATGTGCATATATTCTTAATATATAACTTTTACAAAAAAAGGAAAAAACATCATTTTCAATACATGAGAATGAAACCTAACATGATCCACTGGACAGGAGGTAACAATGAAATGATGAGATAAGGCATCAACTAATGCATAACAAAAGCTGCTGCAAAAGTATAAATACTTTTAAATATTGATTTAATTTAATGTTCCTAGATCAAGATAAAAAGGTTTGCAAGTTTAACCTTACCTGGTTTACAAGTGTATTCGACCTGCAAATATTTATCTATTCCTGGACAGGGATCAGTATAGAGAGAGGGGTCAGCTGTCACAGAACAGGATTGCTTTCCTGCACATTGGCTTCTTAGTGCTGTGAGAGCGGACCGCGTGGAGCACGGTTTAGTGACGGGTGGAGACGGGCCGCAGGTTTTAGCATTAACACGCCCATAAAACACTTCATTGATGCGAACTTCCATACGAAGGGGACATTTTAGCGTCTTGACATTACCGTTACACACTGTCACTTGACTGTCTGTATCTGTAAGTTTAACTTCAGATTATTACAATTTGTATTGACAAATTATATCTGCTGTATGATTATGAGAATAAAGCGATGAAGTATATGTGAAGTCAACCAGCAGACTTGATAGTGTGTATTGATTGCGTGCCTGAATGCAATAGTAGATACGAGATGTTAGTATGATATCATGTCCTTATTCCTAATGGATAAAGGCACTTAACTAAACATGTATGTCTATTATCATTCCTTCACATAGAAACAAAATTAGCTAAGCATTCCATTTTCTGGAAGGTCTAAGAGTCCGTACATACCAGACTGTATTGCTTAACTGTAACACAAATCAGCTAAAAATCATATAAATTGAAAAAGTCCATACCTTTATCAACCTGAGTATCTTGATTTCTTGGACAGGAAGCATTACATGCTTTATCCTTTACGCATGCGCCGTCTTTTCCGCTGTAGGCAGTCCCTTCCGGACAACATTCTGCAGCAGAATAATTGCCGTTACACCTCCAGTAGTAGCGACAGTTGGGCTCCTTGATCCTGAAGTCTTGGTACGACACCAGATTGGGATATCGGGGATCAGAGCACGGATCTGTAAGAAAACATAACAGCTGAATAATGTAGCCATTGCTGATTTTGGTCACTTCCATTTTTGGTTTTCTTTTTCGAGCGGAGTTAGCGAAAAATACTGGTAAATTATATAAAGGTCTTGTTTACAATTTAAAAAAAAGTATTGTCATGATAATGCAAATTTCAAACACTGGACAAAAAAAGATAAAATAACCGGATGAGATAGAAAAATGTTATGTAAATGTGTAGCCCTTGTAAATACTGAACGCAATATACCGCTCGGCTAGAGAGAACATTTCTTTAGCTCGATCGGTTGAGTGTCAGACTAGTAAGCCAGAGATAACGAGTTCGAATATCTGCGGAGGCATTATAATAAATGGTGACTTCTGTTTCAATTGACCAAACATTTTTTTCTGTGTTGGTTGGTATCTGTAGAGTTAGATACTAAATCATAGCGAGTTTACACGTGACGCTCGTCCACATTGTGCTCTGGTCCTGTAGATCTACTACATTGTGCACTGGCTAAAAGTAAATCAGGTACCACAGGCTGAGACCTGACCACTCCAATGTGTAAGTAAAGCCTTGTATAGTGATAACGACAAAATAGGACTACCGTCGAGGTGACCAATGAGGAAGCAGTTGAAGGTGTTATTTCTTTTACAGATGGACTCTTTTTCCTTTATATTCTTTTCATTTGGAGACAAAGTAAATGTCATAATGCGTTTAATCATTTGATATATATTAAAGAGATCACTGAAAGGGAGCCGTGTACAGCTAGGCTCTTTTTCATGACGAATGTCATCTTCGCGGGCCAAGAGTGTTCAGTGCGATAGGAAATGATTGTAAGCCCTGGTTGATAGAGGATGGGGAATTGTTAACAATGCCAACCATTACGATAGTTCATCATACAATAGATACCTTAGACATACTTATTGTGGTGTCTAACACACAGTTATTAAATATATAACACATACACATCAAAATCAAGTAAACAGCAAGTAACAACCACCTCACCTCTTGCGCATTTGATGATAGAGGGGAAATCACATCGGTTTTCTTTCTCGTTGTAGAAGGTTCCGAACGGACACCTGAGTTGTGTTGGTTGTCGTCCGGACTCGCAAACAACATACGCGCCACAGTCGTTTGGAATACCAAGTGTACACACAACAGACTTACAACTGCTACATAAAGCCTTCAGACCTGTATAGGAGAGTAATCGTTTTCAGGGTGTGACATGCCCTGCTTCCACAACAATAAAAGTAAATATTACTTAGCACTTATGATGACAGAAAAGAATTGTATTTTGTACTGGGGAAATGATGTGACAAGTTCCTTGTATCTGACGTAGAAATACGTCTTTTTTGTGACGGTCTGATGAATATATCTGAATATACATTGCCCTGGCACCGACCGTAAACATTCTTCTGTAGATTAATATCTCTTGAACATTTCTGAATATTCATTGGCCCGGTTTCTACCGTAAAATTCTGTGGGAGAACATCTTTTTTTTAAATACTTCAATGGGTGAAGATCTTTTGAACATTTATTTCACAACAATAAACGTTTACATTAAATGTATCAGTATATGCAAAACGTGCATGTCATAGTATATCTAATACGTTCATTATATATTGTATAACATCTTTTAATGATCAATTATTACAAAAAATTATTATTTCCCGCACGAAACATTAATTAACAAAGAATAATTAAAAATTTCGGTAACGTTTTTGCTATAGTGCATATACTAAACAACTGTTACTCTTGTAAACTAGGTGGATTAAAAGTTCTAATCGTGGATACTGAAAGAAAAGTTTCAGTTATGAATCCAAAAGGTAAATTGAATTAAAGCATGTATTCCGTTCCACTAGAACAATAAAGATAGCTCTTTGTATCACAAAAATAAACAAACCTGCTATAAATTTATACAAATAATATCTTAATAAACACTCCTATTACACATTGGCTGTATACATGTCTTGGTATTTTAGAACAGACATATAATTGCAGCAGGCGATGGAATTTCAAAAGTCTTTTAGCACAATGATATTCAGATAATTGATGAGACTTTGCGTTCTTTTACTGTAAATGTAAACAAATGTTACGGTTCATTTTCAGCTTCACACCAGGTAAGTTCAAGCAGTTGATACTTCTGATGAGACGGAGTAGATTACCTGTCAGGAGGCAAACCACAGTACTGGAGATCTGTTTGCTGATGAATCACCTCACAGCGATGGCCCTGGTTGGAGTGGGGATGATGGAGCCCAGGAAACAGAAGCCACGGAGACTATAACACTACGGAAAGCGAGGGTCAACTGGCCCAGAATGTCATATGGGAAGGAATGGAAGGCATTTTATGAAGAGTATTAGAGATAACGATGCAGGGAAGTGTTGATGACAAGAAGCTATATATCCTTGTAACCAGAATACACGAAAGACGCAGCAGAGAGAGAATAAAAGGGAAAGGGAAATTAGAAGCATATGGAGAGAAAAACCCTGAAACGCAGATTGCGAACAGCATCACAGGAAGAAGGTACCACCAGAGACAAACGTAAGAAACTAAGAAAGGCTGAGAGAATACGAGCTGGTAGTAAGACAAGGACGCAGTTTATCAAGGATCTTTTGCTAAAATAAAAGTTGGAAGAAGACCGTTCAGGTCAGCTGGAAAGCTCCAGGATAGAGATAGAACACCATTGTGAGCTAGACAAGGCTACACCGCTGGGAGACTGTCCTGTGGTAATAGAAGATCAACCACCAAGTACTCTTGAGGCAGAAAGTACAGGAAGTGGTGAGGTAAGAAGCGCTGTAGTATATTCACGATCAGCACTTGGTCCAAGTGGACTGCCACATTCTGTTCAGAAATGCCCAAGGGTGTTGCGACGGCTGTGGATGCTCCTGATGAAGATGTGGAAGACAGGAACGATTCCCGACATTTGGAAGAAGGCAAAAGGTTGATTGGCCCGACATAGGACTCGACATCTGTGGAGCAGTTCAGAATTATCCCCTTGCTCAGTATCGAATGTAGATCTTCACTGTGATGGCTACGCGGCAAACACATCAGCTCAGAAGGAAGCAACACATGGGTTCCTTGAATGCGTAGAGCACACTAGCGTTCAGAGCCAGACGATTCGCGAGGATAAAGCGATTTGGCAGTGGTTTGGTTTGACATAGCCAATGCATATTGAAGAATCCCTCCCAAGCTCATTTAGGGAGCGATGCAATGTTATCTCATTCCAGAACATGTCATCAGCGTGAAGAAGTGTAACGTATGCTGTTCGGGATTGTTGCACCACACGAGGAGACTATTCTATTTACATTTTTGTTACAATATTTAAAAAGACTTTACCCTGCATTTACTTACAGATACCTCACACACCGATCATTTTACCTCACACACAACTATCCCTTACGCACATGTAGATATGAAATATGAATATGTATGACCGCACTATAAAATGTCACTGTGAGGCCACCGAAGCTCTTCACACAATGTCGCAGTCAACTGATATTCCAGTATGATTCCTCGGCTCCATGCTTGTCGACGAAATAACTGGTCATTTATTACGTCATAAGTCACTCAACATGGTGCGGCACCCAGGATGTAACGAACTATGATCTTCGCAACGATCACTGTCCCACACGTAGTGTTCATTTCATGTACAACAAAAGAAACATCATATAGAACGGAAACTCTACGTCAGCTGTGATGTTCCCAAGAAGAAGTGTAAATACTGTGACGTCATATCACTACACTGTACGCTATATATGCTGATGGTAGACAGCTCAGGTTCACCACAAATAGCTTCACCAAAGCCTTTCAGGATTTAAGAAGGGAATAGTGACAGGTTGGTCTTGTCGCCTATCCTGTTTGTGATGGGTATGAACATCAACATAAAAGCTGTTGAAAGAGAGACTGGAGGGCAAAGAATGAACGCAAGAATCTACCAACCTTCGAATAGATGATTCATGGATTACAACAACAACCCATGTTCGAGCACGGTGGATACTATATGCACCTGATGGTGTCGTGGGCTCGGAAGAAGTTTGAGCCGAAGAAACACGGTGTATGATCATCAGGAAGAGGCGGTTGACAAATCCCTGTAAAATGCTAAGGGAATAGGTATGACGGCACCCTGTTGGAGGTTGGAGAGAATGTAGAAGAATGGCTGAATAGGATTGATAAATCAGAACTGCTCAAGATGATGTTCTTCCTAGGTTATCTTGGACCCTTATGCTGTACGAATTACCACTGACAGCGGTTAAACCCCTTATGACAGCAGGAAGCTTTGATCGTGGCCTGGAGTTCCTACAAGTCGTAGAGGTATGACTATACAACAAGGTCACAGGGACAGGCAGGAAATGGTCAACTGGTGTGGTGTGCAGAAAGCAAATCCAAGATACACTGGAGCTCCAGGACATTGTAGGAAACAGCTTTGTTGGCAGACGAAGACTGAGAGTCGATTGTCAGACATATGGAGAATGGAACTAAATACCAGGAGTTAGCAGAGCAATGCAGACAGAGGGATGGAACACCTGGCTGTTCCCAGTAGAGGTAGGTACCAGAGGGTTCCCTGCACAGTCAGTATGGAAATGGATCCAGAAAGTGGAACTGACAGGCGAAAGGCAGCTATTAAGACCATAGCCAAGAAGGCTGGTTATGGTGCAGACGAGATGGGCCAAAATGTCAAATATATTAAATATTTCTCATTGTTTTCGGATAGGATTTTGCGGAATGCAGCAGTAAAAGCCAATAGATTTGCAGAATATCGTGGATGTCAGTTTACAAATGACCTCCAATCGGGAACTGATATTTCTTCCCAGACCAAGCATGGTACATAATGAAAAAGCCCACCACAAATTAATATTAGACTGACATTTACAAATATTTGCATATATGTTATTACTTAATGGCAATACCTACTCCCCAATCCCTGGTTCTGTCGGGCAACATCCCCCGGGGGTGGGTCCACAACTGTTAGAACTGTCAAAAAAGAAGGAACAGCATGCTGCAGTGTACACGGGATTGTGAAGCAATATGTGCATGCATGTGAATCAGGGAAATAGGTATAGTAGTACTAGTAATTGATTATCTGATTCGAGATGGTATGGTGGTAGGAATTTCATATGTGTAAGGAAATATATAGTGCAACTGTATCACACAACCGCAAGGGTCTTTCAAAACTAGCAGGGTCAAACAAATCCAGTTCGATAAATAACTTAAATATGGTATAATAGAAATATAGTCACACAGGAATCATTGCCAGTGTACATCAGTTCATAAAAGCTTAAAAACAAATAGAATCAGCTATTATGAGGAAAATAGTTTTTTTATATACAAATTTATTAAAATTATTTCTATTGTGAGTATTTGGACATACTTTTAAATGATTGCACAGTGCGCGGCGTAGTAGGAATTTAAAACAACTTGCCTTAGTATAAAAAATTCAAACCCGCACATTTTTAATACATGATGTAAACAAGAGAATGCACATAATTAGCTATTTAACAGGTTAAAGTCGATGGGGCATTTAGATGTTTACTTTACCGGAGATGATTAATATCGCTTACAGACTTACCTCCCCCTGTCGACAGAGTTTCCTGAGATAAAATACACCAACAACACGCGGACAACAATAATAAATGGATTTCTGTGGTCAGCTTCATCTATGATATAAAGTAATAATAAGTTAATAGTTATTATTGTGATTTAATGGTTATTTGGTTTCAATATTGAAGTAATCATCGATGATTACTGAAACGTTCATAATGAGGATTGAAATCTTAACAGAAATAGCAGACAAAAACAAATCGAAATGCCAAACAGCAATAAAAAAACACACAAACAAAAACAAAAAAAAAAAAAAAAAAAGGGGGGGGGGGGGGGGGGGGGGGGGGGGGGGGGGGGGGAGATAACGAGTACTGCAAGAAAGTTTTTTTCTTCTTCTCAATTTTCCTAACTAGATTTATGTTCTAGTTTAGTTACAAATAAAACACAACACACACGTAGAGCACGTGTTTGGCCTGATTGAAACGATCGATCCATAGAAAAAGCTTGTATGGTCAGTACACATCATCAAATATAATTATATCCATGATACATTATTACAATATACCTGTGTATATATTGTCACCAATAGTTTGCGAAATATTAATTATGCTTTCACTTATAGCGACCTACAGGCCTCAGCTTATACGACGAAGTAGACTCAGTAAAGACCGACAAGAAAATTGTGACGTCACAATACATTGGGGTATTACGTTGGTCGTACTGATGTAATACATGGGAGCGGACAAATGTTGATATACAACGATAATTAGTACAAATTATGGAGCACAGATGACAGCTTCCACACGTTATAAACATACTACCATAATACAACGCATTCTGCCAAACAATAAAGATGTTTGTTAAACACAAAACAATATTTCGGAATATTACAGTTTTAATCTGGTTAAATCGAACAGTGTTCGGTACGCTGTATACCTTGTTCATACGTTGAAGGCCAGCACGTGTTAAGGATGTACTCCTTTAAGAAATAAAAACGTTCCATTATTAATGTTTTTTTCTGATGATGGTTTTGTGGAAGTTTTGATCTTAGAGAGAAGATTAAAAGCAAAACAACAATATGTTTCTGTGGTTCAGAATAACAAGAAATAATTCATTGTCCAAAAATGATCCATTTTTTTTTATTTGACTATCTTCTAGTATTAAACTTTTTTTTTAAACACTTAATACTTTGATAGAGAAATTTTCGATGATGTTTTTCATGATTAAAAAAGAGTGTGTCACTGTGCTTTATGTTTGGAAATTTCATCCAAATAGTCATTTTTTCCTATATCAAGAAACAAACTGAATTAATTTTTTCCTGGTCCTAAAAATCCGAGAAAGTGATCCGCCAAGTTGGATTTTACACAATTGAAATCTGTGATTTGTGGTGATCACTAGTGCAGAATTTCGTTGAAATCTACCAAAGATTTCAAGGGTTAAGCACAAGAGAAGGACCTTAACAACAAGAAAACGTTGAAATTGTTGATGGTAATAACCGAATCACGCTGTCAAATATGCCGTCAAAAAAGTAGTCCATAGGTGAAATTTCTCCAAAACATCATAAAATAACTCTTTTTATGTTTATAAGTACATATATCAAAGTGTATAAGGCTACCAAAGTCCAAGATATTATGCTGGAATTCATTTAATATTGAATTATGTCTTACTTCCGGTCGAAACTTGAAAGCAGTACATCGTTAAACCATATCATTATTTGCTTATTCAATCATAGGCTAAATGATATACATACATATTTGAATTTTAAGGATATTATGTAAACGTATAAATACCGCGGAAACAATGACATGTCCGCATTCTTGTTACTGTAGGAGGAAATGTCAACCAAACCCTACACACCAAAGTGATACAACACTAAAACCAGCTGTTAGGAATTTTACTATAACAGCCTGTTACATGTTAGGGATACACTGACGACGAAATTTACGAGCAAAAAAGATCCAGGTATTTAACATAAATTAGTATAAATGCCACTTTTCCGACACCATGTATTTCTCTTAGATTTTTAACTGAAACGAAAGTTACATACGCTGTAGTGAATATTCATTTGTCATCACGGTTCGTATTGTTTACAACGGAATTACATCCGACTCAGAATTACATGACAATTATTGTGTTTTATCTTGTTTCATACCTGTCCGTCGATATGTAATGATGTTTAATTTGTTCCCTAAGTTTTAATAACAGCATATTGTGACGGACGCATCATACATCTAAAAAAAACGTTTAACATGGCCTAACCATACATGTCTAGCTTTTTTTTATATCCACATTGTGGAAACATCTCATATTAATGAAACTGTATCATACAGCTGTTTCATCCTTCTAATACTCGCTAATGAAACTGCATCATACAGCTGTTTCATCCTTCTAATACTCGTTAATGATGCTAAGGGCCAAAATGTGAAACCCAGGAGAGGACCGGGTTGAATCCAAAGTGAATGACAGAAATGTCAGAATCTAGACGGAGAGGTAAAGTCAGTAAATTTCGTAATATTCGTGTATCTGATAATTTAAGAAAAACGTCATGTACATGTTTTTTTTTTAATTGTTAACCGTGCCACTTTTCGACTGAATTTAAACTATGATCGGGACAAGCTCCTTCAGAGATATGTATTATATAATAATATAAATATATATACTCTTTATGTCGTCATTTGAGAAAACAAAACTCATATTAACCGAACAGAAGCTGTCGATGTAATTGGAATTTTTAAAAATGTTGTGTTGAATTGAATATACAATAATATTTTTTAACACCTACGCTGATGTGATGTTGTCATTCCGCCCATCTATTTCACGGCTGATGAATTAAATGCATTAGGTGTTAAGGAAATCAGCGTTTCAACAATCTCTTTCGTTCATCCACAGTGTTGGATTAAGTGATCGATTTGTTTATTGATGTGAATTCTGTACATTAACCCGTGACATCCATTACCTGATGTCGTTAATCGTCAATGTCGTTAATCGTTAGACGACAGTAAGATATATCTGTGGTTTATGATGACGTGTATCAAACAGACAACGGAACATTGTAGGCATGTTTTACACCACAAAACCAGTCACTTACAGTACATACATTGATAAATAATTCATGGATACTTGGCATTGTTTTTGTCTCTGAAACGCTGCATAGGTAGAATGATAAGCGTCTCCGACTTACATATCGTGCACCACACCCAGGGTGTATGATTCATCCAAACGCTTACCAGAATACTCTATGCCTTCTATACACCTTGCGATAGAATAGCTTGATGTGTGTGCGATTAGCGAAGGTCCCAGTGGCCAACATTTCTTATCTTTAACCTTTGTTTTATGATTTCTGAAAGGTTAGATTTTCATTGAAAGGTACTTAAAAAGCAAAATATTACTTATATAGCTGCGCTTTATTTTCCAATACCGGAATATACAACAAAGTACTATTATTTTTTGCATCTTATTATTAGGTTTTTCCTGAACAACGAACTTCATTTGTTATTTTCCGAGCGATCTTTTCTATCAATGAATTAATCATTTCATTAACATGCTAGAAAATGATTGGATGTTAAGGAAAAAAGAATGTTAAATTGTGACCAAATAAAAATAAACGCAAACTGACACGATTTTTGTGGGTCCTATATAAAAGAAAGTGGTCCACCAAGTCATTCAACGTTTGTTTCTTATAAACGTAAACTGATCACAAGTACTTTTTAGCAACGGAAAATGCCGACAATTACATCATCAAAACGTTCCTTAGCAACGGAAAAACGCCGACAACTAAATCATCAAAACGTTCCTTAGCAACGGGAAAGTGCCGACAACTACATCAACACGTTCCTTAGCAACGGAAAAACGCCGACAACTACATCATCAAAACAATCAATAGTTTTTGTATTTTTGTCTTCTTCTCGTGTCTAAACCAAATTCAACATCCAATCTACAGTACATGCATAAAGTCAATCATAGCCACTTTAATTCATGTATCATGATAGATATTTCGTTTATATGACAGACCAACAACATCTTCAAGCCGACACATTCATGGTTTTACAGAAAAGATTAAATAATCCCGTTTTGAAAGTCCTTACATTCAGTCAAAAGTCCACTTCTGGTCTTTAAAGACACGAGACAAAAATGAGTCATCATGATATTTCTGAAGTCATGAAAGTATATTAAATTGTACTACGACCTGATTTTAGTGATAGGACTAAACTTTAGAGAAACATGTTTGTAAATGTTCTAGACAGGTACTTGTCGCCCAAAGACATCTGAACGTGATGTGATTGGCTTAGTTTTACATAGCCGGTTCATGTCGATGTAGCAGAAGACAATTACTCTTAAGTTTTCTCAAATGTATCCATGTTAACCTTTATTTAACTCTCGTGCAATCATTTTTGTTAAATTTGACATACGCCTCTTGTTTAAAAAAGTCGATATTAGCTTTCTATTTTTTTTTTTTTTTTTTGTCGAACAGAATATTTTAATTCATTGTTGTGGCACTTGAGCATTCATTTGATGTTCACTTAAGTTAAAACGAGTGAAATGATAAGCATCACATCTTACTTTACCGAATCATCCTGTGTCAACAGTCTTTTTATTTATCCGTTTTTCATTGATTAATTTATCATCGTGTTTATTGACGTCATTTCAGTGTTTGTCTGTGTAAATATACGTGTATTCATATAATCCCTCGTTGTTTAAATCTTTAAGGAAACATTGCATAGTTCTGGTAGATGCACATGCATCCTTCTGTCGACCTTGACCTCTCCGTACATTCTTAGCTTCCTGTTCAGACATTGCACGTCAATGACCTTTTTTTGTCCGTGCATGTACATAAACATACAATAAACGTATACATATAGCTAATTGATATGTACATCGCGCCAGGAGTTTCCTCGGAAGAGGGTCGTCTCCGAAGGAATGTCTGTTTGGTCTAGCTTAGGGTTAAGTGGTTGACAAGCCATCACATAGGTCATAAATATGTCCCTGGACAAGAAATCTCAATATGTAGTCTGCCCATGGTCAATATAGCGCCTCTTGCGTTTGTTGAGAGGGAATTTTACAATATGCCTTCTAAATTACACTAACAAAGTATATTCATCAATAAAGATGTGTTGAA